GATAATCTTGATTTCGCTAAGATCTCGATGAGTAGAGGATGGGAGATCATGATAGTACTAAAAAGTAAAGCAGCTGGGCTATAGCTATAGTATTTCTCTCCTTCAGCTAGTTCAGAAGGTTAATCAGCGGCTGGGAGCGAAAGCATCTTCAGTAGACCGGACTCATGAGTTATCCACTACACCACGCCGCCTACTGCATAGCCTTAGGAATAAACATATATGCTTTACAAGAGTAGTAACAGGACGAGACTCTCGGTCAGCATTTTTGAGATGTTAGTCAATCTGTTAATAAATAAAAATAATAATTTATCTGTTGCCTATCTCAATAATCAGCTATCTAAACAAACATACAAGTAAATATTTTTATTATTACAGATTATAGAAAAGTCAATAGAATGTTTGCCCGAAAAATTTATAAACTAAACAGAACGGATAATGATTTTATTTGGATACACGACTATCATTTATTATTTGTTGGAAGGTATTTACGAAAGATGGAAAATGAGGAACAGGATAATGTGAAACCTATGAAATTAGGCTTCTTTTTACACACACCTTTCGAATTCCCAGCAAATTTGGCAAAAAAATTGACAGAAAAAGTGACAGAAGAAGTATCAGAAGAATCATCTGACGAATTGGAAGAAGAAGTGCCAGAAGAAGTATCAGAAAAGTCAGAAGAATTGCCCGTAGAATTGTCAGAAGAAGTTAAAGCTAATTTAGAAAAACTGACTAAAGAAATAATTATTGGAATCCTAAGTTTTGACAAAGTTGGATTTCAAACAAATAAAGATCGCTATAATTTTATAGAACTTGCACAAACGGTATATTTAATATTCTACTACCAATTTAATATTCTACTATACTTTTATCGTTATCAGAATTTCTAGCCCACATATTATACCCACAATATTTTTTTGTTATTTGAATCAACCACTCAGATTGCCTAAAATATAGTTCTTGGGATAAAGTTAGTTAGTCAACCCTCATTCGTTAGCAAAGCATCTGACCTGAGGAACCATAAGGATAAATCCAGGTGTGTTTAAATCCCTCTATAAGCATTATTTTTTAATTTTGATAAATATAATTTACCGTATTTCCTAAAATAGTACTCCCGGGAGTACTATTTTTCAACCCTCCTCCAAAGGGGAGTACTATTTAAGGGGGGAGTGCTAATTCAGGGGGGAGTATTATTTTTCAACCATCCTCCATGATTTTTCATAGGAAAATTTATTTCAAAATTAAAAAAAATATTTTAATTTATTTCAATTTATCTCAAAATAAATTCGATTAGAGTTCGCTATTTGAAAAATGCCGGATCCGGACCCTGATTTTCAAAAAATTTCTTTAATAAAAGTTGTAGAAAATATCCGAATTAGTATAAAATTGAGCAAATTGCGAGACAATTAAACACAAGTGACTTAAAATACGGGTTATTGAGGGAAATCAAAAAGGATATAAGTGAATTTGGAGTGATATCGAGGGATATAAGGGGATTTTCGGGTCTAAGATTTATCAGGGTCAACTAAACCCATGTGTCTAGGGATTACCTAATCTCTGTCTAGTTATTTATCATATTAAACACCGATATCCTCCACATCCCTTTTGTACTTCCGATATTAGTTGATTAAGAAGGATTTATGATTCAACTTATCGCTTAATCGCTCTTAATCAACCAAAATCGCCTAATATTACTCCCCCTTCATTATTCCCTCAAATTCCTATATCAAACCTTAATCCAATGATGTCTTTTAAATGCCACTTGATTAATACAGAACCCATTTTACACCCGATATCAATCCCTTTATATACCCAAAATCCACTTTTACTCCACCAATTAATCGGATTATATCTCTTTAATCCTCGAAAAATTTTAGTTTAAAATTTCGATTCGTTTTCGGTTAACCGAAAGCTCTCAGGTTTTGTTTATCAAAGAATCAAGTGAAACCGACAACGATACTTAGAATAAATAAAATAATTCAATGTCTCGTATTATTTTTTTAAATATGTATAGAGGAAAAATATTTTTGGGGGGAGTACTATTTTAGGGGGAGTACTAATTCAGGGGGGAGTACTATTTTTCAACCCTCCTCCAAAGGGGAGTACTATTTAAGGGGGGAGTGCTAATTTAGGGGGGAGTACTATTTCAGGAAATACGGTATAAATACATAGTATTTATTATTATTGTAGCGTTTCAACATTCAAATTAACCCAATATACAATGACAATATTTTCAATATTTTTGCTGATGGAATTACTCCAGTTAATGGAAGTAATTTAGGTGTTTATCCTGCAAGTATTCAAACAAATTATTTTCATAATCTTGTTAATCAGGAAAGTACCAAAAAGGCAGCAAAAGATTTTAAAGAAGATGTAAATTATTAACTAAATTTCTAAAAAATCGCAAAAATCCCTCGGATATTATCACAAAATAACGTATCAGAAAGAGACTGAGGACTAGAAATAAAACTTAGATTTCTGTTGTTATATCCTTTAAAGATAACGGGAGCAGGCAAACGTACCGCACTTCGTTCAAAATAGTCGAATCCGGGACGCCTTGGTATGGTTCGATGCATCTCAACGAGCTGAATAAAACTATGCTTAGGGCCTCTCAGATTCGACAAGTTTGGACAAAATTATAACTCTGCGGTACGTTGGCCTTGCGGTTTGGTACCAAGCCTTGCGATTGGTGTGTACCCAAAGATAATAGGAGGAGCTCAGCCATATTTCATAAAAATAAAATGCGCAAGAGAGAAAGAAAGTCCATCCCTAGAAATAAAGTCACATCTAGCAACTGTCTCTACTCAAAATATTTTAAATTTTAAAATTCAGACAATGAAAAAATCCTTAGAAGGGGGTAAACTTTTCTTTAGTGTTGAACGTTTTGATTACACTAAAGGAATTTTGGAGAAATTAGAAGCCTACGAAAGATATCTTAAAAACCATCCCGATAGAATTGGTAAAGATGTGTTTTATCAATTGGCTCCATTAAACCGTCAAAAAATACATACCTACAGCAGGTATCAGGTAGAAACTTGAATTTTTTGATCTAAAATTTATTTAAAATTAGAATGATTGTAGAGGTCTAGTATGGAAAATTAATAAAAAATACGAAGAAGATTATGAAAGGGAAGACGGGCAGATAATTAAGAAAGGATATGTGCCAGTTGATATCCGCACGGACGGTATGAAACGAGAAGAATTAGTTTTGCGTTATATGGCTATGGATATTGGGATTGTTACACCTGTAAAGGATGGAATGAATTTGGTTTGGGATTTTTTGAAAATTGAAAAAAAATATTTTTTAAATAAAGGTAGCTAAAGAAATGATTTTAAGTAATCCAAAAGCTGCTCTTATCCTTTCTGAAGGTGCAGGAACTCATCATCAATTTTCAGAAAATAGATTGGGTGGAGAATATCATTTGGTAATCACATTATTTAAACAAATTTAAAGTAAACACCAATTGGTAAAGTTTGGTTCAGACCCCCCCCCCCCTCCCCTCTTTCGTGTTTCCCTGACCATTTTAAACTTTTTGCTTGTAGTATTTGCTTGTAGTACCCACAATTAGTATCTAATCACGGAGGGAATACACGAAAAGTGGGATAGTGTAGTGAGGTGTTACGCATATGCTCGAATAATTACCTTCTCTTAAATAATTAACCCCTCTATCGAGAGGTCTAAGCAGTAATTATAAAGGATAATTATTTGAGCATATACATACATATATCGGTTAGTTAGTTATGGCCATATATGGGTCGTATATCATTCTGAAGGTTAAAGTCGCTTTATAAAAATTTTATCATAACAAAATTTAAATGATAAACTTTTCTAACAGAAATTGGCTGGTTAGTACGACAGAATTGGGCTGGTTTAGTACGAATTTTAATTACATGGAAAAATCATATAACGTGTTTGCGTATGTCTCGGGAATGTATGGATGAAAATCTTGTTCCGAATGAGCTTTTTAAAGTTTAATAACCATATCCCAATTTTAGACCGGGTTCCCTAGCAAATAATCCTGAATAATCATTATTTATTATCAGGTAACGGATATTACTAAGAAAAATGAGTTTGCTGATGTTATGCATGAAGCTGTAACAAACCCCAAGAATTGTGAAAGACTTAACGAATACCTCGGAAAAAACGACGTTGATAAGTATGACAAGAATTTATTGAGCCTTTATTAATTACTAAAAATTATTTCCAGATGGGGTGCTGATTTTTTAAATGGAACGGATTGAAAGAAACACTGGACTGATTCGTAGAAAATTAGCTAGAATCATTTATAGATTTCGATTAGCTATTTTATCAAATTTTTAGTAAATTTTAAATTTTTTTTTGATAAAATGAAATTTTTTTGGAATTAATACTTGAAAATAATTTTAAAATTTCTAATCTAATCAAAATACTAATCAAGCTTACACCCTCTCCTTTGAATGATCATTTCTGCTTTAGAACATCCCCATTCAATACATTGCTCTAACGAGTAACTACAAACAAATCCAGAGATGAAACCTTTAAGAATATCTTAATTTTTGGTATTTTTAAACCTCCAGCAAACGCATCTCCAGCACAGCTGGAATCAACTAGTGTTCCATTTGGTATCTCTTTAACTTTGTATTCAATCAGGTGCCCATCGTTTTTGATCACTATTAATGGTAACGCATCTCAATTAATTACAATCACTCTCTCGTTTAAGCTGTTAAACTTTGAATAAGATGTTAGTTTGGAAGTATTTCTAGGGAAAAACTCGGGAAAACTTTGTGGAATTACTATTTCTTGAATTTTTGTCCAGGGCAGTGTGTTGGATCTGAGACTGAATATCTCTGGATAAGTTTGTGAATATTTCTAATCTCACTCAGCTACGTACAACTATTATAATTTTTTATGTCATATTTTTCATACTCTCAAAAAGTTCCCGATGCCCGGAAATCGTGAATTTTTAACTATTTTTGGGGCGTGAATTGAAGATTCAAGATAATCGTAAATTGAGGCTCCTTCTCTATAACCAGCATATTATTAATTTTATTATCTCTACCTTCTCATATTTTGCCATTTCTAATCCAATATCTTTAATATCCTCTTTTTTATCAAAATTCATTTCGTTTGCAAATGCCCTATATTCATCTTCATTACCTCAAATTTAAATTTTAGTGAATTTAAATTAAATTGAGTTAAATACCAAAAATTAAATCCGAATATTTTAAAATAATCTCAATTTCTTTCTTAAATTTCTTCGTCAAATATTCAGCTCCCATATTGAAAATAAATTTTTTATTTTTGCTAGCCGCATATTCACATATCCGCATTATACAATTTGGAGAAACATTAAGGAAATGAGCCTATTTTTTCAAATTTAAAATTTTTTAAAATTCGTACTGAAGTGTAATAAACGTTAGCATTTTCAATAACCGACCAATTTTCAGGGGTTTCCAAAAATTCCAAATTAAATTTGCTCGCTGCTCCAAGATTGGCACACATAGACCTTTAAAAATTAATTTAGATTGAAACTAGAGAAGCAACCAGAGTCTTCTGGGTAGGTATATCAGTGATCGAGGTTTTGTCGTGGTAGAGCCTTTAAGGTTCGGGTCGGTGGGTTTTTTCCAAAAAAAATTTTGTGGGGCGGGTTGTACCCTAATTAAAACCGTTTAATTTAAATTTCAATAAACCTCTTCGTGCCATTTATTAACGTCAAGCATCTACCAGTATATTCATCTTCAATTTTTTGACACAAGATATGTAAACCTGATTTTTGACATTCTGACAATAATATTTCTGAATAATCATCGTTTCCTACAGAACCAAAAAATGTTGCAAAATGAATATCTGACTAATTAAAGATTATTTCTTAATCAGAATTTTTGAAATCATTTTTAAATACATTATTATCATTGTTGATTATTTTGGTCATTGTCCATTGAAAAATCCTAACTGTATTAAGTATTGCACCTCCAGGCGTATATTCAATGTTTGGATCACTTTGAGAATTGAGAATCTCGTCGATTCTATAGATTTTATAAACCCTAGTATTAAGATTTCAGATAAAAAAAAAATCAATACGCCGTAATGGCACCCACAAAATCTGAATTATAACAAATAATGGAGAAATTGGCTGCATTAGAATCAAAAATCGATAATAACAACACAAAATTTTCGTCTTTTTCTAATGAAATTCTTCTAATTAAAAATGCTTTAACAACAATTGAATCAAAAATTCAAACAATTGAAACAAATTTTAAAAACAACGAGTCATCAGCTAGCGAACAAGAACGCAATCGTTCTATTGTTGTTATTGGTCTACAAGAATCAAAATCAACAACACCATCAATTCGTGTTTGTGAAGATAAAGCCGCAATCGAAGATGTACTCAACTTGTTGGGGGTTGAGAGCCCATTCATTTCGTATAGAATGGGTAAGTATGACCCAACTGCTAGAGGTTGCCGTTTAGTTAAAATTGTCTTTGGTGCTTCAAAATTTCAGAGAATTGCACTTGCTGAATGGAAACGTCACAGAGTGGAAATGAAAAAAGAAGCTAAATGGTCTCGCTTATTGATTAGACCAAGTCTTACCCGTGAACAATTGGAAGCTGAAAAAATTGAACGTGCAAAGAAACGAGATGAATACAATAAGAAAATGAGTACAAATGTGACTGAAAGAACAAAAAACTATTAAAAGGTCGTCCAAGATTCAAGGTTTTAAAAAATTCTTTAAAAAATTCCCCTTTTTATAAATGTCTATATTTTAATAGCCGGAGCTTAGTTAACAAATTAGATGCCTTAAAATTACTTTTAATTTCTAGATCCTTTAAATTAATATGTATTTCCGAATCGTGGTTGAACAAAAAAATCGATAATTCCCAAATTATACATACCACATCTTATTCCATTGTTAGATGCGATAGAGGTTCTAGGGGTGGTGGTGCTTGTATTTTAATAGATAATATAATTCCCTTCTCTCCTGTTAAAATTCCTAAAAATAAAAACTCCGACGTTGTAGCTATAGACATTTACTCCCCCAAATTTGACAAATTTAGAATAATAACTGTTTATCGTCCTACCACAAACGAGAATTTTGAAGACTTTCATGAATTTCTTGAGACTTTAAGTTATTTACTATATATTAATCATAACTACATAATCGTTGGAGATTTTAATTTTCCAAACTTAATCTGGAAAACCAATATTCCACTATCTATCAACCATAAATCACCCTCTGAAAAATTATTTGTTGAATTTGTAGGAAATTACAATCTATTTCAAGAAATCTCTTCCCCAACCAGAAAAGATAATTATCTTGATTTACTTTTTTCCTCTTCTGCCTCTCGCGTTGCAAAAAATATTATCATTAACGCCCCCTTCAAAAATTCTGATCATAACACTATTGAATTTAGTTTAAATTTCAAATATTTCCCAAAAGAACCAGAATTCATCCTTGACTTCCACAATGCCGATTACAATCATATTAACAATATCCTAATTGGTTTAAACTGGAATACTTTGTTTTTAAATTGCACTGATGTAGATTCCCAATACACCTTATTTTTAGAAATCATTCATCAAATAATCCAAAACTTCATACCATTAAAAAAGATCAATAAAGATTGTTCTAAATTCCCTAATCATATTCAAAAAATGATCTCATATAAAAATCTTTTATGGAAAAATATTAATAAACCTGCTATCCGTGAAAAATACATTCTCACGCAACAAAAAATCGATAAAGAAATTTCTCGTTTCTTTAAAAACAGAGAAATCTCGAAATTCAACGATCTACGATCTAGATTTCAGTATATAGGGGCCTTCCTTAAATCCAAAAAAACTAAAATCCCAATCTTCAACATCAACGATCAATTTACCATTTCAGACAAAGATAAAGCCGAATGTCTGGCAAAACAATTTCAATCTGTTTTTAACTCTTCTAACTTTGACTCCTCTGACATAAAAACTTATAACAAAAATAATTTATCTTTTATTGATATCAATCCAGAGGAAATCTACAGCATCATAAACAAACTTGACAATGTTAATAACATATCCCCAGACGGAATCCCCAACATTTTCTTAAAAAATACAGCAATCTCATTAACCACTCCACTAACAATTATATTCAATATGTCAATTATGACAAGTAAAATTCCAACCATTTGGAAAAAGTCAATAATCCGCCCTATTCCTAAAAATAGTAACCCTAATGAACCTAAAGATTTTCGATCTATTTCTCTCCTATGCCCAACTTCTAAAATTCTAGAACGAATTATCTCTAATAAATTAACCTCATTTCTTGAAACTAATAATTACCTTCCCACTTGCCAACATGGTTTCCGTAAAAACCATTCAGTTATAACTCAACTCCTGGAAACCTATAACGACTACACATTAGCTATTGAAAATAAGAAATGTGTTGACGTTATATTCTTCGACCTTGCAAAAGCTTTTGATACTGTTCCCCACGATCGCCTTCTGAAAAAACTCTATCATCTAGGTATCACTGGCACCTTACTAAATTGGATTAAGGACTATCTGTTAAATCGAACATTTACAGCTCTTGTCGAATCAAAAAATTCTAATGAATATCCTATAACAAGCGGAGTCCCTCAAGGGTCCATCCTAGGCCCAATCTTATTCATCTCATATATTTCGGATATAATGGATTTTTGTAAAACAGACAAAGTTACTCCAAAACTATTTGCTGACGATTTAAAGGCCTATACCTGCTTTGACTTCCTAAACAAAAATCACTACTCTCCACTCCAAACATTTATCCAAACATTCTCAAAATACTGCGAAATAAATGGCCTTAAAATCGCTGTCAGCAAATGAGTTCATTTCACATAGGGACTAAAAATCCCTTCCACCAATATTCTCTACAAAACATTAATATACCAACCATTCCACCCAACGAACCTATTCGCGATCTTGGCATTTATTTTACATCCAACTTAAAATGGGATTCTCACATTAAAATCACAACAAATAAAGCAACTAGAATTTATTATACTCTTATAAGATCTCTTAAAACTAACAATACTCAATTCCTAATTACTCTATTCAAAATATATGTCTTACCTATCCTCGAATCTGGATCTCCTATAATTAACCCTTATTTAAATAAAGACATAAATGCTTTAGAAAATGTCCAACATAAATTCTTAAAAATAATATACTTACGCTCTGGAAAACACAATAACAATCCAATATTACCTAATTATAAAGAACTCCTTGAGCTATTTAAACTTGAATCTCTATCGCATAGACGTCTAAAATCAAATCTTATCCTTTTCCATAATATTATTTCAGGTAAAATTAACCTAAAACACGATAATACATATAGCATTCCCCCCACCACTACTAGAGGTAATCCGCATAATTTATTTATCCCCTTTTGTTCAAGCACAATTCGGAAAAACTCGTTTTTTATAGACATCCCAAACATTTACAGAAAACTTCCACCTGAATTACAAAAATCGTCAATCGAATTGTTTCCAAAGCTCCTAAACAATATAAACCTAAACAATATTTTATCAAAGTCACATTCCATTTCATTGTCTCCAGACCTTATACAGAACTTTTGATTTAAATTATAATCACTTTTCATTTTATTTTATCTGAATGTCACGTTTTATACGTATAAATTGAATTGAATTGAATTAAAATGGATTACATTGACCTAGGGATCCTTTGACTATATGATTTACTGAAATTGCGAACGAGTTCCTTATCATATTACTTGATAAATTAGATATTATAGGGATGAAGAAGATTATACGAATGAAGTCAAGAATGAACTCTACTTATTATACCTAAACTTTAGATGAAAGGCAAGAGAAGTGTAACATACTCTGTGATCTCTAACCTAATCCTTTATGTATTCTTAAAACTTTCAGTTCTTAAAACAATTTACGGACTTAGAAGCATAATCATATTAAAGAATAATGAATAAACTATTTAATTAATAGGATCTTGGTATTATTTTTTAAATTACAATTCGTCCATATATTTTTTTGTAACAAGCATAGAACCATTTTCCTCAAGACTGTGATTTTGTATAAATTGTTTGTCCACATTTGCTGTTATATCTTAAATTACATCTAATAATAATAATATTATTATTATTTTACTACCTAAAAGAGGATTTCCTATACCAACAAGAATATTTTTGTAATCCATAATTGTACAAAAAATTATTAATTATTAAACAAATATAAGATAACATAGCGACTTTTTTTAATCTTTTTTATTATCAGTAAATTATTTAATTGTAATCATTGATAAATTATTATTACAAAAAGGAATAAAACAACTATACTTTTACAAAATTTAAAGTGTTTTAAAAAAGTGTAAAATGAAAATTTAATTTGGCATATACAGGGTTATAGGGACTTTTAAATCGTAAGTTTTTAAACCCTTTTAAATCGTAAGCCCTCGGTTTTCCGTTGATTTGTGGATTTTGAAATCTCAATGTTTGGAGACATTAGAACCTCATCACTTTTGTTCTCCCATAGTGTTGATAAATATGTGGGAAAATTCTTCCTGGATCCTTTTCAATATTTAAGACATGTAAAACAATGGTTCGTTATAGGGATTAGGGACACCCTTATTAGGAACACTTTACTTTTCGGCAAAATTGAACAGAGTTTATTTAGAAAATAAAATATTTTGTTTAATAATTCGCAAAAATGTCTGAAAAATATCCAATTTGTCCAAATTCTCTCTAAATTTTTTTCGCAAAGTAGGTTTCATCGTCACAAGCGCATGATCCTTCCGATGAAATCAAATAACAAACAAAAATTATTTTCAAGGTTAAAGAGACATATTGTTCATCAATAACGTCTGTCTGTAAAATGGCGTTTTTTATGACGAAAAAAAGCTAGCGGCAAAAAATAAAATAAAAAAACGAACGGCTGGAAGTTGAAGGAATGTGAGTAGATGACTAATTATTTTTCTGGTTTTTATGTTCGTTTTTTTTTGATAGAAGAAAAAAAATTAACAAAAAATAAGCAAAAAATTTACAAGAAAGCTGGTGGATGGTACGACGAAAGATGTTACTTTTTTGGATGTTTTTTGGATGGTTTTTGGATGTTTTTTGGATGAAGGGGTACCGGAACTTGCAAAAGAAAAAGCAGCTTTTCGATAAAAATGATATTCAAGGTTATGAAAGTTGGATCATTTAAAGAGTGAAATTTACACGATAAAATTCATTTTAAAATTAATCGAAAATAACAAGACAAAAGCGATTTCCCTTAACATTTCCCATAAAACCCATTAACTAAAAATGTTTCTAAAATGCCAACATTCAACTTCTAAACCAATTTCTACATTATTACTCTTCCTCACAATATTTCTATTCCTACATTCCGTAACTCCTCTTGGATTCGGAGGAATTTTAGGCGGAACAGGCGGAGGAGCCTGCTCAACTTCAAGCTGTAATTGCCAACCTGTAGCACAACAAGCACCACCACCCGTTCCTGTATGCTCTCCACAACTTCCCCCGCCTCCAGCTCCTTTATGTGCCCCAGCATTTCCTGCTTTACCTACGTTACCTCCACTTCAACCTTTGCAATTCCCCCAACTTCAATTACCTACATTCGGTAATTTTTAAAATTAGCTTAATAAAATCCATTTCTAACCCAAAATATTCTTAAGGTAATAGTTTTGGTTGTTCGTCGTGTTCCTCAAATGTTGCGGCCGCTCCTCTACCACCACCTCCCCCACCTCCTCCTGCACCTTTGTGTTCATCCGGCTGTTGTGGCTCTAGCAATGCCAATTGTAATCCTCCAAATAACAATCAGGCAGCCTATGCCAACAATAACCGTCACAACAACAACAATAATAATCAAGGAGGATATTCAGAAAAATTTTAAAAGATAGAAAAGAGCAATTCAGGATTTGATGGATCTCTAAAATGGTTTTAAAGGAATGAGGAATTTTTTTATTTTTTGTTTAATATTTAAATATTTTGCTGTACTCCAAAGAATGTGTAAATAAATTTTAAAATATTATTCTTTAAATTTTATTTATTATTCTACAATTTACAAATTTACAAAAATTTCTAAGGTAAAAATAAGGAAAAGATATGATTTTTAATTAGCCCTTTCTACTAAAAATAAGCCATAGATTTGACTTGACTTTCTCCAATTTGTTTTTATTTTCCACACCCACAACCGCATCCACAGTTAACAAATACTGACACAGATGGACCACAACAACCACCACCACATCCTCCTAAATAATAAAAAATAATTAGGAAACAAGTTCACTCTTTAATAATTACCTCCACATGATGGAGCAGGAACTGGAGGAGGAGGAGGTACACCTCCGCAAGGATTGCAGCAACAACAAGGCGAGCCACATGGAGTTGGAGGAGGTGGTGGTGCACATGGTTGAGGGCAGCAACAACAGCAACCTTTAGATTCTCCACCACCTCCTAATCCGCCGAAAAGGAAGCTTTGAGACAAAGGCAATTCCACAATGAGGATTATTGAGAAGAAAGCAAAGAAGGTTGAAAATTTAACTGAAGACATTATTTTGTTGTTTTTGAGGGTTTGAATGTGTTTAGAAGGAGGAAAGTTGATGATTAAAACAACAAATTGAACATCTTTATATATGGACAAATTTTAAAGCCAAAACACGTTACACTAATTTTTTGTTAAACAGAACAAAAGAAAAATCAAAACCGAACTTTGATCCAATTTAGCAGACCAATGAGCAAAAGAACAATAAAAACAAAAAAATTTTGGTAACCGATAGCCTAAGGGCCATTGCACAATTTTGATTTGAAACGAACGGTGATAGCATATTTTACAATAAAAAACAATAAAGAGACGAACACATAAAAACAAAGAAAAAGCATTAATGCAAATCCAGTTTAATAAATTGTAACAAAATAAAAAATTGTTATTATTCCTGTTCAACCAGTCAACGTTAATTAAGTTCAAAATATTTTTTATTACCTAATTATTGTAATTAATAATTTATTAATTTGCAAAATTAACAACTTTATTTCTAGGGTGATTGGAAATTTCGTTCAGGAAAATTCTAAAGGTTCTGAAGGGTCCGTTAACCTTTTCCAAACCTTTTTTGTTGTTATTATTAGGCTCTGCTTTATCTTTTAAATTAACAAAAATTTTTTACCCTTTCTATGTCATGGATTGGACTTTTCCAAGCATTTCCAACAAGTTCCAATCAGTTCCAATCAAATGTCATTGAAATTTCACTCAAAAATCCCTTTTAGTCTCATATCACTTTACGCCTACTTTTCATTAAAACCAGTGTTTAGACCCTCTATCCTCACCTAAACAATTTAAAATTAAAGACTCTAATAGGCCCTAAATTAAATTTAAAATATTGATTTTAAATGCCATCGAGAATCTGCCTTGATTGCCCTCTCCTTTTTTTATAAAAAAATTTTAAAATGAGAGGCATTTAAAATTTTCTCTCCACCACGCGGCTGTCAGATGCTCTCGCCAATCCCCTCGCCATTCGTCATTTTACAAGGGCATTTATTAATTTTATTTTAAATAAATGTTTATTACCCACCTTTTATTTTTAAAATTAAATTAAAACTCCCTCATAAAAATTAAAATTAAAAAATTCAAAATTCGTAGCAAAAACCTGGAACATGAAAGAGAAAATTCGCTTGTTCCGTTTACCCCTTCCTGTAAATATTTTGATCGTTTTTTTGATTTTGTTTTTTCTACATTTAAAATGTGGAGCTGCTTTACTCTCAAAAAGAGATCCTTCAATGCCCCAACAAGTTCATCTGGCACTTACAGGCAAAGAGAATGAAATGAGTATAACTTGGTTAACTCTTTATGATTCAAGTATGTTTTGGAGCTCGACTAATTTGATAATAGATAATATTAAGTTACCCTCGCTTAGCAGGGTGGTGCTTGAACGACTTAGCAAATTACTTAAATTAATTTATTTCCCTTTTGCTTCAATAAAAAACCCTCTCTCAAATAACCGCACCTCTCGATTACCTTTCCAAATTGAACTTGAAACCTTAATTATCCTCCCACAAGCTAATTTCAAAACTCGAATAATTACTATCTCTCTCAAATAATCATCTGATTAACTATCTCCTCCAACGGCGAAGACGTGATAATAAGTATAAGCCCCAAATCTCCTACTGTAGGTTCTACTTTCAAAACTCGAATAATTGCCACATCTTAATTAATTACCACCTCTAGCAAAAGGTTGAGATAATAATAACAATGTAATTATTATTAAAGAATACACGATATTTTCTATGAATTTACATCCCAACTAAGCTGATTTTTAAGCCTGTTAACTTATTCTTTTATCATTCCCGATGTCACAAAACCCATTTAGAGTAATTTTCCATCAAGAACTTTATTAATAAAAAATAATATGAGCTTTATATTTGCTCAATTTTTAACCAAAAACAATGTTTTTAGGATATACGAAAGGTGTGCACACATTTGTCGACTATTGGGAGCTCGAAGACAAAAAAACAACGAGAAAAACAAGCCGAAAAATAAAAACAATGACGGTAAAGCCTATTAAACACAAATATTCTGACACAATTGAAGTAATAAAAATTTAAAACGAGACTATTTAACAAAAAATATTTTAGACTTCGTGTACAACAAATTTGGAACAATTAAAAACTCGTTATATTCATCGAGTTACCCTTAGAGGGCTGAGTGAAAATAAAAGATACGGTACTTTATTTGGCGAAAATTAAATTTTTTTAATTAAAAATTTGACAGAATATCAAGTTGGATATTTCAAACCTTCCAAAATTCGCGGGGTAGAGTGTACAATCCCGCAATCTTTTTCTGAGGGAAAAGATCCTCGCCATTGTAAAAAAGTGACAAGGAAAGACGTCTTCAATTTCTTCATGTTCCCTTGGTCAAACCCCGGCGATTATGATTTTACAATTGCAATATTTGGTGATCTGGGATTGAAAAAGCCGGGTGCTGTTTCTGATAAGGTGAAAAATTTATTCATAATCTGTATGGACACCAAATTTGGACTATCTATACTTTTTTACGTTTCTGAAGTCGTGCATGGACTTTAAAAGCGTAATAATACTGATAATAACATGAATCCTGAATAGTAGATATACCCTCAGGTGTGTCTTGAACAACAATTAGTTCCTCATAAATGATGTAAGATGATCTCTAACCCTTCTGAGGGAGAGAATTTCTAAGTTATTTCAAAGGGTTCCGAACTAATCCTATACATCTTAATGATTTTAAAATTTAAGCCATCATGGAGAAGTCCCAAATATGATAAGCTTGCTCCTCAGGCATTCGAGTCCTTAATAGAGCTTGTTCACAGAAATGCTAACCCAACCCATCCGATGCTTAATAAATTGAAACATCCTATTCACAAGTCGCATTTGGATGAAAAAAGTAGTGGATTTAAAATGCAAAGTGTTCAGCTTATTTTGCATATAGGTTTTTTAATCTCATAAATGTTAAAATAAATCAAATCAGGTGACATTGCTTATAATCTACACACTTGGCGTTCAGAGGGGAAGAAACAAAATTGTAAATTCTACAATCTAGGAGACCGGTTTATGACGATTATGGAGAATGTTGCGGCATATGTGCCGTATCTGGTATATTATTTTATAATGATAAAGATAAAGGGGTAACCATAATCTTAAAAAGAAAGTTGACCCAGGCAGCGGTTTTGCCATCTGCTGTTAAATCTTGCTTTATCATTAATTGGGTCTATCCATTATTGGGCCTGCCAAGAATTATCAGTTATTGGGGTCATTTATATTTACCGTTTTTGAGTGTAACTTCTAGGTATGAAGATCCCATCAAGAATAAATTGTCGAATTTTTTAGGTAATTGCTGGTAACCATGAAAATGAGGAGAAGAATGAGAACAGACCAGATCCGCCTGGCCCGGATTCATCATTTTTCAATCCACAATACGAACATTTTGAATCGCGCTTTTTTATGCCGAGGAATCTAACTAACCATGCTACAAATCATTATTATCAGTACACATAACTTAATTTATCATTAAAATTATCAAAAATTATTGTAGCTTTACATATGGTCCCATCTTTTTTGTTTGTGTAAGCACTGAATTTTATTATTCCTATTCAAAACAAGAACCGTTCAAATGGATACCGGATGTTGCCCGAATTAAAAAACAATACGAATTTATTAAATACAGTTTGAAGGTAATTAGATGTTCAGATTGAAGCCCTCGCTAATTTAATTATCAATTTAAGGAAGCAAATGAACAGCGTGAGAAGTATCCTTGGCTCGTTGTTGTTCAACACCGACCATTTTATTGTACATCGAAAAACAAACAGACTTGCAGATTTAACAAATATGTTGGTAGATTTATAATCCCAAGGTGTAAGAGACGGTCTGAGAGATTTATAGTCTGAGAGACCGGACTGGGAGATCATTAGACTGGAGTCTAGTCTGAGAAACTTGACGGGAGATCAGTTAGAAGGGAGCTCATCTCATTGTATGAGACAGAGTAACAGGCCTTGATAGTTTGACATCTATTTACAAATGGGCCTATTATTTACTCCATTTATTCCTTCCAAATTTATTAAAGCATAAAGATGGCATACCATTAACGGACCCAAACAATCCAAAAATTTACAAACTCCAATATGGACTTGAAGAATTATATAATCGTTATCACGTGGATTTGGTTTTATCCGGACATGAACACGCTTTTGAAATGTTCCCACCAATTCAACTGAACAAAGAAGTTAATAAAGTTGTCCCCTACAAGTATTGGTGGAATGCTACACGCTTAGTGAACGTTGACAATAATACTACACCTGTTCAACATGATTTTATGTCGTTTCGGGTTTTTATTTTCTTAGATAAAAGATTTCAAATTAAAAATATAGGATCCAGTTGCTCCTGCTTATGTGGTTGTTGGGCGACCAGGCAACACGGAAGAGAAGGAGCAGTTATCTGACATCCCCTATTTAGAGCGGATTAATCAATACACCGATTTTTCCATGACTTTGCTTCATTACCCAGGATCAGTTGCCAAAAAGTCGTTGATTACAGTAAGACAGGTGGATGTACTTCAAGGCAATGTTCCTATGGAATTTGCGTTGGAAAAAACATTTACCTCTTACAATATCAAAGAAATTTGTAATTCCATGGAGGGAAATATTCAAAATAAATATCAGCTAGAAAGCAGTTATTTAATCAGTGATAGAAAGCGGCACGAAAAATTCTTGGAGGATACAATAGAATTTTCAATTCATAATTATGCTGATTTAGAAGAAAAAGAACCGGATTTGGTTTATCCAGCACTTTCTAAAAATGGGGATATGGATAAAGCAAAAGAATTCCTTTTAAAAGAGATAAGCATTACTGCTGGTGAAAGTAGCAAAATTCGAGCTTTGTTTCACTCCTATAATTTGAAAAGAGAGCATCCATTGGATATTTATTTAGATGAAATGTACAAACTTGCAATAAAAGGAGTTTGTGTAAGTAATTACCAACAAATCTTGAAGAATCAGACAGAATGGAAGAATCAACAAGATTGGAAGAAACAAGCAGACTGGAAGAATCAACAAGTTCAAGAAGCCATTAGACAAGTTACTCAAAAAATTTTAATGGACCATTCAAATAAACCTCCAGAACAAAAAATCAGCAATGATAACAAGAGGAAGAAGTCAGCTACAAAAAAAGAAAATTCACAACCTAATGTTAATGTAAATGTTCAAAAAACTATGAATCCTTTTCAAAATCTTTTTGGTAAAAATATATTCGGGACAAACAAAGAAAATGTACAGCCAAATTTTGTAGCTCAAAATGGTCCACAACATGTGTTCCATTTTCAAGCAGGTGCAAACAGAAATGTCAAAAAAGGTACTCGAAACAATTTAACATCAGCTAGAAAGATTCTATATATCGTCGGAAATATTCGTCTATCTTGGCTATATTCAGCCTCGATTCTGAGGGATCATAGAATAATATACTTTCTATTATTAAAATTAGGGATAAGGATTGATATAGCGAAAAATCTCAAACTCGCTACTCTCGATACTCTTGATTTGTTAGTTCCAAAATCTAAAGATACTCGATCCTATACTGAAGAATTGAGGATCTTCAGGATAATCCTCGATTCTATACGCGACCTTTTACCCTTTTACTATAAGAAATAACTGATTAATTCAATTCATTTTTCAATAATATTTTATTCAGAACAAAATGATCACTATTTTAAAAATGGAACTAAAATATTCGGAACAAACAAAGAAAATATTCAACCAACTTTTGTAGCTCAAAAGGTTTATAATTTAATTATTAGACTAATTAAATTATTAAAATTTAAGCCTGATTCTACAAAAAATGTAAAGAAATCTGCTAGTTTTGCTCAGAATATCTCGACAGATATTCCGCAAAATTTGAATACTTCTTCGGTAAATGCGAGCAGCACAACTGGAGGATTAAAAGGAATATTGAAAGTTCCGCTACCAAAATTTCCACAAACAAGTTCTCTCAAACCCGTTCGAGTAGATACCAATACTCATGTCACAGCTGATTATTCCCCTCAAAGTTTAGACAAGCCAAATTCTCCACAAGTTACATATCGTATCAACACTCAAGTTAAAGTTGATTATGAACCTCAAAAAGACATGAAAGGAGAAACATTGAAAACAACCGAAAAATCAAAAAACAAAGTCGAAAAAATTCAAGAGGTTAAAAAACGAAAACGAAATTTTATCGGAAAAGTTAAATGGAGCGAGGATGAGCTTTATGATCTTACAGATCTTATAGCTTATTTTTATTATAGAGCTTTGGTTAAACCCTCTTGTGATATGTCAAAATTTCCACTTTTTAAAGGATATATTGCTGAAAATGGAGATAAGATTTTAGAAATGAATCCGAATGTGGCGGAAAAAATTATTTCGAATGATAAAGCAGATTGTGTTTTTATTCATTACTACAAAAGCATTTCGAATGAACAGGCGGATTATGGAACTTTGTTGGACAAATTATTTAGCTCAAAGGGGGTTTGTTTTCAATTATTATTTGTTAGAGATAGAGATCTGACCAAGACGGGAAAAATCTCATTGTTTGAGAGACCGGTCATGAAACTGAGATCGATCATTGAAGATCGATCATTGAAATCTCATTGTTTGAGAGACCGATCATGAAACACGACGAACATCCTCTCTCGTCTCTATAATAGATCAATATTTCTTTATATTATCATTCAACGACAATTTTTAGTTAAAATTTTCTGGAGACGAGATTAAGAAGCGTGTCAGTATTTCAGAAGACGGGCAAAAAGTGATATATGACGCAGTACCTCTTCGAGTTGTTCTGCGAAAACTTAAAGAAGTATCTGTTGATGGAGATAAATTTTTTGTGAAGAATCAGGATCTAATGTATGTTGAGATCGAATGATTTCAATTTTATGAATTTTCTAAATTTTATGGTAGAGTTATGAAGCAACCGAACCCCCGGATTTTTTAAAATTTATTCAACGATTCTTTAAAAAATTTAACAAAACATACCTCGACTTTATTTTTAAGTCCTCTCGAAAGCATATTTTTTTATTCGTAGTTACCGTATAACCTGTATTAATTGCCCTTCCTTAAATGATTACTTCACTTACATTAATTACCACATACAGCGATAGATTGAAACAATAATTACCGCCTAACAATGCTCTAAAATACGTTAAAAATTTAAACCTCGTATAATTACCCTCCCTGGATTAATTCCTCGATTAATTATTCCCTCCAGCGGAAGGTCGAAACGATAATTACCAAGGGTATTTATTAAAGGATATACTGTATACATATATTTTAAATTATATTTTATTATTTAAATATTCACAATTTGTATTTAAATTTTATTTTAAAAAATTTGGTTCGATTTATATTCAAAAAAATTTTTTTCTAAAAAACAGCATTTTAAAACCCAAATTTTATCCATCTAAAATTCATTTTATTCATTTTTAAATTTCTCTAGATAAATTTATTTTAGTCTTTTTCTCTCAATTTTTGTTTTGACCAGCTGGTAATTATTTTCAAATTTATTTTCGCCTTATCAGTTCTATTAATTTTTCAAATGTCAAAGCAATTTAACGTTAAATAATCGTCCTTCATCCTTCATTAGGGGAAGGTATGTGCACCAAAAGTTTAATTCCTATCATTTAATATTTCTAAAATTAACGCAAAATGTATGGCGCCCTCATATATTTTCGTAAATTTAAAAAAGCGAAAAAATTTTTAAGTTATACTGAGAGGAAATGATCGAATTATAATCGGCGACTGTAAATTAAATAATAAATTGATAGGAAATCAATATGCGCATTTAAATTACGCACGATCTACCCCAGTTCAATTACTAAATTTATTTGATGTTAATAATTTAAGTAATTATGCCTGCTCGAGGCCCCAACGCCTAGCGTACTTCGAGCTTAAGCTACCACAGAGCTATGAATTCGTTCAAAATTTTTTGATATAGGGGACGCCCCATATGTTTCAATGCATCTCGACGAGTTAAATCGACGATTTTGTTCGAAGTTATAGCTCCGCGGTACGTTGGGCTCGTGGTAAGTTGGCCTGTTCCTCTGAGGCTCCCTTCTCTCAAGGCACCGTTCCTTTTGAGGCCTGATCCCCTCGAAGCACCCTTCTCTCAAGACACCGTTTCTTCTTGAGGCCTACTCCTCTCGAAGCACCCTTCTTCTCCTCGTAAAAATTCTTTCCGATTTTAGAAAAAAAAACTTTTTTTTATTTTTTTTGATAATTTTCGACTGTTGATTTGAAATATTTTAAAAATAATTAAACTTCCCATAACCTATTTTTACTTGATTAAATTTAAAAAGAAATGCAAGGTATCAGTATGAGCAACACAATGCAAAGAAGACAATTCTCTGTATTAGCCTGTGTTTTTCAATCTATTTTTGTAGCATTATTTGCCATTTTTGGAGAATTTCATAATCATGAGGAGGATAAACACAACCGGGTTCATGCTAATTATCCCATGTTTCAGGACATACATACAATGGTTTTTGGAGAATTTTATGGGGAATCAACCCAAAATAAAAATCATTTTTAAGGTAATAATCGGCTTTGGATTTCTCCTCTCCTTTCTAAAGAAATATGGCCTCTCGGCTTTATCCATAAATTTGTTGCTATGCTCTTTTGTTATGCAATATGCACTTTTGTTGAGAGGATTTCTAAGCCCCGAATTCTTGGAGACGGGACTTTGTACTATCTCTATTGATGAGTTAACTTAAAAATTTTAGAAAATTTTTTATTATTTTTTAATCCAAGATTGGTACAAGCTGACCTCTCATGTGTTACAGTTCTTATAACAATGGGTGTTCTTCTAGGCCGGCTTACACCCGTTCAATTTCTTGTCCTAGCCTTTCTAGAGACCTCAATAACTGTTTTACTCGAGCATTTGCTTTACAATGTTCTTTTTGTGAGTATTTTTCCCAAAATTTTAAATCGTTTCGTTATCTCAAAAGATTAACGATGCTGGTCGATCACTTGTTGTTCATTGTTTTGGTGCCTACTTTGGCCTAGCTGCTGCCAAGGTCTGTCATAGACAGAATACAATGGTAGTAGATGATGATGAGTCGAGTGGGCATTCTTCTGAATTATTTGCCATGCTTGGTAAACGATTGAAAATATAGGATTAAATCCCTAAAATTAATAGGAACTCTATTTATTTGGTCATTCTTCCCCTCCTTCAATGCCGGCTCAATTCCTCATTCTACACCGGAAATGAGACATCGAGCTTTCTTAAATTCATATTTGGCAATGGTTTATTTTTAACAACCATCTAAAATTTAAACACAAATTTTTTGTAAGCAAAGGCTGCTTGTACTACCGCTACTTTTATGCTTAGCTCCTTAGCTGATCACTTGGGTCGTTTCAATATGGCCCATATTCAAAGCTCTTCTCTAGCTGGTGGGATAGCTATAGGGGCTTTTGCTAATGTTATTCTTTATCCTCATCATGCAATTGTTGTTGGGGCAGCTGCCGCACTTGTTTCGGTTGTTGGGCATGTTTTTGTTACGGTGAGAGAGATATAGAGAGAAAATAATTAATAAATTTCCAGCCCAAAATCCTGGAAAAGCGGCTGAGCATACAAGATACTTGTGGCGCTCATTCTCTACATGGACTTCCTTCTCTACTTGCTGGGGTTTTTATTTATCCAGACGAAACTTTATCCCACAAAATTCTTAAGTTCCTCAGCGCTCTCTTTGTCCTTCTCTACGAGCCATCAGAATATGGCCCAAACTTTGTAGAGCAATATAGTGCTATCTATCCACAATGGAAAGGCTCTGGCCAGCCTGGCGCGCATAGAGATCTTCGGACTCAATGTAGTTTAATTGAATTGATAATGTAAATCCACGTAAATTCAAGCTTTCTTTCAACTTGCTGGCCTTGGACTAACATTTCTAACGGCTATTTTTGGAGGGCTTTTTTGTGGATGGGTAATGAATTGGTCGTTGCTGAATCAAGTGCAGCCTAAGCCGAGTTATGAGGATGCTAGCTATTATTTGAATGCAGAATTCTCACTTTTTGGAAACGTAACATATTTTTAATTACAAATCTACCGGACATTATTATGTATGATCGAGATCTCTAAAAAATTTCGATTAACAGAATTTTTTAAAAGCCCGATTTCTCTCCTTATGAATTTTTTTTGCAGTTCTTCCGTTGATCAGGAATTATTTATCTTATTATTACATGAATTTTTAGATTGATAATTCGGGCCACGGTCTTGGTAGTTCAAATGCTTCAATTCATAAATGTGGCCGTATAGACTACAGACCTTTAGATATTGAAGCTGCCTTGAGAGCTGTTAAAAGAGCTGGAATTGGGCCAGATGCCATATTTTAATGCCAAGTTTATTACTATATTATAATTCTTTCAGATTCATTAGATTTATCATTTATGTAAATGAAAAAGATAATAAATTAATTGACGTAAATATTCCAATTGGATCATGTTTATATCAACAATCTGGGAAAACTTTCAAGTAAACACTCATTCTCTCCAGCAAAAAGAGGCATTTATTCCTTCCCTCTTTCCACGTGGAGGGATCTATTCAAATTCAAAACCCATGATTTCAATTAGTATATTTACTATACATATAACTTCTAAAATTATTTTTGTATCGTCTCAATAAATTTAGTGGAATTTTTCTTTGAAGAAATCCTTTCCAACCTTCTAACACTCATCCTTGTTTTATTTTCAACAAAACTCACTCTCTAAAAATTAAAAAAATTTTTGATAAAATTTATTAAAAAGCCTTACTTTTTCAACCTTTTCTGCAAAACTTTTTGCATATTTTCTGCTCTCCCAATTCCTAATTATCCACCTTATAAACGATTTTACACTAATTAAGAAGATTATAGACAAAAGTATAGCTGCAGTGCCTATACCAACCATCGGATCATAATTGCGATAAAAATCCTCAAAAGACTTCTCTGGGTTATAACTGCAAATGAATATCATTAAAATGATTATTGGCTTCATATCTTTCGTGAATTTTGGTTTGCCCGAAAAAGTCAGAACTTAGACAAAGAGTATTGCACACTAGATCTAATCTTCTACATATTCTAACCTTCCCTCTATATTTTTAATCTAAACAAGATGTGATAAATTACAATACTCCTAAAAAACATTTCCTTAAAAATATGAGTATAAATATTTTGAGATCAAGGTGGACGATTCACCCCAATATTCTGACATCCATGTTTTAATTCTATGGCACATATTATTCCCCTGGATTCCTATATAACTATTAGATTTGTTCATCCTAAGTACCCCCAAAAGACCTTTTTCTTGAAATAGTTTAAGTAATTTTAAGATAGTTGATAATAAGAGATGATCTAACCAAAAGATACACCTACGACTTTGTCTATATCCCAATTTAATTATATGGTCCATATTTTCGCTCTGTTCCTATAACTATTAAACCAGTCCACCCCAAATATTCAAATTAAAAAATTACCTTTGGAAGTCTCGTTTATCCGGTGGTTTACAATATGGGTGGCAAGCACGTTTTTCATGATACATTATTAAAAAACTAAAAAATTTTGAATAAATTCATTTTAAATTGACTTTTCTAAAGTAAATTTTAAGCAAAAATGGCCAATACTTTTTAAACAAAAAAATATTTAAGTAGGAACACCAAATATTTGTACTAAAAGTATTGGGTTTCACATAAATATGCAACCGCTTTATCCTCTTCTTCCTTTTTTAAAGTTACGAAAATTTAGTTTTTAAAATGGCAACATTTCCCCGTCATTAAAAATAAATAAAAGGAAACATTAAACCCCCCCTCCCACGGATAATCTAAAGCCAGGGCTCTGGTTTAGTTTAGATGGTCGATGAAAGTCTAGCCCAGGGTTCAGGTCTAGTTCAGTAGTCCAATGAAAGTCTAGCAGTACATTCAAAATTTATATGAATGAAATAAAAGTTTATGAGTGTCTCATAAATCTTCACTCATAAATAGTCATGGAGAACATGAATTTTAATCGGACCTATGAACTTTCATAGGACCTTCATTAGACTATTAAACTGTACCACAGTCAAATTAAGTAAAGGAAATCTCGTCATAATTTGCCCACGAAAAATTGAAAACAATGAACGTCAGAAAGCTCCTTAATATAGAATTTTTCTGATTTTATGAATTCTGTTTTTATTTATATTTATATTTATTGTTCCAAAAAGTTTATCATGTGTGAGAAAATTTTGGAGTAAATGGCTTTAACCGCTTAAGATTTTGAGTTTATTCTTGAGTAAGTGAAAGAGACAACTAAAAGCAGTTGGAAAGAATATTTCGATGAAAATTGGTGGGGAAATTGAAAAAAAAAATGAGAAAAAAATAAGAAAAATGAAGAAAATGGACTATAATATATTATATATTTTTTATGTAGTAATTCTCGTCGCTATGTCACGAAACCCTTGGGAAAGACAGTTGGCGGCTGGCAAATAGTATACTAGACATATTTATTTCTTCCGGAAATATATTGAAGGGAAACAATGAAATATTTAAAAAGTAATTAAACGACTTTAGAATTTTTTTAAATTATTTAATATTTCAAGGGAAGGAGTATTTTTTAGCAGTACTTTATTCGCAAAAGTTGATTTTTAGTTAATATATGCAATAATAATATCCATAAAACTTAGTTGTTAGGAAGGCTTAAGCTGTAAAGAAGGATGAGATCCCTCGATAAAACAATACATTTAAACCCACTATTTATTTTAGAAGGGCTATAGAAGGACTTAGCTAAAGAGTAACCTTAAGAATGTTTTTTCATTAAATTTGAATTTTATTAAAATTAAAAAAACATCAAGGAAAGACTTGAATGAGGTTGAGATCAGTGCTGAGTATTGGTCATTTTTGGATCCGGCTCCGGCCTTTTTCAAATCTTGGCTACGGCTCAGGGGTTTTTTAAAGGAGCTAGCTCAAGGTCTAGCTCCGAGCCATACCCATCACTGGTTGAGATCAGCTATAAAATGAGGGGAAACATAGGCAAGTAACAAGTAAATAGGTACGTAACAGAAAAAAGTAGAGAGACAGGTACCTGATTTTTATAAAGAGATACATAGTAGATAAGAGATATCAGCTTTTCTTTTTTAATCTATTAATCTCTAATGCAGCTACTTCTCTGGCACTTTTATTTCCAGTACTAGTTTCCTTCCCTTCAACATGAGTATCCAACAAACTAAAACTTATTTTTCTATTGTGATTTGAACTTGTAGTTGTTGGTGAATGTTCTTGATAATTATCTGAAAAATTTCAAGTCCGATTTAAATCGTTAAGATATCTACCATGTGGATGTACTGAAGGTGTTGCACTTCTTGTTAAGCTTAGTCTGTCGCTGCTTGGAAGAAGATCACTTGCGGTGCTGTTTTTAGCCGATGATTTTGTAACCGAGCTGGATGGCAGCATTGCAGAGCGCAACTTTTTCAATGGGCTCTAAAGGAAATTTAAGGATATTGAAGGATTTTGAAGGATTTTGATGAGTTTTGAGGCGATTCTCCAATAATTAAAAAAATATTTGCTTTACCTTAACAACACCAATCGCCTTAGTTAGTTTACTAGACGAAGAGTGATCGTGTGAAAGGCTCTCTGAGCTACACAAACTGTCGTCCAAATCATCAGAAGCAATATTTGAATGTCTCAATGGCCTATCAGGTTGAGAACAACTTCCTATGGATACTTGCTTTGTAAGATTTGAACGGTTTAATTTAGTGAGCGCCTCGTCTTGTCTCGAGCTTGGTCTATAATATAATAATTAAGTTAGTCACAAATTTCCTATCAATGTTTTTATCAATTTTAAAAATTATTTTTTAAGCGCACCTACTCGACGGTGTGACAATCACTTGTGTATTAGATACAGGAATTGTTTCATAGACTCGAGATTGAGACAAAACTGCAACTGCTTGTTGTTGGGCTCCGTCAACAGAGGATTCTTGTTCTATCCTTCTAGAACTAATTGAAGATTATTTTTTAGATATCAATTCTAATGCCTCTGAGACAAGGGAGAAATGCAACGATTGATAATTCTTCCTCTTTCCACTGTTGTTCCACTAGAAGTTGTAGTAGTGCCTGGAGCAGTACTACGAGGATTTGGACGATAGACTACAGCACCACGAGTATTTCTAACAGCAGCGGGTACTTGACGATAGGAAAGGAAACGTGAAAGACGGGCGTGGGCATTCCTTTGAATAACTCTTCGCCCAGCACTACCGCCAGAAGAACCATTGTGATTTGGAGCAAGGGAAGTAGATGAGGCACTACAGCCGATACGTCTTCGAATTGATTGGGTACTTGAAATATGTTTAAAATTTGTAGAGTTTTTCTATATACCGAGCAAAATTTATAAGCACCGAATCTTCATCAATTAAATTTTCTGGGTGTTGTGAAAGATACCTTTTCCATAAAGCGTCTGTTATTTCTGTACAATACATTACTCCAGCATGGAGTGCTATCATTCTTAGCACCAAGACTCCATCTACCTTGACAAAAAATGGCTTAGAAAATCTATAGAAATTCATAATATTTTTTCGAAAAATGATTTACAATCCAAGGAAAGGACCATTCATTTGAGATATGAGAGAATACGGTAGCTATGTTCAGGGGTATTTTTAGAGGTAATACCAGAGGCCTTAGACCACCCTTCGCAACTAGCTATTTTTATGCCAAAATATAGTGACCCCATTAAATTCTTTCGATTATTAAAAAAACCTTTAAATAAGCCTTCAAAAAGTGTTCAACTTGTTTTCTCTTCTCCTTTCTAAAAAGCTCGGGACGATCTGGATCGGAAGTAAGCTATAACGATTTACTTTTTAAAATATTTTTCTCAAAAATCACCTCCAAATGTCTCAAAACGAACCGAAACCTATCTCTATGAAACAAAGAAACACTAAACCAATATAGGCCATCAAATAGAGTTATAAAAAATAGAATACAGAACCATAGCCATAACAAAATGAATATTTTTTCGTTAAAAATGTTGATAACTAATACACACTAAAGATAGTTCAAATTATTTTTTTTTAATTTTAATTATTAAATTATTGCCTGAACAGAGTGTCTCTGAATATTTCCCAAAACTCTAACTTCAAAATCACACTAAAAATAAAATTTTTTATCGGATAAAATGAAGACTTTATTAATAAATGTTTACCAGTGTAACACGAGGGAAGTTGCCTAAAAATTTTTTGAAATTAAGACAATGAATCAAAGGATCACTTGTTATTAGATATTCCCTAGATTAGATACTACTCGATTTAAGATACAAGGTAAAAATCAGGGTGACCCCATAGGTGGAAGTACTCCCTAATCCAACCCCATATTAAATTCCTCTCAATATATTTTTTTGAGATTCAAGGGTATATTTAAGGGTATTTAGATTTAGATATCGATTAGACTACTTAGATTATTTTATTTCCCTATCAGGATAATTTTTGAAGAAATTTCCAAATTAAATGCCTGATTGAGTCCAAGACTTGCCAAGCAATAATAAATCATAAAGGACACCAAGACCATAAATACTGTAATTATTAGTTTCTAGGAATTTATTTACAAGTAATAAATTTGTGAGAACATTTCCAACATAAAATACTTTTGTGGCCTTTAAATTAATTTTAAAAATTTAACAAATTGTGGCGAAAATATTAAATTACTAAATACATTCCAGTCACGTAGCTTTCATAATAACGCAGATTAAAGCATTTAAATACCCGATGTAGTGTGTATTGAGTGCGGGATGTGGCTGTATGTTGGTACCTTTAAAAATTAATTTCTCGAGAAAGTTTTGAGCCAAAAATGGCAGCGTTCTTAGTAAGAGATAGGACGAGGATATCAGGAATTCAAAAAAGTGATATCACACGATCATCAATATTAGGATTCTCGTGGTTATGGAAGACATCATGCTCCAACCTATATCTATTCTAAGATACCATATCTTTCAAAATGTAACCAATTTTAAATTAGCTAAACTACTCAGTTGTCACTGGGAAGAGCTCTTGGGGATAAACGAGAGTCTGGGAGGGGCCTAGTTTTTGGTGACTGGAGGGAAGGGTCTTTGTTATCATCTTTGTTATCATACCCTCATTAACACAGGGTCATTTAACTTCGAAATATTCTTTTTCATTTATGTAATATTAAAAATTATTTTCATACTAATCCCAATTTTCAAAAAATTCAACAACCCTATAAAACTTTTCTCAAACCTTAAAGCTGCTTCGATATGCCTAGCAAGTGATTCAATTGTTCTCATTCCTTAAATCCAAAAATCAGAATAATAATTATATAAATTATAAACTATATTCTGGTTCAATATTCTCCTTTTCCGTTGCCATTTGTACAATATCATTTAAACGGATACCTTCAAAATTTCTCAAAATTTTTCAAAAAAAATATTTTCGAATAACTACCAGATTTATCACTCATTAATCTCCAAATTAAACATGGGCCATAAAACAAAAAGGCTTGGATGAGCAAAAAGAAAGGCACCCATTGGTAATAAGAGATTTTACGGTAATCTCTTTCTGCAATCTCTTCGGGAATGTCTTCGTCTACGGGGACAAAGTACGTATTTTCTGACCTTAATTCAAAAAAATTTTTCTATTAAGTTAGGGTTCTTTTGTTAATTTATCTTGACAGAAAATATACTTGCCAGCAGAACATCTCGGTGTAGGCCTCCCATGAAGAAGTAAATTGAGCAGGTACCCAACATTCAAGGGGACGACCTCCAAACTAATTTTTAAATTATTTTTAAATTAATCGCCCTTTCAAAATCACCTGTTTAAAACTAACTAAAACGGCCATCATAATTAAAAATGAGGAAGTGTAAAAATAGGAAAGACGATCAACAAGGTCATCGTCCTTAATAAAATTTTCAAAATTCAAAGTTTTAAGGGTTCCTCACTTTTTGATAGCGAAGAAATGAGAGAGCACCAAACATATTTTGGAGGATCATGGCGCCTAGCTCAAAGATAGCCGCTTGTTGATAATGGGATGTTTCGCGTCCGTGTGCTCCGCCTAAAAAAATTTTTTGAAAAAAATTTTTTGTTAGTTTAGGTTGGTAGAGATAATTACGCTCATGAACGTTCGTAAGAATAATTTTCGAGTAATTCATAATGTGAGGCCAGGAATTTATTACCTTTAAGACTTAATACCACAAGTCACTCGAACAATTGTTTGTGCTCATAAGCTTAACTCTATAACTATTAACCTTAACCAAATTACGAGAAAACTAAAAAAACGAGTATGATCTTTAAACGACTGAACCCCAGCGTTCATTATTTTGAAACATATCCAACATTAAAATATAAATTTAAAATTATTTGAATACCCAAACAAATAACAAATCTGCAGCACCTTTATTTCGCTTTTTATTATGTAGATGATGCTTTGATTGCCTCAATGCCGAGGCCGAAGGCCACAATGGCATATATAAATAAAACAAAAAAGTTGAAGATTTTGGGGAGGATATTCCAAAATTTTATAGATATTTATTTGGTGAAAATGGGATAAAATAGAGGAAGGAGAGGATTTATAAAGAAACGAGAAAGACTTTGAAAATAATTATGTTTAAAAATTTGAATTATAAAAATTTTCTGCAAAACTTGAGAAAATAGCGACCATGTAGCGACCATGTTATTACCGAAGTAGCGACCATGTTATTACCGAAATTTCATTAGCAATACATTTCTTTTGGCCCTTCAAAATTATTTGAAGGGGCTCCAAAAAGATTTTGGCGCTTCCGGGGTTCATGCAAGAGAACGGTGGGTTCTGGCAAGTTCTTGGAATCGTTTCTCGAACCTGGGTCTAACATGCTAAAGACTAACATAACCTCGCTACTATCATCATTCATTGATAACGATATATCTTAAGGTCCCTCCTATTGTTCTGAGTGTTCCGAAAATTATATCGGGTCCTTAGTCCCAGTTCCGAAAACCTTAATTCCTAGAAACGCTTCCTGAAATCGGGTCGCTACTTAACTTCGCTACTAATAATAAAATTGACTTTATTTTTTTAATAAAAAGCATTTTTATAAAAAAAATTTTTTGAGTAAAAGCATGAAAATAATGAGAGAAGTTAATTTCAAAGCAAATAAAAGTATTAATGAAAGAATTCAAAGAAAAATGGGGACAGTTACTTTATTAATAGTGACAGTCCTCAAAGTCTGTCAATAATAAAAAGCTCTAATTAAATTTAAATGTACTCCTTTATTGCGTGAAAAAAGCGGAAATACAAAATTTTATTAAAATTTAAATCGATTTAAAACGAAAAAGAAATTTATTTTTAAAAAATTGTACTAAAAATATACACGTGAACACATCTTTTGAGTACAAGATTAATTTTCTTGCCAAATTGACACACCGGATTTGGAGAAAAATGAAAGGAAAACTGAAAGGGGAATTAGTAAAAGTGAGAGAAAAGTATCAAGAAAGGAAGCCAGTAAATAGAGGAAGATGCCTAAAAGTAAAGCCGGATTAATTGTGTGTGAGAGAAAAAAGGCTTGTTATGAAAAAAACTTTTATTATTTAAAAAAATATTTTTATTTATCAAGCAATCCCGTGGGGATATAAATAATTTACTATTATTTTTCCTGTGGGAAAATCAATTAAAATATGTTAGCTTTTAATAATATTTTTTCTAGAATTTTTAGAAATCATGCAAATATTTTGCTGTTTTTTGCTAATATTTTATAATCACACATAAATGTTTTTTAAATATCTATTAATACATAAGCAAGACATCTAATAAGAATAGAATCCCCTCGCCTTCCGAGTTGCAACACGACAGTATTTTGCTCCCACGAACAAAAAATCCTGTACACGACACGCTCGTTCCGTTTATTCTTGTTGAAACATTAGCGAGGACTCTCCGAAATAGAAAAATATACACTCGTAGAGCCCGGAATTGTAATGACGTACGAGAATCAAGATATAAGATGGGTAAAATCCCTTGGTAAAATTATCTTTTGTGGTTGATTTAATTCTAGAAAACTTATAAATTATTTCTCGTTTAATGCTTTGTTTCATTTCCCAATATTTAATTAATTGTGCGTGTTTAGATTAAAAATTGAAATTTCTTAAAATAGAATGAAAAGCTTTAAGTAATTGATAGCAACACGAATTATAATTCGAGAGGTAAAGAGAAGGTAAGTTTCTAAAATTAATAAAACGAATAAATTTGTGTTAAATTGAGATTACAATTTTTATTTTATTTAAATTCCCTTTTTGAAAAAGGAATTCCGAAAAATTTATTACAAGGATAAAGAATTGGATTTGAGTATCTTGGAAATAACAGTTTAATTTTGAAAATAAAATAACATTTTCATGATTTATGTTTATGGAGAATACTCAAATTTTTAAATTCCACAAAAAAAAATATTTGGTTACGCAGAAATTTTGAGAATGAGAGATTCTACCGTATAATTTAATATCACCCCTCAATGGCACTCTAAATTATCCCCAGAATCTAACGCTTTACCCTTCTACCAAATAAAATTTTTATATTTTCTTACGCTGAGTTCCAAACTGTAACGAATTATGAAAATGTCCAGTAGTTGAGGCTTGTAAAGCTGCAGAACTTCCAAAAAAGGGCTTTCTCATTATTAATTAAATTAAATGGGAAAAATAATAAAGGCAATAATAATAGCAATTTTGTGATAATATAAACATTGATAATTATTTTATTCATAATTTTCATTACTTAAGCATTTTACTAAAAATCGAGATTTTTTTAATTTTCAAAAAAATTTTTCAAAAAAATTTTTCAATAAAAAAACAATAAATCAAACAGAATTATTTATTGGATTTTTCATTTAAAAAGGCTGTCAGGAAATAGATAAAGCAAGAAAAAGGGCAATCTATTACACTTTACTAGGCAAAAATGCCGTGGGTATACCATCCAATTAACAAGGAAATATTCGCGCAGCTTAGAAAAAATGCCGCCTTTTGATGCGTGCCGATATTTTTCTTTCATTTTTTATTGATTTCTGAAGGCTTTAAATGGCAAAAATAAATAAAAAAATAAAATTTGGAATATTAAATTAATAAAAAAAAATATTTTTAATTTCAATACCAACACTATTCTTAAAAGAATTTGGCTAAAAATAGCTCTAGAAATGTTATATAATTAATTTAAATATTAAGAAAATTGCTAACAAATTAGGTAATCTATTGTCCTAAATATTAAACGAATTTGGGCACTATATGAAAGGAGGTCGATAATCGTTTTTTCAATACTTTTTTCATTAACCTTTTTCCTGCCTTAATATATAAATAATGGTCAGTCTTTTCTTCCTCGTTCAATTCCACTCTTCTTACCTGTGGCATATTCAAATGAAGACAGACAAAACACACACACTGACATTGTGTTCGTCCTTGTTTGTCTGTCCGAGTCTGTCCGAGCTTTGTCTGTCCGAGTCCGTCCGAGTTTTGTCTATCTGTGTCCGTCCGGACGGACTCGGACAGACAAACTCGGAAGAACACGAACAGAAAACACTCGTGTTTTGTCTGTCCGTGTGTGTGTTTTTGTCTTCTTCATTTGAATATGCCACAGGTAAGAAGAGTGGAATTAAACGAGGAAGAAAGGACTGACCATTATTTTTATTTAAGGAAGGAAAAAGGTTAATGAAAAAAGCAATGAAAAAACGATTATCGACCTCCTTTCATATAGTGCCCGAATTTGTATATTTTTGTTAAAATTCTTGGAAAAATATTTTTGCGCAACAATTTAGCAAAATTAAAAATTTAAAAAATATTCGTGACCATTATTTTTAAATTTTTGTGAAAATAAAGGTTATTCAATTGTAAAGTTTAAAAGAAACATTGCTAAGGAAACATAAAATAATTTTAAAAAATACTATTAATTTTTAGTTAATAGGTAAAAAAGTCGGCTTTCAGTAAGGGAGGGAAAGGTATAATTAGATTTGATAAATTTAAATTTTGCTATAATCACTTTATTAGGGATCTCTTAGCTTAGATATCAGAGTCATAATATTAACCTCCAATTAAAGCTTCGATTTTTTACCTGGCCCATTTCTAACTAATGAGATTGCCAAAAAGAGATACTCGGTAATTTAAGAGAAGCTCGATACTCTCGGTAGAGTTAATGGCAAGAATTAAAACGGGCCAAGATTGGATTCTCAGTCGTTTTAAACTAATACAAGCTAATGAATCTTATAAATTAGTCCATAAGGCTTGGAGTTAACTAATAGGATTCCCAAAAAGAGATACTAAATAAATTAAAAAAGCTCGATACTTGGTAGACTTGAAGTGGAAAGGATCAAAACCGGCCAAGTTCTAGATTGGATCATCGGCGTTTTTAACCTCTTTCGGTTTATTAACCCTCATAAATCAGTTCAGACTTATCTGAACTTATCCTCAGAAAAATAAAAATGACGATTCTCAATAAGAATCATTCCTTTACTCCTATAATAACACCAACCTTTTCCGTGTGCCTGTTGGCCAAAGCGAAATGCCATTAATTCATTGGCAGTGCCAACGAAGTAAAGAAGGAGGAACATTTAAAGGGAGTGGGTGACAGCAACGATTTAAAGCCAAAAATAGAAGAGACAATGACAATTAATGCCAGAAATGAAGGAGGTACGATGCTGCTCATTTTAAGGTTGAATAAATGAGATGAGAGGCTTGTCAAGTAGAAAAAAATGCTGCAAATTAAAGCAGTGAAGTATTAAAAAGGAGATGGAAAATTAATTTAATGTAGTTGGAAATAGTATTAATTTTTAAAGTTTGAGAGCGGAAGTAAGGGTTAGAATTTAATTTTTATTATTAAATTAATGAATTAATTTTTAATTATTTTTCTGAGATATTTTGTTGTTTAATTCACAATTAAAATTAATTTTTTTATTGTTCCTTTTTGTATTTATTTTTATACAACAATTAATTTATATTTAGCGTCTCCTTTAGTTTTAAATATTAAAAATTAGTTTAATAATTTAAAAATATAGGGAATAATAAATTAAATTTATAGACAATATTTTGATTTATTTTACCAAATAAAAGGAAGAAAAAGTTAAGTAAAAGTTGCGGAGGGATTTTTGCTTCCTTATAAAATCCCTAGACAATAACACTGCTTCCTAGCGAATAGAACAAAGAAAACGGCCGTCAAAACGTTCACACATAAATATTCTTAAAAAATTTATTTTTTATTGTTTTAAGACTGTGCTGAATATTATATTCAAGACAAAAAATTTTGGGAAAAAATACATTCCAGAAATCATAAATGAATTAAGCAGAATCCCTTATATAATACACAATAGGGATGTCTCATTAGGGGATGTCTCATATCCGAAATCCGAACCGAGACCCGAAACCTGGACTTTTTTCGACCCGAAACCCGATCCGAAGAGGATTTTGAAACCCCGATCCGAGTCCAACCCGACTTTTTTCTCAACCCCGTTCCATTCCAGATACACAACCCTTGATATATTTGAATCAGAATATCCATAAGAATCCGACGTTTTATTATCTAATCTATCTAAGCTCACTGGTTTTAAGCAAGGGAACTTGTTCCTTAGATATACATCATGAAATAAAATGTCAGTTGTAATAAAATAAAATTAAAAAATTTAATTGGATGAGACATAAAGGATATGAATATTGACAGCTATACCTTTTTCATTTGTAAAAAAGTATTATAAAAAATTATGTCTACAAAATGAAAATAAGCTTAATACAAATAGGATTAGTTAGGATAATATTGAATCACAATTATTCTCCAAAATTCCAGTTTTAAAAATTAATCGGGTTCAAGCAGTACTTGGTGGTGTACCTGATTTTTAATAATGTCTGTTAAAGCGGTGTCAATAGGCATTCTTAAAAGAGTCTAATTTAAGCCGAGATTTAAAAATACTATACATACAACTCCCAAATTTTTGATAAATATATTAGCCCCCCACTCCACCCCCCCCCCCCAATACACTAAAAAATAAAAGTAAAAAAAATTATGTAGTAAAATAATATAAAAAAAATTTATATGGATTTATTCATAATCTCATGGAAAAATAAAGCAATGTCTGAATTGGCCCAGAATTAAAAAGAACAAGTACCCAGCCATCAAATGAAGGAATAAAGAAAAAATAATGTGCCATATCGCTGTTGCTGTAAAAAATGCCGCGCGAGAAAAAGGAAAATTTTTTGTCGTCGAAAGCGTTTGTGAGAAAAAGCTGCGGGGAAGGAGTAAATAAAAAAGTAAGAAAAAAGGGAAGTGGGCACGCAATTGTATCTGGCAATAAATGTGGTAATCCAACAAAGGAAGAGCCGTTTTTTATTTTAAATATAATGTCTAAACCCAGGGTGAATAATAATAGTAAAAAATTCATTTAAAAATTATTTTGAGGTATTTCCTAGTAATCGGAAATTTTAATAAAGACCACTCAACCGTCTTGATTCTTGACCTTGACTTTAAGCATGGACCTTGACCCGATGCTTGACCTTGGGCAAGGAAAAATAGAGGTCTAGGAATAATCAAGGACGCTGAAAAACGCTCTTGATCTAACTGGATCCAGGAAGAAGGTCTGTATCCAGATCCAGGCCGATCTATAGTATGTTCCCTATGTGACGTTTTTGAAACATTTATGTGTAACTGAAAAAGACAAGTGACCGGACTTTCTCCTCCTGACCGGACTGGAGGAGAGACGGATCGAATCTAAATAGTTATCGAGATCAAGAGATTATCAAGTTATCAAGTCCATTCTCCGGTTATCAAATCTATGTATTCTCTATTTAATGCTATCCCTATTCCCAATATTTCTAAACATAGATTCTTAAAGGAAAAGTACATTTTCTTCAATGTTTTATCTCGTTCTGTTATTACAATATTATCCTCCTTTATTAATCGAATCGTTCTGTTATCCTCCTCTATTAATCAAAAATTATTTTAAAAGTCTAGACTCCTAGCGGCTTTAAAAAGAGAAATCCATAGAATCCAACATGATTAATCAATTGCTAATCCCCCCCCCCCCCAATCAAATCCATAATAAGAGTCGGCATATCAATTTTCCTTTTATCTACCCTTTTGAAGAAGTCCCGTCAATTCATTTAAAAAATTTGAAATTTCATAATTTATTAATAAAAACAATTCATTAAAAAAATTTTTAATAAAATTAAATATGGAATATAAATTATTTATTTTAATTCTATTTTTCTTGATTGAGATTACAGGTACTGAATATTTCTAATTAAAATAGGTAAATATTGAAATATTTTTAGATGGCATGGACAATAATTCCAAACATGGGCATAGTCGTCGCCCGAGTAAATAAAATTTATTTTACTTTAAAAATAATTATTTTAGAAAATAAGGAAAAAGCTTCACATAGTTCCCCGCCTCAAGAAGGAACTTCGGTCCGTAAAAATGTGCCTAATCTCTCTTCAAAGCCTTCAAACCCTCCGATGCCTTCAATTCCTTCAACTAAGCCTTCTGGTTCAGCAAGTCAGCTTGTTTCTTTGAAAGATATAGACGGTCGCTACAAGGATTCATTTAATGAAGGGGACGCCTCAAACATTGAGGAACCTTCGGATAAAGAGAAACCTCATTATTACATCAGTTTCTAGTCTTTTAAAAGAGATCATAATTTAATTCAATTTCCTATTATTTTATTCTTTTATTTTAAAATTTTTCTTCGGATCTTAACCAAAATTTGATTTGTTTTAAATCAAAATCCTTTATTCTATAAATTTTCAAAAATCTTTCATAAAACCGTTGAATTCTAATTGTTAAAAATAAATTATTTTAGTATAGGTTTAAATTATTTTCTCATGCTATAAAGCTTATGTAGTGTGTTCTTAATTTTGTGCCGATTTTTCATAATCACTTGAGATTGGTCAGAAACGAGAGTCTGGACGAAAGGATAGATCTGATCAAGACGAGAGATTCATCAAGATCGAGATATCGACATTATCGGTTCTCAAACCTAAGGTTCGGTTTTACCAGATTCATTGGTTAACCGAAACCGAACTTCTATTTATTGTCAACCACATTTCTCAACAGACTAAATCCAATTGAAATTATATGTAGATACTCTCCTATTAATCAAAAACTTTTTTAAGAATCTTGAAAACCTAAACTCGATAGGGCTTTTAATCTAGACTTTAAAAGGCTTTAAAAATTAAATCCATAAATGCCAACATGATTAATCAATTAATGCCCTTTCACTCTTATCCTCTCCCCTAACTCCCCTCTCCCCAATTCCCTCTCTCCTCTCCCTCACTCCTCTCCCCTCTCCCTCTCCCTCTCCTCTCTCCTCTCTCCTATCTCCTCTCTCCTCTCTCCTCTCTCCTCTCTCCTCTCTCCTCTCTCCTCTCCCCTCTCCCCTCCCCTCCTCTCCCCTCCCCTCTCACCCATGATTATTGGGCATGTTAATTACCTCTCCTCTAAATATGCCCTTCTTGACAGGCTATACGACAGTCGTTTAAAATTTAAAAAATTTCATAATTCATTAAAAGAAACTTATTTAAAAAAATTATAAAATTATGAAATATAAATTATTTGTTTTGCTTGTATTTTCTCTGATAGAGATTGGAAGTAATGACTGGATTAAAAATATTTTTTAGATTTAAATATTTTTAGATTGCATGGATGAGCATAATTCCAAAGGCGGCCTTCGTCATCGCCGCCGTTAGAAAATTTTTTATTAAATTTAAAAATAAATATTTTAGCGAAAAAGTACGATGATTTGCCTGTTTTACCACCTCAAGGTGGCACATCGTCAAAACCTCATGTTGGCACAGTCAAACATGTGCCTAAACCTAAACCAGCTTCTCCTAAGCCTCCAAACCCTCAGATGCCTTCAGCACCTCTACCGAAACCTGAAGAAACTCCGGTTTCTTTGAACGAGATATGCGATGCTTTTGGTGTTCCGTTTGAGTCGGAGAATGCTTTGCGCCAACAAAATTTTAATGCGCTTGAAGGACCTTCTCAGGCAAAATTTCTGTTATTAATGAATTATTAATGAATCTATAATTATATAAATTAAATAAACATATTTTAGCACACATCGAATATCCAACATCCTTCGGCTAAGTATGAGGAAGATGATTATCCAGAAGATTAGAATTGTGGAAGGGATATCTTGATTCCATTTTTGTGGATTTTATTTTTAAATCTTTTTTACTTTCAAGTTTTTTCTTCGGATTTTAACCAGAATGATATACTAAACCTCTATTCTTTATTCTTTAAATTTTAAAAATCTTCCATTTAACCTTAGAATTGTAAATTATTAGCATTTAAATTAAATTATTTCACTATTAGTTTAAAATATTTTCTCATGTCATAAAACTTTTTCAAATTTTTTATTTAATTTAAACAAATCAAGACAACTGATGCTCTTTGCAAATTACAAGATTTTAATTTATTTTTACTTTAAATTTACATCACAAACTTCCCTCAATAATAAAATGTATTTACTCGACATAAAATTAAACTTCTTATTTTGTGATTGTTAACCAAGTATATTTGTCAAAACAATAAAATTAATAACCTTCAGAAATTCCTTACTTTTCCGATCCATTTGTTTAAAAAAAGTGAGTCCAATATTTAGGGTGGTTTTTCTAAATTCCATGCGATCCGACGTTGTTTAACTTTATCAAGGTGCTTGTTAATCTAGCCTTTTATGTAGCCTTTTTTGTTTTAAAAAAATGCCTAATATCCGGTGGGGTCTTAAATCCCGCTGGTTCCTAAGTTGATTGAGTAAGTTCCTAAATTCCTAAGAGCTAAGTTCCTAAGTTATTCTTAAGTTCCTAAGAGCCTTACCAGGATGCTAGTTTATGTGACAAAAGGTTACTTATGCTATTTATGCTTTTTAACATTTTGCTTTTTATTTTTTCATTGAATTATACATAATATCCATGTTAAGCTCCTAAACATAACTTTCATAATAAAATCTGGTCCATATTTTCTATTTTTCACATTTTTCACGTCATTTCCATCTTTCTTTAATTGCCAGTCTTCCATCTTTTTTTATTTATTTCTTAATGGAAGGAAAGATGGTTTTAGTAAACTAATGGCCATTATAGCCTTTGGACATTAGGCAATAAAAAAAAGCAAAAACTGGAGGGACATAAGGTTTAAAAAAATATTTTTCCTCATTGACCTGGTTGGAAGCTTTTAACTTTTGCTCATTCATCAAAGATTCTCCCTTCTAAATCCCCTTTTTCCTCATTTCCTCTTTGCAGGTTGTTTAGGGTTTTTTTATTAATTTTTTTAAAAAATATTTTTTGAATCAATCAAAAATTAAAAAAACATTTTTAACCCTAAAATCAAGATGTCAACAATAGTTGACAGTTTCGGCCAAACATTTCCTCATGTTCAATTTCGTGAGAATAATCATCACCGTTCTCCTTCCAATGTCCAACAGCTCAGTACAAATCTAAACGGGGCCGTAGCTACCATTAATAATGGAAAATTGAAGAGTTTAACACCCCCACAAATGTATGAATTGGATAATACACCTGTGGTTAATGAAGATTATAATGGTTGGAAAAAAGTTATTTTAAAATTCTGATATTTCTGTCCAGGTTCAGCTCAAACCAACTCCCCTCCAAATAAAGTGCCAGCTGTAACTAATGGAAGAAGCAATACTAATGGTACTAATGGTGTGGCCAATGCTTATGCTATGGATGCTTTTACACGAAAAAAGTAAAAATATTATTCAATAAATAATTCTTTATTTGAACAGCATGCTTATCAGGGCTGTGCGTCATGGCGTTTGGCGTTTGGCGTTTTGCGTTTTGGCGTTAATTTTGGCCGATTTTTGGCGTTTTGCGTTTGGCGTGATTTTCCGATTTTGGCGCGCCAAACGCCAAAAATATACACCCCTAATGATGGAATTTTTTTAAAATAAATGGAGAAAGGGATGATCGAAAAAGGAAATTTTTCTGCGTACAGTCATCCAAAATTCTCAAAATTTTTGCCTGCGGCGCATAAAAAATGAAGAAATCTACTGCTTGGACTTCCAAAATTTTCAAAATTTTCGCCTGCGGCGCTTAAAGGAGGAAGCCCTTATCTTAAACTAATAGATGGTAGAAAAAAACTTTAGTCCCGTCAATCGTTTACTCTCTTCATGAGCTCTGTTATACTCATTACTCGCTTTATCCCTTCATATCCACCTTAATCTCAAGAAGTTCTATGAATTTCTTATTTTTTTAAATTTTTTAAAGGATGAATTTCGGCTTCTTTGCATCCAAAATTCTCAAAAATTTCGCTCCGGCGGTAAAAAAGGATGAATTCTGGCTTCTGGGAATCTTGAAAATTCAAAAAATTTCGCCTGCGGCGCTAAAATGAGATGAACAGTGGTTTTTAAGTCTTTATAGACACTAAAAATTTTGGCGTTTGGCGTTTGGCGTTTTGGCGTTGATTTTGGCCGATTTTTGGCGTTTGGCGTTTGGCGTGTTTTTAAAATTTAAAAAATTGGCGTTTGGCGTTTGGCGCGCCACGCGAAAATTTTGGCGCACAGCCCTGATGCTTATTTTCCATATAGGGGATGTTTTACAGTCAATATTTTTATAAAAATATTTTTATTTCTATAAGATTTATAGATCCTTTCTATATCTGCTATTTTTACTTATGTCTTAAAGAAATATGGAAAACCTTAGTTTTAATCATTGATAAGATCCATTACCTGATTTAGTAGAACAAAGAGCATAGCTCAAGAGATACCCTTACTAGAACCAACTTACGTTCCACAAACTCATTGTTAAAAAAATTAAGTTATACTGAGAAATTTCTCTATCTTGTGTTAGGATACAGAAAAAATCAAAGTATTATCCAGCAATCCAGAATTTATCTTCTATCTTATTTCAGAGGCTTGCCATGGGTCCTTGCTTCACAAATGTTTCTTATCTTCATCCTTGTTTTTGTGATTGCATTTTTGCTTTACAAACTGTACTTATTTGATGAATATAATAAAGAAGATAGTTTAAAGTTACAACATGTAATCTTAATTAAAAATTTAAAAATATTTTTTGATTCTCAGATTAATTGTATCCAACCCCCTACGCTGGAATTAAATTCAAAAGGGCCAGAAAATGCCTCTCAAAAAAGTTTTTCTGGGCATTTTAAAAAGGCAGCTGTTGTAAGTGATAATGTAATCTGCTCGGAAATTGGCCGGTTCGTTTAATTTTAGAAAAAAATATTTTTTCTAATTTTTAAAGTAATGTTTTGTTACGTGGAGGTAATGCTGTAGATGCAGCTATTTCTGTGTCTTTTTGTATTGGAGCTTTAAATTATCCTTCTGCTGGATTAGGAGGGGGCTTTCTAATGACATTCTTTAGAAGGTGATTTTACTCAGACTTACCCCATTTTATCAACAAAAATTAACAGATTTGATGGTAAATGTTTAACCATCGATGCTCTCGGAATAATTCCTTCCCCAGCAAATAATGATACGAATCCAATCGAGAATGGTATTTTGAACTAAAAATATTTAAGAAAAATTTTAAATAAAGGTTATAAATCAGTCTCTGTCCCTGGAGAGTTACATGGTCTCTGGACAGCTTACAAGCGTTTTGGGAGTGGAAGGATTACCTGGAATAACTTAATAATGCCTACAGTTCATTTACTTAATGAAGGTGAAATTTTAGGGAAAATCTGTTAACTTTAAGGATAGGCAGAAGTTGAACAGGGATTAAGACATACGGAACCAGAACCAATACCTAAATCCGGGTAGCGGTTCCGAGGCCTGAAAAAATTTACTGATTGATGTCTAATCTTTGTTTTATTCTCAACAGGATTTCCAGTCTCTCAAGCACTCGAGAAACTTTCAAAAATATATGGCGATAAGTTTGGCAATGAAACAAATAAAGATATAAGGTTTCTATTTGTAATTAAGTATCCCTATAATCTTTAAAATTTTCATTAAAGAAATTTATTTTTAAACCCATCAAATGGTGATTATTTTCGAGAAGGACAAATTATCCGTAATCCACAGCTTGCAGAAACTTTAAAAAAGCTGGCATTAACTAATGATCCTATTAATTTATTTTATGGAAATAATGGTGCAATAGCTAAACAAATTGTTGAGGAATTTACTCAGAATGGTGATGAAATACTTAATTTTGAAATTAAATCAAATTAAAGGTGCTTTGATAACTCGTAAAGATTTGCATAGCTACAGAAGTGTTATTGATGAGCAGCCTTTCCTCAATAGCTATGATCATAGACTGGTTTTTTGTGGTTCCAAATCTTCCTCAGGCTATGTTAAAATTCAAATGCTTCTTTCTATTTTGCAGAGTAATTTCTTATAATTTATTATTGAGGGACGGATTTGAGATATTAATAGAGGAATCAGTCAGATGTAGGGTTGACGGATAGCTAGAAATCTTCGGATGTCCTGATCCGATATCCGAACCGAACTTTCTGATAGCCGGATTCGGATCCTAAATTTTGGATGCCCGTATCCTATATCCGAACCGAAAATTTCCGGATATCTGGCCTTCATTCGGATGCGGATATCCGGATCCGCCAACCTTAGTCAGATGAACGAGCTTTTAGAACGGTCCGATTTCTAATTGTTAACATGAAAACAATTAATTCTTATTTTCCTCTAAAAAGTCTCTGAATTTAGAATTATATCCAAACTCGGAGAATATCACTTCAACTAATATTGAATATTGGCACAAAGTTATTATGGCACAAAATTTTATTAATACCGAATTAGGTAATAATTTTATAATTTAATTTTCCCATCCTTATCGTTGAAATTTAAGGAGAATTAAATTCTGAAGATCAACTAAAAATATTATTACAAAATATAACTCAAAATGGATTTATTGAAAATATTATTCAAAAATTTCGGAATAATTCTTCAACGTCTGAAATGCCTGTTAAAGAGGTTTAAAACACCTTAAGATTTTCAAAAATTATTTCTTATTAAAGGAATTTCTAAGCCTAAATGAAGGAGATCTTGAACTTGGTAGTTCCCAGATAAATATTGTAGATTCTGATGGAAATACAATCTCAGTTACTCATTCAATTAATTTCCCGTAACTTTAGAATTTCTGAAAAAAAAATTTTTCAAAAAAAATTTCTAGTTTCGGTTCCTTACGTCGTTCACCAATTTTAGGCATTCTATGGAACAATAATTTATTAAATTTAAACAATTCTTCAATAAACAATAGACAACTTTCTCCAACAAGTCCAATAATTGTTTATGACAGGGAAAGTAGAAAGGTGGAAAATTTAAAAAATTATCGAAGTTTAAAAATTTTTATCAATTTATCAGATAAAACTTGCAATAGGCGCAAGTGGAGGAACATCCCTTCAAACATTTTCCTCGTTATCTCACGTCTTATTCCAAGTTCTTAGCTTTAACAAAACTCTGAGAGAAGCGGTTGATATGCCTAGATTATACAAAAATCGTCTTGGAATCGAGTATGAGTCTGGTTTCCCAAAAGTGTGAACTTTTTTAAATTATTCTGATTCAATAAAGACAAAATTTAGTTTCTTAGTGATCTCTAGAAAGAGAGTAAGTAACTGAGTAACTGTCCAGTAACTGACATTAGAGAGTATCAATTCTAACTGAAATTAGAGACCAAACCGAGAAAAGATCTCGGATATCGTGATCGATATTTTTATGAAATACAATCTCAAGTTAAAAAATTCCCCTTCTTTCAAACTATAAAACTTCAAATAACTTTGAATACCCTAAGCATTTTAAAAGTACAATATTGAGTTTATCACGCAAGGTATAAAGCTCTCATTTAAAAAATTTATTAAATTAAAAAAAATTTTTTTAGACTCTTGTTGAAAATCTAAACAAAAAGGGCTTTAAATTAAACAAAATAGATTACTCTTCAAGTTTATCATTAAATGGAATTTTGCGAGAAGGTGATGGCACTTTGTCGGCTGTCAATGATTATAGAGTTGAAGCTAATAATTATCCGTCCGGATATTAAATTAAATTTTTTAAAGTTATATTTGAAATATAATAATTATTTTTTAAGTTTATTATTAAATGTTATCTGAGTTTCTCTAATAGAATTTAAGCCCTTTTCCTCTAGCTTTTACCATGAAGCCTACAATTTTACCATATTTTGCTTATCATTTGATGAATTCAAAAGTACTTTCTAAAGGTTTTCATGAGTCACACACGTTGGGTTTGTCCCAAAGCTTAATTTAATTCCCACAAAATAGTATGGGATTTGATATTGATAATACATATTAATTCTATTAGAGATAATACAGTTTTACTATTGTAGAACATAAGTTAGTTGGTTTTTCCTGTTAGCTTAGACAAAGTATATCTTTTGTTTATCAGCTACTTACTTTGAAGAATAATATGGATATTTTTTTATAATTTTTTTTATTCTTCCTATGGACCCCCCACTATCTTTAAATTAAATTTATTCTCGTTAAGCTAAAGATTATTTTTTTATTTTTAATTAGCCTAATCCTAATCCTTCCCAAGTTAATCCAAACTACAATTATTTAAGAATTTTCAAAAAAATTTTAAAGCCCTAAGATCTCTCGCCCATTTCTGAATTTTTCTAATTAATAAAATTTTCAAAAAAATTTCTTTAAACTTGTTTTTTACATTATTTATGATAAATTAACTCGAATTTTTCTATAGCAACCAATAAAAATTAGATTTAATTGGCACTTTATTAAGTTTTTTAAAACTCTCTTACTTGCACATTCTTTTTAATAATTATTTTATAATGCACCTGCCATCGTTCTTCTAATAATATTCTCGATAAAAAATAAAAAAATTATTTTTGAGATTATTGCAGATCCAAATTATTTTTTATTTTCTATTTAGGTATTTTTAAGGCATTATATGCTTTAATATTTAATTTTAATTAAATAATAACACCTAACTTATCTTTAAGTATATAATTAATTTTAATATTATTCTTTATTTAGAGCACAAAAAAATTAATTGTTATAATTTACGATAATATCAAGTTATCTTTAATTTTTAATTATTGTCAGATATTGTTATTAGTAAGGTTGTTGACTACCGATTATTAGCTGGTATCCATCAGTTTTCGGTTAAACCAAATTTTAAAAACTCGGGGTTTTTGCTTTAAATTTTACTTAAATTCAAGTTTTATTTTGTGGGATTTTTAATAAAAACTGCTAAGTTACAAAACTTTTCGGTTTTTGATTCTTAAAAGTTCATAAATGAGGTTAATTTTTGGCAAGAAATATTAAAATATCTGCTTTTAAGCTGGTTTTGAGCAATCCTAGTTATTAGAATATACCTAAATAAGTTTTCCATTTACACAAAAATGAATCAAAAAATTAAAAAAAAATTTATCCCCGACACAGAAAAATTATCAAAAATACTCTTTCAAGATTCCAACCAGCCTACCTAATTTTTGATAAAAGATGCCACCCTTAGTTAAACTATAATTTTTAATTTTTTCAAAATCTATTCTAAATACCAAACAGAATTAATTACTAATTACAATTATTTTTCTTTTTTATGCTTAAATGCCATGTTCGAAATTTAGTTTTTTTTTCAATTTAAAATAAGATAAAATTGTTAGGTGAGTATAAAATTAGTTTTGATTGCTTCATAAATTTATAAACTCGCATTATAACTAATTATAAATTTTTGGTTTAATTTAAAATTTTATTTAAAATTTAAAAAATTAAAAATTCAATTTCTAATTTTGTTAAAATAAAATAATCTTTTTTAATTAATATCTATTTAAGTTCGATTAATTTTAGCTCATTAGAACGAATTCTAAAATTCAAACAATTGTATTTATCAAACAGTTGTCCTTAAATTTCCACGAACAGCTTAGATTGTTCAGGCCCCAATTTCCAAAATTAAGCCAAAATTGTTTAGCCACCTAATAGCCAGCCGAGTACACCCCAAATTATCGCAGAGCCAACGTACCGCAGAGCTATAACTTCGTTCAAATTTGTCGAATCCGAGGCGCCCTGGTATGATTCGATGTGCCTCGACGAGCTGAATCGAACTGTACTATGGTGTCCCGGATTCGACAATTTTGAACGAAGTTTTAGTTTTACGGGCCGTCCAAATAATTTTAAAAAATTTATAAATTAAAAAAAAAATTTTCAAGAAAAAATGCCATTTTTTGCAAATTTAACAAATGGATTAGTGCTTAATATAAATCAACATTATTCACTTTTATTCCTTGTTATTGCTGAATTATTTTGCCATTTTCTGTTAAATTTTCCTTTTGCTGGAGTTAATATTTTGTTAATACTTAAAACGAGCATTTTACATCCAAATTTAAAATTTATTTTATTAACTCAAAGTTTTTGCATTTTTGCGAGGAGTATAAGTAAGTTTAAAAAATAAGTCTTTTGTTTTAAATCTTGATAGTGGGTTAGAGTTATGGTTATCGTCCTCGATTTTTGGTAAATTTGGAAATCTATAATTGTTATTAACGGATATCCCGTTTTTCATTTAATCCGATTTTCTAAACCCGTTCTAGATCTGGTTTTTAATCAGATACGGGTTCGCTTTGGAGAGTGAGTAGAATTACGGTTATAGTCTTAATTCACTTGATTCTTGGAAAATCGGGCATCTCTATGTAGTAATTAACCAATACTTCGGGATTTCAGTTAATCCGATTTCAAAACCCGGCTTTCGTTTCTAGTTCTACTCTAATACAGAATATGTTTTGTAGAAAACTTTTTAAAAATCACAATTTCAGCCAGAAGTATTATGCTGTTAACTATGTTATTCAATGATGATTTAACGTGGAGTCCTACACATGAGCTGATCTTTATCTTTAGCTACTTTGCATACTTTAGAAATGTTATCGCGCATATTTTGGTCATTGAAAGATTAAATGCAACCCTTTCATTTAGAAAATATGAGAGATCCCGTGGTCCTTGTTTTACTTTTGGATGGCTATTTTTTGTGGTTTGAGAAGTTTTTTGAAATTTTTTAATAATGGAGAGCAGGGTTATCGGATCATGGGAAATCAAAGGATATATGGAACCGAATCCGATAGACGAGCAAAATCCGATACTATAAAAATATTCATTAGAAAACTTTCACTTAAAACAGAATTTGCTCACTTTTGGCACTGTATATGGTACATCAACAACCTCCTCAACAACTTTTATCAATCTCTGCTTTTGGGCAATTATGTTTGTCTTGGCAATTTTTGAGCTGATTGCAATTAAATCTATGAAAAAATATAATGACCAGATATATACATCTCGTTCTTTTATTAATGCCACATTATCAGAACGTTATCAGGTTATCAGCTCTAATCACCTTTTAAACTGAATTATTCTTATATTAGCTGGCAGAAAATATTAGGACAACCAAACAGCTAATTCCAATTTTGGCCATTCATTTTTTCAATATTGCTTTGGGAACTTTCGTTAATTGGACAATCTATTACCAAGCTTTCGGCCCCATTACTACCGGAATGTTTGCTTATCAATTGTTTAACCAAATTTATATGTTGATTATTGCTTTCACGAGTTTTTTGATTGAATTGACAATGATTTTGTGAGTTGATACTATTAGAGCTGTTCAAGACTCAACCCCTTCTTATGTTTTCCGCTTTATTCTGATCTCATGGTCTTGGTATCCTTTTTAGGTCCTAAAGGTACGTCAGTAGCAAGTCCTGGTCTCGACGTTGCTTATATCTTGGTCTTGATTCTTGATGAAAAAATTCGGTCCTGGACAGCTCTATATCTAGTCTTGGACCCTCTAATTATTTTACTTTTTCAGATGCCATCCTTATTTGAAACGAAATTTTGTCGGTTTGGCACTAAAAATACGTTCATTCTTCAAATGCTTGTTAATCTTCAAATTAAGACGGCACCAAGTTGCTCCAACTTCCATTACAAATAATGGGTTTGATAGCAATACTATTAAAAAACGAGCTGTTTCATTAACAAGTGTTCAAGGATTGGAATTAGTTCCTTGTGGCGGCATGAATCAAACAGAGGAATATTTTACACAATTAGCATTATCGTGGGCAAGAAGAAGATCAATTAATAATTAAATTTTAAAATTTTATATCACCCGAAAATAAATATATTTTATACAAAATTATTAATTAAAATAAACTGATTGATCGCTTAAGGATAGAGCGCAAAGTGCAGAGGCTAGTAATTTGCCATATTTTCTTGAACTCGAATAATTCCCCGCCCACCCTCGATAAATTCCCCGTGCTAGATTAATTCACCATTAATTCACAATGGGTGAAACAATGATTCCCCTCCCTCACCAAAGAGCGCCAAACTTCATACAGTTTTTTATGTTCAAAAAGGAGTTGAATTAATAATTCTTCACCTATCGCATGGATGTGTTCCCCATCCCATGGATGGGTTGAATTATTAATTCCCCAGGGAGTTAATTAAGAAAATATGTGGGAAAAGGTTAAGGTAAGTGACTGTTTGAGCATACTATGCTATGAACCATTTGTTGTTCGCCTTTTTCAGTTAGAACAATAGCACCTTGTACAACTTTCAAATGCGGTATTAGATCATCCTCATCATCCTTCTCATTGTTATTATTATCAATTTGATGATCCCTCTCATTCGACTCCCTTGTATAAATGTAATTATTATCAATATTGTTATTATTCATTGAAAACACATCTGAATCAACATATGGAATCATTCTCATTTGATCTTCGTCTAATTGAAAGCTTGGACGTCTTTGACGAAACCAGCCTTCATGGGGGATCTGAAGATGTTTTAAAGGGTAATTTAGAGGATTTACAGATAATACCTCTAACAACGCAGGTTTTTCATGGATAGACTCTTCATCCTCTTCAGTCTTCAATGATAAACTTGGAGATGGAAGTTGGATCTCAACTTCAAAGTCAGAAACATTGCTTATAGAACTCGTATCTTCCTTAAATATTTTGAAGACTATTTTTGAGTATCTAGCTGATAATTTTTTAATCTAAAAACCTTAGATCCATCAAAAATTCCCTCAAAAGTATTTGGCAATTCTATTCCACTCTTGACAGCCTCTTCACGCATTTGACGCATCATGGACTCCTTTCTACGCTTTCCCAAAAGTGGAAGTAATACTTTTGCAAGAAAATTGTGTTCAATTTTGGAAGCATCACCATGCTTGTAATTCTCAAGTGTTTGGGCTAACAGCCGTTTATAAAAATCCTCAATGGAGTTCTGTATCACATTTATGCACATTGATACCAATGAAAGTCCGATCATTACAAACACAAAAAATATAAGCATATAGCCTCTTCTCGATACTTTTACGTCTCCAAGTCCGACAGTCAGAAGTGAAATACAAACAAAATATAATGATTTACTATATGTCCAATCCTTAAATTCAAAATTATTTTTCCAAAATAAACATTAGAAACCTCAACATGCTTAAAAAGTGCCGCACAAAAAAGTACCCACGAAACCGTGAAAGTAATGGCTACAAGAACATGCATTCTTGGCACTTCCTGATCTTCTTGATCATTAGAATTTTGATCCTCTTCTTTGTTTTCATTATGAGATTCATTAATACTTCCTTTAATTAATTATCAAGCTATTTTCCTTATAGTTCAGATAAAACTAGTTCTCATTATGATAGGCTAATAGCAATTGACCACTACGTATAAGGATATATGATACTCGAAGCCTGACACAAGAAAAATTTTTTCCATGAAATTTCCCGCCTTTCTCAGATAAAGTAAGTTAGCTTCCCGAGCCTTCAGGGTCGGTATCATTGGAGATCGGGGTTTGCCGGGGTAGAGCCTTTGTGGTTCGGGTCGTAGAGCCTTTGTGGTTCGGGTAGGGATATACGAAAGTGGATCACAATATTGTTATTTTAATTTTTTCATACGATATAGTAGATAATCCCCGTCATGACTAACCCGTTTCAATCAAATTCTTTGTCAAATTATCTACAGGCTCTGAATCTGTTGTTACTCTCGAAATTTTTTGTAAGTCTTCTGAGGTTAGTGTTGTAGTTGTTCTAGCATCAAAATGATCAAATATTTCCCTCTGCGCAATGCGTTGATCTTTGAAAAAATGTGTGGCTTTGCGTTCAAGTTCTTTTTGTGTCTATATTGAATTTTTTTCTTAATTTTTTGATTAAAATTTTTTACGCTTCTCAAGGAATGCTTGGTACTATCAATAATTTTTGAACGCCTCGATTGCCGTGAGGATTTCTTTGGGGCGCAATTGAGACATAGTCTAATATTATTTAAAAAATATTTTTGCCAATTCTTGTCCAGACAGGCCATTAATTCATTTATTGTTTTGTACAAGAATTTTCCCAGTTCATTTAATGTAATTAACATTAAGGGTATTCCTTCAAAAAATTTTTTTAATTTAAAAGTCAAATTAGATTATTAACCAATGATCGAATAAATTACAGTGCCAATCTGCCCAATATTTGTTTCACATGCAATATCCCCATATCCAATCGTTGTGAAGAGTGTTCCCGAAAAATACCTTTAAATTTTAAATAATATTTGCATGATAACTAGATGAATAGCTCTGATTGGGGAAAATTAAGAACGACTTGTAGGGCAACTTGTAGGATGTATTAAATTTATAATTTTCTAAAAGCTGCTTAAATTAGTTTCATGTACATTTAACCTATCAAAAAATTCTACATGTGATTATTCATGGTTACATTCAGAACATTATTCTTTAGTGTGTTTTCCAACAGATCCCAAAATTATATAATTTTTGTTTGGGTATTCAGGGAGTTTTTGGGCGAGAACATCAAGGGCCCCTAACCCAATGGGATTTGTGATAATTAATGAAGATATTTTTAAAATATAATCCAAAAAAAACACAGATTTTTATTTTAAGTTATGAATTATTTTTTAAATTTCTTTTACAATATTATTTGTAATAAAATTAATAAAATATACATTGCTGTAACAAAAGTCCATTCCTGCTCATTTCTGATTTTATTGCGCTTTTCTTCTTCATCTATATCTGAGTGGAATGATGGAATATCAAGCTGTTCAAATAAATCCTCAACTAAAATACCAAAAAGCTTATTCCTCTGTCCTTCCTCCAAACTCTCATCGTTAAAAGTCAATTTAATATTCGTTAAAAATTCTTTACGTATGAGTTCATAATATTGGATTCTTTTAAATTTTAACTTTTTTTAATTTTATTGAAAATTTTTTTCAATCTTGGGAATTCTGAAAATTTGTATGCCTCTTTTAATCTTCATCCCAACTCTATCACGATAAGTACCCAACATTGCATGTTAGAATATATTCCTTATTATCCGTGTGTATCAGGGATGCCACGGGTTACCCGAAACCCCGATCCGTAACATCCTTATAAGTCCAGAACCACGAACCTTAATCCCAGAAAAAGTTCGAAGACCCGACCCGAATTTTTTCTCACACCGTAACATCCCTGGTATAAATATATCTGTGGTAGGTTGAGAATAAAGGTCTGCTCACTTAAAGCTATGGTACACACTCACAATAACGGACAAGATATCTTAAGACAAGAGCTTCTTCATAAATCTAGGGAAAATCTAAAGGGTCATGGAAAGCTCAAATTTTCCAATTTTTAACTTACTTTTCAATTTGTCTTTCAAATTCCGCTTTATTTTCTGTCAACCAAAAAAGTAAGGCACCAAAAATCATATAAATACTAATAAATGGTATTGGAACTAAATGATTTAAATGCCATTTTTTATAAAATAATTTGGCTGATTTTATCAAATATTTTTTATGTCGTTTATACGTGCTTAATTTAAATATATTATTTTTCTTATTTATCTTCTTTATTTTTGTTGTTGTTAAAGGTTGTAGAAGAGAATTTGTTGGCATAATTTTTAATATCCTAAGTAAGCTAAAGCAATAATTGAAATCTCTAATTAAAATCTATCAGAAATAATCACGATCTTGGGCGTATATCTATCAGTTGAATGCATATCTTGCGGATGGGTTGACAGTGGAAGTGGATCTGGGGATGGGTTTTATAATTTTTCCATCTCGAGGGGATTGAGTCGGGCGACAAAAATAGTCTAAGGGATCGGCTCAGGGATTGAGTTGAGTGACAAAATATTTATGAAATCAAGTCTTAATCGAATCGAACAGAGAAAATATCCTAAAGGAACAGGCTGTGGATAATCCTTAAAAAGATCGTTCTTGAACAGGGTCACAACTACTTTATCCTATTGTTAAAAATTATCTTAACCTTAACTCTATAAAGTCCTAATCTTTGATCACACTTGCAGATAAAATAAAAATTTGGTTCTACTTGACTTTATGAGTCCAATCGAACTTTATGAGTCCAATCGATGTTTATGAGTCCAATCGAACATTATGAGTCCAATCAAAATTTATGAGTCCAAATAAAACTTTATGAGTCCAATCAAAATTTATGAGTCCAAACAAAACTTTATGAGTCCATAGGAATTTTATGAGTTCAATCACATTTTATTAGATTTTATTAAATAATACATTTATTAAATAATACATTAAAAATGAATAGGATTATGTTGCTAAACCTATGGAGCATAGGCGAGGCGCTTGTGCAAAACTCCGCGCTTCGCGCGGAGTTTTGCGGCACGCGCCTCGCGGGAGTCAACGGTCGCTGGGTTCTGGGTCGGCAACATAAACCTATCCCTTTCTTCAGCACCAGCTTTGATCTGACGACCTACCCTCGTAGCTCACAAAAATCCGATTGGATTCATAAGCTGTGATTGGAATCATAAACCGTAGTAGAGCCACAATTTTTACTTAGAATAATAAGACATGTCTGATTTATAAAATTTGTTTGGACTCATGAATTTTGATTGGACTCATAAAGTTTTATTTGGACTCATAAAGTTCGATTGGACTCATAAACTTCGATTGGACTCATAAAGTTCGATTGGACTCATAAACTTCGATTGGACTCATAAAGTTCGATTGGACTCATAAACTTCGATTGGACTCATAAAGTTCGATTGGACTCATAAAGTCAAGTAGAACCAAAAATTTTTCCAAAAATTATTAGCAGTAAAATAATTCCTTTGATTCTGCCAAATTCTCGATCACAGTCTTTTTTTCGCTACCCATCGATATTTTTTGAATAGAACATAGTAGTTAGTAGTTGCACATCTGGCTATCTATTAAATCATGAATTGAAAAGTAAAAGAAGAAAAAGTTTTTCAAAGTTAATCCAAAATAAATCTAAAAACTTAGCTACCCCCCTCCCTACACCTCCTCCCATTTTCTTTTGTGACGTTAGTTTTCTCAATTCACAACTCTTTTATTTCAAATGTTTGTTTTTATGTTTATATTAAGAAGCAAAAATTTTTCAAAAGAAAAAATTTTTTATTGCGCATGCCGACAATTTAAGCACTAAAATAAACAGAAAAAACAATTTAATTTGAAATTGTTGTCTGATCAGAACATTAAATATAGGTTATACATTCTATTTTTGATAAGTTTTGATAATTATTAATGGTATATAGACCAAGTGATATTTTGTAGGGTAATATTCAATTTCGTTCCCCCCTCACTTTTTCCTTCCTCAAAGTTTTACAAAATGGTCAGTCAATCTCAAGTTATAGAACTCGTCGAGCTGTGTCGAATGATACCAAAATCAAAAAAATCGGACCTAATTTGACCGAGATACAGACCCCTGAAAATTGAACAACCATAGGGGCGAAAAAACATAGGTACCAAAATTTATGCAAATGATAGCTCATTCGAAAGAGCTCTTCGGGCTGAGTCGAATGACGCCAAAATCAATGCGATTGGACAAGATTTGACAAAGTTATGACATAAGTCGACGACTCCGTTAGGTCTACATCAGGTCATAACTTTGTCAAACTATGTCTAATCGCGTTGATTTATATGTCATTCGACTCAGCTCGAAGAGCTCTTTCGAATGAGCTATCATTTGGATAAAATTTTTTTAGTCCAAAAAATCACCCCTATGGTTGTTCAATTTTCAGGGGTCTGTATCTTGGTCAAATCAGGTCCGATTTTTTTGATTTTGGTATCATTCGACACAGCTCGACAAGTTCTATAACTTGAGATTGACTGACCATTTTGTAAAACTTTGAGGAAGGAAAAAGTGAGGGGGGGAACGAAATTGAATATTACCTTTTGTAGAGATCGAGATTTACAAAAAAACCTTGATCTTAATTTTAGGTGAGGACCTTGACCAGATCAAGGTCCCAGAGTCAAAGAAAAATCAAAAAACGTTTAAAAATGCCTTGATATGGACTCTGGATCCAGGAAGAATCAAAACAGGATTCAGATCCAGCTCGATCTCTAATATTTACAGTAGTAAAATATTCTTTTGTTATTCCTTCGAATTTATTTATAATGCTCTCTAGCGGCTACTGAGATTATTGAGATGGTTGTTTCACTGCCGATTTGAGAGTAATAAATGAGAGAAAACTGTAGTTGAAGAAGAAAAGGAAAAGCAATGATTAAAAAGTTCGAATTTTAAAAAAATATAAATTAGAGATTTCAAAATTATTCGAGTATTTAGGTTCAGAATTTTTGAAAATTTATGAAATTTACTGAAAAATTATATGTATTATTCCTCAAATATTTTCTTGATTTTTTAAATTTTAAAAATATAAGAAATTTATTTACACCTTACCATGTTTCATAATTTTAAACTCCATTTTATTTTCTGTTTAATAAATCAAGTTATTATATTTATTTTGTGTCGACAAAATAAATATCATTTATTTTGTGCTTTCTCTATTTGATCAAATAAATTTACTATTTTATTTTTACATTTTTATGAAGAGTATTAAAAATATGAATTTGATCTACTTATCCAATCTACTTAAAGTAACCTTCTAATAGTGCATATCATCTGTTTTTAAAGTTTGACACAAACAAGATTTAAACTTTTAATTCCTCCCCATGGCAACTATTTCTTTATTTATCCTCATCTAATTTTCACACAATTTAAACAATTTATTTTTAACAATAATTTTCTTTTAAGAGAAATTCTCAATTATATTTTTTATTAAAAGTACATTTTTTATTATTATTTGGAAAATAATAGACACCTCAAGTGGAGTTTACTTGGGGAAAATTTTCTTTTTTGTGATTTTTGTAGTAAAATGAGGTTGTGGAGCCATTTTTACAAGTTTCTGTTTCGTTAAACAATTACTTTCGCTCATTTTCAGGAAAATTTAAAATAACGATACTTTTATCCATCTAAACAAACATTTGACTTTTCTTTTTTCACGTGCAGTAAATTTTTAATGCCAGCCGTTTGCTCTTCCCTTCCCCCCCCCCCCCCACTCTCGCACACACACCTCTCTACTATTTATTAAAAATTCCACAAACTACAAAATTATTAAACACAGTTATGTATATTCTCGAAACTATATTTTTCATTTTTATCGATTCATTTCCTTTCATAATTTTAAATTTTGACAGTAAATTTTATTAATAAAAATTAATTTTTTCTTATAATTTATAAAAAATTTTAAAAATATTTCTTAATTTTATTAACAAAAAAATTTAATTTTTAAAAGACAGGAGATTATTTTTCTAAATTTAATCCAGAAAACTCCGATAATGTCCTATATTATATCCCCAGCATTTAAAGGGCTTTCATGCCAGGTATGTGGGCAACAATCACATGGAAGGCGCTTTGATGTGCTTTGTTGCCTTCCTTGTGCCGCTTTTTTCAGGTAAAATATTTTTTGAAAATATTGTCCGGGATACTAGAGAGAGATCTCATCCTTGCAACTCTCATCCTTACAACTAGGTTTTTAATCCTGTGCTTAATTATTTATCACATCCTTTCCAGACACGCAGGCTTAAAACACGAAATTTTGATATTTTTTGCCAAAAATTAACCGTTTCTATGAAAATTATAACAGAAAATGTTCAAAAATTGGTAAATTTTAAAGATTCCCCAAAATTTAACCAATATTTAAGTAAAACTTTAAAATAAAAAAGCGGGTTTTTAAATTTGGATTAACCTAAAACATGAAGTCTGTCAAAAACCACGACCGAAATTAGGGGGCCGAGCATAACCGAAAACCGAGGATATTAGTTTAATAATATGTCAGCCCTATTCCCTTTCCCATTATACCTTAGCAAATCCATACCATTTAAATATAATTTCCCAATTTAGGCGGTATAATGGCCTCAAAACCAAACGTAGATGTCAGAGAGAGAATAAATGTGAAAAACTGGGAATTGGTTTGGATTTTTGATTAAAATCCTCGCTAAAAAGTTAATTTTATTTAGAATTTTTAAAGAAATGTAAAATATGTCGGTACCGTAAATGCATTAGTATAGGCATGAAAATGACTAAAGACGAAAAGATTTTGGAAGAAAAAGAGGAAGAAAGTTTCTTCCAAAATTTTATTGAGGCTTATGAAGAATATGTTACATTTCAACAAAAATTATTTTTTAATATTTATCCTGAAAAAGTATATCAACAAGCTTTGGTTAGCTAAAAAAAATAATTTGCCAGCCTTATATGATCGGATAATTACCCTCACTTTAAAAATGAAATTATAGTTACCCCCTTTCAAATACCCCTAACAAAAACCCCCTACCGAATACCCTACAACACGTTCAAATTTCAAAAAATAAATAATAGCCTTCTATAACAAATTGGGCTGGAGTGCTGTTTTTCGATCCAGGGCCCTTTTCTAGAACCTCCGACTTAATCCTAATTTAAGCTGTATAATGGTAGATCATCCTAACACGCCAGACCTTTGCTACCTAGTTAGCGCCACACTTTCAATTAATTAACAATGAAACGATTATCCAGGATAATTATTCGGACATACATAAAGATGAATTAAGAATTTAATTTTAAGTTCTTCATTCCTGAAACTCTAGAAATGCTAAATTGTTTTGAAATGAATTGCAGACCGGCACTGCTTACAATGTTAAATACTTCAATAAAAGAATTTAAAAATTTAGAAACTCAAGAAAAGGTAGTGAATTTATTAGTGATATCCAAGACTCTTGGCCTTGACTCAAGACTTTTCTTGATGTGTTAGGAAGGTTTCGGGGTGGTTTGGGGGGGGGGGGGGGGGTGAGTCCTGGGTCTTGGGGTCCAGTTTTGATTTTGGTCTTGAGGCTTGGAAAACTTTCGGCCTTGGACATAACCATTAAATGTTTAATTATTTTACAGCTCGAATTGTTCGACTCTTGCTTTAATCAATTAAATTTTCTAAATTGTCTCAATTTAACAATTACAAACTTTCACTCAGAAAATTGTCTTGTTGATAAATTTATGCTAGCCTATGGCCATTTGTTTGATTTTGGAATTGTTGATAAAATAATTAATTATTGGGTGAAGGATATGCTAAATAAAGAAGATTATTTTAAGTAGGTTTAAATGATTCGACGTTGATTTGTTCATTAATTAAAAATTTTTAAAGTGCCAAACTGACTGAAATTAAAGAAAAATATTTTCTTTTCAAACTTTTTATTGAAATCTCAAAAATACAGAAGGAGGATTGTTGTGCACTTATGGCAATTACTTTATTTAATAAAGGTAATTTTGATTTTAAAAAGAATATTGGATTAATACATTCGGAACTTACTGAAATTTAACCCCTCCCCCCTCTCAAAGTCTAAAAATTGCTGCTATTATGAATTTAAATAATAGTTATCTGAGGAATCTGATTCAGCGTTTATAATTGAAAGAAAGCTTTAGAAAGCGTAACCTATGAGAATATCCTATACCTTGGATATCCTAGGGTAAAGTCCGACTTCATTATTAATGTTTATTAGGGGCCGATGTCCTGATATCAATCTCTATTAATGTTTATTAGGGGCCGATGTCCTGATATCAATCTCTATTTAGTCTCGCAGTACCCCCTAGACCTACAAGTATTGAGCATATAAATTATGTCTTAATCTCATCATCTTCTAAAAACTATTAGATACCTATACCTATTTAGCCTCTTCAATGAATCCCTCAAATGAGCAAATTTGGGAGAAGTTGACAGAAACAATTTTAAATGAATGGCTCCAAAGGTTATGTAAAAGGTTTAATTCTAAGAAAGCTGCTTCTGTTCATATGTCTTCATTAATTTCATTGCTGGTTAATTTGGATGTAATTTTTAAAATATTAATTAACCCTAAAAATAATTTTCAATTTTAACAGAACCATTGTAAAGAAATCAAAAAATATTCAAACATAATTTTCTCAGATTCTATTGTTCCTATAAGCTTTGTAAAGGAGGAGTGCAAGGTCCCAAAATTTTTATTTTCTTAATAAAAATTTCAAAATCATAATATTTTAGTTAACCTTTATACTTCCAAATCTGCTTCGTATTTTGAATGCTCATAATCGAATTTGGGGGGCATTTTATGATGTGCCAGACAATTACTTTAGAAAGTTTGCTGATTTTAATGATGCAATAATATCTCCAAACAATATTCTTGGTTATCATGAAAATTTTAACGTATTATTTAATATTTTATTTTGTCATTCGGACCTCACTATATATGGGATGTATAGTACCTTTTCATATTAGATATTATCAATAACAATAAAATTTGTTTGGCCACTGGGAGGCGGGGGGGGGGGGCTATTTAGGCATCAAACTTCGGGCCAAAAATCTGAACTGTCGAAGATCAGAAATGGTTCAAATATTTGAATTACAACAGACTTTAGGCTTACTTTCTGTTAAGTTGCCCCTCATATACGTTTTTCACCGCCGTGTATATATCAATTAGCTATGTACCTGTCGAATCCTAATTTTAAATCTTCGCAATCAGATATAATATCTATTCTATTTAGCCTCATCCTCCTGTTATGAAGGAGCAAGATAGACAAACATTTTTCACTGAGCTAGATCAAAGTAAGGATGCTATATGCCACCCATATGTTTTAAAATACGTTGTTGTCACTCGATTACTAGTTGTTGGTATCTACAATGCTTTGCCATTCTTTAGACAATTGTCAAGAAATGATCAAGTTTGGAATTTTAAACAAAATTAATTCAATTTAATAATTTTTAGAGCTTATTATTAAATCATCATATAAGAATTGTTAATTCTTATATCAGTTCCTTCATTTCCGCAAAAATGAAGTCAAATGTGTTAATTGGTACAGACGGCATTAGTGCTTTGGATATTGTCGAAGCACAAACAAAATATCGGGAAAATAAAATGTAATTTTAATTTAATAACGTTCAGAACGCTCAAGAGGCCTTAGGTTAAGATGTGTTAGTTGTAAATTGGTTGGCCTCCGGGCATAAGACCTCAGAAGACCTGTATCTGATGAGATCTCAGATCTGTATCCCCTTTCGATGGAATGCTTCCGCTTCGCCCTCGTTCTTTATGCTTCGCCCTCCGTTCTCCCTCCTTCCATCTTTCGCTTAAAAAATATGGCAGGTCCATCCCTAATACCCACGAATACCTAAGATTATTATTTGCGAGTAGGGTTCAACTGTAATTAAAAAATAAATTTGAATAATTTCGAAAAAAATTTATTTTTTTAGTTTAATGAATTTGGCACAAAGAGCATTTACTAAACTAATTGACCCCTTCTTCCAAATAATTCCAACTATTGCTGAAGATGAATTCGCTTTAACTTTAACAATACTTTGTGCAACTGGAGGTATATCCCATCAATAAGAACCTAAATTTTTCTTTTACCCAACAGTATCTGATCTCTCTTTACATGCCCGTGTACTGCTCCAAAATGAATGCGAATTTTATGCCAAAAAGCTTTTAAATCTTTGTCAAGTCCGGTTTGGCGATGTGAAGGGTGCTTGTCGTTATGCTGAATTTATGCATTTAATTGAAACTGCATTCACGTTTGACAGAAATTTTGAATTATACGTTACTTATGTATCAACTTTTTATATTCAAAAAAGCATTGATATTTACATTCCCGAATATTTGTTAAAATTATTATTCTAATTTCGAAGCTCTCTGATTACTTGAAAGAAACAATGTGATTTATCGTCAATTATTAGAATATATGCGATTCCGCATTACCCATTTCCTTTTATAACCTCACTAGCGAGAGTTTGGGATAATAATTACCCTCCCTCATATGCCCACCACACGTTTAAAGTTCAAAACTTTGGATAATTATTCAAGAACCTTTCCTGGCTCTTTGATATTTTAATTCCTAGCTCTTTAAATTTTAATAAATATGTCCGGGATGCATCGGCCTTCGCGGATGCTAAAAGCAGAAGATAATCACATCCCTGGTATATTTATTTATATCGAATCCGAGGCAGCTGGATTATATACAAAGAATACGGTATCTCTCCTAATATTCTTTTGATTCTTTAATCTGCCATTACTTAAAATTTCAATTCAAATTTAATTTAATTTTAAATTCTTATTCAAATTTTTATTTGTTTAACAATCAATATTTTTCGTACTCGTTACCAGCTGTAAATTATCTATTTTAATTTACCTTTAAAAAATGTTAGAGAAAATTTTTTATTGAATTTTATTAATTTTTTTATTAAATTTTAACATTCAAAAATTTGTTAAATTTTATAAAAATTTTATAAAAAAAATTTTATAAAAAAAATTTTATAAAAAAATATTCCCATGACAACGTCTTAAATTTTGTATATACTACCTACCCACATTTTAGAATATTTCTTAAAAAGCATAACTATGTATGATCAGTACATAAATTTAATTTATTAAAAGTCTTACTATTTTGTGCCCAAAATATCCTCACGAATGTGTATATTTATTCATACTTCTATAATTTTTTATATCTACATTTTATTAATAAACACAGTATTTTTTATTTACATACCTTTATTTTTAAATATCCCTTCGTGTATATATCCTTTCATTTAAAATTAAATATCCCTTCTTTAAATTCTCTCATTCTTCAATTGCTAATACCGTATTCTCACGTTTAATTCCCCTTACCTGCCCACAGCAACCTCGAATAATTTTTTGCTTTCCATTGCTTCCAGGGATGGATTGAGATAATAATTTCACACCTCCAAATTCCCTATTGCACGTTCAAATTTCAAAACAAATTTCAAAAATATTTCAAAAAAATTTAAAACTTCCCGAACCCATAAATGGGCTGAGACATTAATTTTCCAGGGAATTAATCAAGAAAATACGTTGAATTTTTTTATTTTTTTAATTTATTCGATTTTTATTTGATAAAAAATTAAATTTTTGAATAAATCATGATTTTTAAATATAATTTTTATTAAAAAATATTTATATTTTTTAATCTAATTTTTTAATTTATTAAAAATAGTTTTATTCTAAAAATGCCCTCCTATATAGTTTCCTCAGCCTTTGAAGGACTTTCCTGCCAAGTCTGTGGTCTACAGGCCCATGGAAAGCGTTTTGAAGCAGTTTGTTGCCTTCCCTGTGCTGCTTTTTTCAGGTAAATTTTTTCTGGAAAAATCAAAAATGTTTGGAATTTTTAGACGTTACGTCCTGTTGAATTGTAAACATAAATGTCTAAACGAAAATAAATGTGAAAACTATGGGACTGGTATTTTTGAATTTATAGTAGCCCTCTAAAATTTATTTTCAAATTCAGAACAAATAAAGAAATGTAAAGCTTGTCGTTTCCGGAAATGTTGTAATATTGGGATGAAATTGTCCAAGGAAGGAAAAAATACTGAAAATAAGGAAGAAGCTTTCTTACAAAAATTTATCGAGACTTATGAGGAATATATTACATCTCAACAGAAATTATTTTTTAATATTTATCCGGAAAGATTAAATCAAGCCTCACCGGTTAGCTAAAATAATTTATAAGCAGAGTAGTCAATCCCGTTCAAAAAAATAGCAAAATATTGGGTAGAACTGATTAGATATCTTAAGCATTTTTCTGCCAGATTTATACATTCTCCAAACATACATAGTCCTTATCTATTATCCATCCTTCAACCAACTGATGTTTTTCACATTCTATTTTATTGCCTAAACCGGATAATCAGCATTAGTGTTGGTAGATCCTGGGAAATCCTTGGATATCCTGATTCGATATTATTACTCTTTTTTCTGATCCAAATATTTGGATTCTCCAACAAAATTTAGCTATTTATTTAAAAATTTAATTATATAATTAAAATTATTTTAAGTTTTTTATTCCCGAAAACCTACAAAAATTACGTTATTTTGAAATGAGTTGTAAACCAGCGATGCTTACAATGTTTAACAATTCATTTAAAGAATTTGAAGAGTTGGGGATGCAAATTAAGGTAGCTAATATTCTATCCAGGTTTTAAAAATATCAAAATTTCCAGCTCGAATTGTTCGACTCCTGCTTTAATCAATTAAATTTTCTAAATTGTCTCAGTCTAACAATTACCAATTTTCAATCGGAAAATAATTTTGCCGATAATTTTATGTTGGCATATGGACACATTTTTGATTTTAGAATTTCTGAACGAATAATTAATTATTGGGTGAAGGATATGAAAAATAAGGAAGAATATTTTAAGTAAGCTTCATATAGCTTTTAATTAAAGCAAAATTAATTTTTCAGTTCAAAAATGACTGAAATGAGAGAAAAGTATTCTTTATTTCGCCAGTTTCTGGAATTTTCAAAATATAAAATTAAAAAATTGGATTGTTGTGCCCTTATGGCCATTTATTTGTTTAATAAAGGTCGATAATTTAAACCTTTTTTTAATCTCATTTCACGAATATTTAGCTTCCTCAATTAATTATTCATCGAATATGGAAACTTGGGAGAATTTGAAGGAAACAATTTTAACTGGATGGCTCCAAAAGCTTTCCAAGACGTTTAATTCTAAAAAAGATGCTTCTGTTTATATTGCTTCATTAATTTCTTTGCTGGTTAATTTAGATGTAATTTTTTGAATTTTAATTAAATTTTAAAAAGCAAATTAGGCGCGCGATTTGTTTTTAGCATAATTCGCTTCAATTTCATCAAAAATTGAAAATTCTTATTTATCTGATCTGTAATAACTGAGAAATTTGAATTTATCAAGTAGAGATCAGAATTTTCAAAAAGTCTGGATCTAGATTTATGTGACTAACTCGGACAAGATTCTTGATCTGGATCCAGGAAAAATCCAAATTCAGAGAAAATCCAGGGCGATTAAAAAATGCCTAGATCTGGACTCTGGATCCAGAAAAATCCAGACTGGATCCAATCCAGACCGATCTCTAGTATCAACTCAGAGCCCGGTTTATTTAAAGTTTAGCCGTCTTGACAAACTTTCAAATCAAGTTTTGATATCAGTAATTTTCTCAATTGTATTATGAATCTACTAAGAAAAAAATTATAAATTGTTGCTTAAGTTGAAGCGGAGTGTCCCAAAAATAAATTGCTCCTTATTTATCTCACTCAAGTATTTTAGAATCATTGTGAAACCTTCAAAAAACAATTTTGTACTTATTCCAACGCTGTTGTTCCAGTCAATTATTCGGAGCAGACTTCCAATGTTAATATTATTTTAATAATATTTTTAAAAATTTATTACAATGAATCCTCTAATTAAAAAAAATTTCTCCAATTTCAGTCATCTTTTATTACACCTCCAAATTTGCTTCGTATTTTGACTGCTCATAATCGAATTTGGGGTGCATTTTATGAAATGCCTGAAAGTTATTTTGCCAGATTCACGAGTTTTAATGATCTAATATTCTCTTCTGACAACGTTCTTGGTTATCATGAAAGTTTTAACGTAATATTTTTAATAAATTTATATAATAAAAGGAAGTCTAGTCCCGAATAGGCATTCATCCAGGATCTCCTGGGAGTTAATGCTAGGCGCTTCAGTCCCCAAGCTCTACCGACTGAACTACCGTTTCATTTAATTGATCCTAAACCCCCGCCAAGTCTCCCTTACAATATTTTAAAATTGCCTCCCTTACATAAATCTCCTTTACAAATTTAAAAATATTATTTAGCCAAATCCTCCTGTTATGAGTGAACCAGAAAGGCAAAGATTTTTCAAAGAGATTGATGAAATTCAAGATGTTCAACGTCACCCACATATTAAAAAATCTATTATCGTTTGCAGGCTACTAGTTATTGGAATTTTTAAAGCTTTACCTTTTTTCCATCGTCTGGCACGTAATGACCAGGTTGAAGATTTAAACTGAATGATTAAATTGAGTTTTAATAATTTTTTAAGATAATTCATTTAAATCATCGAGTAAAGACAGTTAATATATTTTTAAAAACATACAATGCTGCAAAATTGAATACGGCAACCTTAATTGGGCCAGATGGCATTACATCAATGGATGTTTATAGAGCTCAAAGCAGATATCGAGAAAATAAACAGTTGAGAAATTTTATACAGTTGGATCTCTTTTTTAGATACCCCCAAGATTAGGTATCCTTAAATATGTATAGTTATGTAGAACCTGAACTCTTTCAGCTCCAAACTGAGAACGACTGTATTTTTAGTTCAATTTAAAATTATTTTACAGTTTGATTAATTTGGCTGAGAAGGCATTTAGCCGAGCAGTTGAACCTTACTTCCGAATGGCACCTTTAATTGATGATGAAGAATTTTCCTTAATGTTATCAATCCTTTGTTCAACTGGAGGTATTAAATTTGCTTAAAAATTATTTAAAGCAAGGGCTAAGCAAAAGTTTAGCCATTTAACTTATGAGTTAAATGCCATTAACTTATGAGCTTTTTTTGGCCATTTAACTTATGAGCTTCATCATGTCTCTTTAACGCATAAGTTAAAGGGACATGAAATACCCCCTTCGAAGCAGGGGACGGGTCTCGTGTACAAAACGGCACACGGACACCCCAAAATTGTGCCCCCTCTCTAAGCAGGGGGACTTTAAGTAAGCTTGTTATATCCCATTCTCTTTTCCACTAAGAATCTTAATTTTATTTTCAGCCTCAGCAGAACTTATTTCTTCACATGCGCGTGTACTGCTCCAAAATGAATGCGAATTTTATTCCAGTAAACTTTTAAATTTTTGTCAAGTTCGTTTTGGAGATGTGAATGGGGCTTGTCGTTATGCTGAATGTCTGCATTTAATAGAAAATGCATTCGTTTTTGATCGGAATTATCAATTGCTAACTACATATCTTGAAGTATTTTATAACCACAGAAAATTTGAATTGGATCACCAATTTCCAAAATATTTATTAAAATTAGCTTGATTTTTTAGAATTTGCAGATTCCGAATTGTAAAGCTTATTTTTATTTAAAACTATAATTTTATTCTACATGATTTAATGTGAAAACTAGAGTTCAGCGGCATCCCGTTCGGACGGGATTGCCCCGGTTTTTTTTGAATCCCGGTTTTGCTGATCCCGAGACCAAAAGATAATTTCGATCCCGATTTTATGTAGAAATTCCGATCCCGTTTTCGGTCAATCCCTATGCCTCTGAACTCTATTGAAAATCCGGTGTGCATAAACCTTAAAATCACGGTGTAAAATGGAAAATATTATTTTATTATCTATACGTGTTTAATTTAAGCTTCGAAAAAATTTTGTTTGGATATGGACAAAATGAGTAAAAAAATAATTTTTTAAAATGATATTTAATTCACGCCCGTTGATGTTGTTGTTGGTTGTTGGATGTTGCTGGTTGGACATGGACAAAATGAATATATAGTTGTGGCAGGAGACGAAGGTGTTGTGAAGCTACTTGCTGGATCTAGCATTGAATTTGTTGTATATCCTGTAAAGCTTGTTGTTGAATCTGATACGAAAGGTGTTGTAGAAGTTGAATATGTGGTTATTGATAATGTTGATGCTTCTGCTGATTCACTTGTTGATGTTCCATATGAATTAGTTGATTGGGATAAGTATGGATAATAACTTTTTGTAGAAGATAGACAAGGGCAGAAAGTAGTTGATGCAGTTAAACCTGTACTTGCTGTACTTGAGGAACTTAAACTTGTACTTGTTGATGCTGGTGTTGTAGATGAGGTTGCTGTTGAAGTCGTTATTGTAGAATCATTTATAGGGATTGTTATGCTGCCTATTTTCAGAATTAAACCATCCTGGGTAATTACTCTATAAGTTGTAAGAAGCAGTGCAATTAATAACATTAATAACATTTTAATTTTTATTTTAATTATTCGAATTTTTAAAAATGAGTAAAGCAATAATGAATTTTTAACAAAAAAATATTTACCTTTTTCAATGTACTTTTAATCCACAAATAATAAATCTACTAAAATAATACCTCAATGTAAATAGCTTGTTATAATAATATTGGGTATGTAATTATTATTTTAATTATCCCCTTTTGTAATAAGTCTACTTGTTATTGTTGCCAGCTTTAGTGCTTACTCATATTAAAACAATATTCACATGATTTCCTTTAATTTTAACTTTAAATATTTAATTGTTATATTTAATAAAAATTCAAAAATTTTTCTCAAGGATTTTTAGTTTTCTTATCGATTATAAAATTAACCAGAAAAACCAGCAATGGAATTTGGGACGAATTTTTCACCGGCGGGTATTCATTCATCCGCTCAATCATCACTGCCTATGGCGATTCAATGAAGCGTTGCGCGAGCAATAACACCCACACACACAAATTCAATAACCTTCCCTTTTTCCATTCCAAATCCCCTCTCTCATCTCTCTCAAAAATTTCAGTCGCCACAAACACTTTCGCCTTCCTTCGCTGAACTGATGGATTAAATGAACGTCGGCAAGAGATGAAAATGGAGGGGACGTCCTTGAGTTATTCTAAATCTTCAGCTCAAAAGGAAAAATCCTTCCCTTTTTTGACTAAATTCAAAATTTGGATCAATAAACATTAAAAAAAGATGATTTTTTCTACAAGAAAATTTCTAAAATAATTTCTAGCTCAATAATACCCAAGTCTCTTTAAATTTTAACCTTCTAGATGGCAAACAAAAATATTTATTATATTATTCCATTCTTCCTTATCTCACTTATTAACCTCTCTAATTGTTGTCCTGATCAAGTTCAACAATTCTGTTCTTGTGTGGATCAATTTGATGGTGTTTTGCTTAATTGTACAGCTCCGTCTTCTTCAAATCAGACTACTTCAGGAGAAACTTGGGCAAAAAATTTAATGCAGGCGTTGTTTTACTTAAACTTTGGAACTCTAAGATAACTAAATTACCTTTTTAAAGACCCTCAAAAGCAACCAAGCTCATCTTGGATTATTAAAATTATTAGTTATTCATGGAAGCAACGAAGCAACTAGAGAATCATCATTAATCCCCATACTCTCCGACAATTTATTTCAAGGACTTTATATTAAAAGGCTTGAACTTGTTGGTTGCGGGATTAGTGTTATACAGAAGGGGGCATTTAGAGGGCTTGAATCTGTTCTACAAGAAATTTTAATTACCGGAAATAGAGTAAATTAATTTATTTTTATTTATCAAAAATACTTGACAGATTCAAGAAATATCATTTAATGCTTTTCATCAAATGAATGCCTTAATAAAACTTGATCTCTCTGATAATTACATTGAAGAATTAAAAACAGAATTGCCAAGAATTTCAAAAGTAAGCTTTATTGTTGTTTTATAAAGTCGGTCCTCCCTACTAGAAGATACACCTTTGAGGATGAAAATATTTATCATATACATAGGTATGTATCTTAAGTGAAAGGCAATCGCTCCATTGGGACCTAGAAAATCCATTACCCAAGGGACCTAGAAAATATGCATGGGCTATCTTCCGTTACCGCCTCCCGCTTTTTAAAAGGCGGCAATCCAATAATAATTAAGCTTAACGACATTAATTTATCGCACAATAAAATTACTGCTATCCACAAAAGTTTCTTTGATAATGTTAAACATTCACTTCAAACAATAAATTTGGGACATAATCTTCTTGAAGAAGTACCTGCAAGTTGTAAGTAATATTTCAATATCCCCCCTTTGAATAAACAAATTTAAGCCCTTCGAGGTTTTCGAATGTTAATGGCTTTACATTTACACAATAATAATTTAAAAAATTTGCCACAACTTTCTTTTATGAATTTACCAGTCCTTTCCCTATTAAATCTGGCAGCAAATCAAATTCGTTCAATTCATCGTCAGGCTTTTCTTAATGTTCCACAACTTCGATTTCTTTATTTATCGGCAAATCAGTTATCTGAAGTAATCAACACAGCTATAGAAATTAAGAATTTTAAACATTTTAAGGTTCAGCCCTTTCAATTTAGTTCCTTTGAGCGATTAGAAATGCTAGATCTGAGCAATAATAAAATTGAAGATCTTCCAAATGATACTTTTGCTGGCCTTCCAATACTAAAACAGCTTTATTTGGGCGAGAACTTAATTGATCATCTGCAGCCTGAGGCCTTCTCTTCAAATTCAAGCATTGTTTCTCGGCCATTTAATATTTATTTAATAAATTTTTATTTAAGGCAGTACTGATTTTGGAACAAAATAGAATATCAGAACTTCAAAAAGATGTATTTCGCAACCTTCGCCAACTTCAACAACTTTCATTAAAAGCAAACAAAATTAGATCCATTGACGCATCTACATTTCGAGGGAACCCTTCTCTTGCAATGCTTGATCTAAGTCATAATGAAATCATTGATTTGGCTCCTGGAACATTTTTAAATCAGTTAAATTTGCTCTTGGTTGATTTGAGCAACAACAAAATCCTTCGCACTCCTTATGGAGCTTTTGGACGTAGAGTGGCAACTGTACTTCTTAAAGGTGGATTCTGATAGTCTCTCACATTGTGATTTTTAACTGAATCTTTTCATAGAAAATCCTTTGGTTTGTGTCGAAAAGATTCATATGCTTCAACAAGGCAATGGTCTTTTTATTCCAAATAGTAATGATGCTATTTGTGGGGAACATAAAGACCATGATGTTTCTAACACTACTACGGTTAGGGTTTCTAAGTTAGGGAGAACCAAATAAAGTCTAAAAATAATTCAGATACCAAGTAGAGAGATTGAAGCCAAAAATAGTGGTTTAATCGCTGATCAAGAATCTTCAATTACACCTAACTTAAGTGAGGAGACTGAGGGGGAAGATGAAGATGATAATGAACCTTTAACCTCTCCCTCCCCCTTTGTCCAACAATTGGAAGAAAATCAACAAATTTCTAAAAACAAACAACAGAATGTAAGTATAATTACTCCAGGACGAATCAAACCAATTCGGATCATTCCAAATGCTCAACATGTAACAGCTATTCAATCTAATGTTTGAAAGAATTTTTGAAATATAGAAATTTTTTAAATTTAATTAAAGAAAGCATTAACGTCCCCTAACAATGAAAACAAGCCAATCGCTCTAACTGAAAGTATTCTTGAAGATACTGAATATACTACAAGCATTGAATCATCGTCAAGTTCAAGCAGTTCTTCTAGACAGGGTCGGTTATAAATTAATGAAATGCCTAAGAGCTATTCAGGTTTAACAGAGAACACAAAAGCTGAAACAACCACAACTGAGGTTGGCATAAATCCTCGAGTTATCTATCCTCATCCAGTTCCGTTCCTAAAGCCTGCTCCAAAAATGCACACAGCTACTCAGTAAAGGATATTAACAATATTTTATCCGTTCGTTTAATTAAAGCGTTGAGAAAGATCAGAATGGAAATCCTATACTATTACCAACTTTACCTCCTAGCATTGTTGTTGCCGAAAATTCTTGGCATTTGAATCAACATATGCCCTTAGAAGGAGATAAAACTGATCCTAAACATGATAGAGAAGGTAGAGAATATTTTTTATAAAAATATGGCTCTCTTTAGGGCATGCGTCACATGAGTTTATCCGTTACAAAACTATTTTTGCGTCCCAGAAGCGGAGAAAAGTTCATAGGACGCATAAAGTCTCGTGCGACGCATGTACTAAGGTTGTGCCAAAATAATTATACTAAGGTGATAATAAAATTACTACTACATCTTACGCCGATCATTCAACCCAAAATTATTCAACAGTAGAAAATAACGAAAAAATTGAAGAATTTCCATTGCTTTTATCAAAAACCCCAGTAATATCAGAAGAAAATTCGTTACAACGCATTGAAGCTGAACTTTCAGAAAAACGGAGCAACAATAGAAGAATGTTTCCAACAATAATTATTGTTATTTGTATTGGTGCTGTTGCTGTTGTAATGTGTTCTGTTTTTGTTGGATTATGTGTTGCTAGAAGGTCGGTTATTTTAGACTAGCAAATGCCAGAAAGTCGCAGGATCGATGTCTTCTCAGAGCCAAACCTTTACTTCACTCATACCTAATTTTAGGCTATAAATTATTGCCTCTCTTTATTTTTACCCTCTCTTTATTCAGGCGTAAACTTCGCCAACTTCATTCCGATACAGGCATAAGTTTGGGTACAGCTGGCCTTGTTGGAATGCAATCGTCATCTTTATCATCTCATTCGCCCATTTCAAATTCATTCATGAATACTGCTAGCACTACTAGGGCGGCACAAATGGGAGGGTTTTGCTATATTTCTGGTCCGAATCAGCAAAGGCAGTATGAAACTTTAAAAAGGTTAGGCTTACAGTTCCAATTTTATTAATACTCTCTGACTTAAGAGAAGGAATACAGCAAAATTTTGGCGGAACATTGAATAGATTGTCTACTACACAAGAGGATATTTATGGATGGCTTTATACTCCTTGTGGATATAATGCTTATCGGAAATAAAAATTTTAACATGACCAGAAAGTTTATTTATTAAGATTTTTAAAGTTCAATGAAAATTCAAGAAAATTCCGGTCATATGTAAAAACAGGTGCAATAAATATACATATAAATTTTTCCAAAATTCATTCCATATGTTTATTTAAAATTTTTCATAAATTTCAACAAAAAAATTTTTTGAGTCTTTTCGAATTAAAAATTATATGAATATGCCACAAGTTGCATCCTCTAGCAATTAGTGAACCTGCCCAATCCCCATTGAAATACCTTTAAATGACAGTGGCCTTTGGCATTACGAACTCAAAAGTCATAGAAAGTTCTGTGAATACATGCAAGAGTTTGATATAATTATGTATAAAAATCATCTAAATAAATTTTTATGTTAATTAAGACCGGGTAAATGGTTTTAAGTTTAAATGCCCCCTCCGAAGCAGGGGACGGGTCTCATGTAAAAAACGGCACATGAGTTCTACATTCCTTTGAAAGACCTGCGCCATAGTCCTTGCCTTTCTTTCCTTTGATTGTTTTTCGCTTGGCGCATACATTTGACTGAATATTGGTATTAACCAACTGAATATTGGTTAATTTTGAGTTGCTTTGTTTTTGTGTTTTGTGCACGTAGATTGCTAATTGACTCTGGGAATATTTTGCAAGGATAAACCAAAATTTCTAAACATTAAATGACCCCTAAGCAGGGGCCGGTCCCATGTACAAAACGGCACATGGACACTCCAAAATTTTTCTCATGGTCACCAGCTAACTGCCTCCGCACAAACACTATTGGAAAGCCACTCGAAGCGCACTGCCCCAATAGTGCTGCCAGAACGCACAGCCACTGATGTCTATCTACCAATAGTGTCCACTGGCTGCACAGTGACCGAAGTCATGCCCCACCAGCTTTCTTCTAGTGTAGATAGTCCGCCGTAGCGGTCCATGGATGAAGTGTGGGAGAATAACCAAAAATAAAAGATTTGAACACAAGTAATTCTTAGACGGTTAATATAAAGGGTATAGAGAACACTAATTATTCTTCCTTTTTTTAATTATTTCCTTTTCTCTTTTTCTTCTTCTCTCCTTTACTTTTCTTCCCTCTCCTTTACTCTCTCTCCTTTACTTTTCTTCTCTCTCCTTACTTCTCTCCTTTACTTTTCTTCTCTCCTTACCTTTACTAGTTTTTATAATTTTTCATAATAACAAATCGCTTAAAATAAACAAAATATCTACAGCGCGTTGTATTTAAAAATGGTCAAAAAAGGGAATTTTTGTAAATTGTCGAAGGGACTTTTAAAAATTGTATTTTTATGTATAGCAGGGATGGGACGGTTACCCGAAACCAAATATCCGAAACCCGGACTTTTTCGACGCGAAACCCTACACGAGAAGTTTTCGAAAACCCGACCCGAAACCCGGCATTCAAATCATGTTGATTTTGGGGTCATTCGATGCAGCTCGATTTTGAATACCTTGAGAAAGAAAAAAAGGGGAGGGGGGGGGGGTAATCCTTTAATAATTATTTTTCCAGAAATTTTATAAATTTTGTAAGATAAGGTAATTACTATTTACCCAATTAATGTTCAAATATTATTCGCAAAACATTTTTGCTTGAGAGCAAAACAAAAATTAAACGCTTGATCCAAACGTAAATAGACAAGAATTTGAGAAAATCAAACAAACAACAGCGTTAAAAAGGAAAAAGTTTTTAAGACGGATTTGGATTTTGGAAGAAACCAAATGAGGCGTTAAATGTGCGCAATTTGTCGTAGTTGACCGTGAGCAAGAAGGCGACATTGAAAAAATAAATTTTTGTTTTGAATATTTATTTGAAGAATTTTTGATCACATAGACTATCCCATCCTTCTATTTTACTTGAAAATTCTTAAAAATTTCCAAATTTTATTGACATCAATTTACGTTTATTTTTTGTCCTCCTCCCCAACCCTCTACTTCATTTGTGGTTTCCTCCTTCCGTCCGAATGACTATTTTTCTCAATGAATGGCTGAGCACTACTAGAAGACTTTTTAGGGGATTGGCCATTATTCTCTCCCTTTTTTGGAGGAGTGCCTCCGTCAAAATTCAATTTCCTTTTTTTGGCCATTCTCTAAATTCGAAAATAGAGAATTGCCAGAAAAAGTGCAAGAGAACTACTGCAAAAATAGCAAAACAACTAATAAAAACGGCTTTATTTACTCAAAGTTTTTACGACATTTAATGCATTTTCTTTACTTTTTTTATGTTTTTTAAATTTTTAAATAGTACCTACCTACATAATTATTTAATACTTGCACATCGCCCTCGAAACTCCCCCCCCTCCCCCCATAGCTGCAATTCTGAGACCACCCGAACCCTCACCTAAAAGACAACTCAGTTCCCGAACCCCGCCATGCCCTCCCCCCCCCTCCCCAGCATACCTAATCCCCGACACTCCCGAACATTGAGGGTCAATGCTACCTTAGTTTTAGTTATTGACAGACATTTTATTTATTAAAATATTTCTAATGACGTAAAGCAAGGTCATGATCGTTGTTTTTGTTTTCCCACATCATAATTATTCTTGAAAATTTTCCGTGGAATTTTTAATATATTTTTTGTCCCATCAAATTTATTTTATCCTCCTTATTTAACCAAATAATTATTTAAATTTACATATTATTCCAATTATTTTCCTCTTTTATTAATTTTTAATTATTTTTATCTGGCCACTTTATTACAGAACAATTCTTTTAAAAATAATCTCTTTTATTACAAATTCCCAATATTCTTCAAATTATAAAGCTTTTAATCCTTTCCCACATTTTTTATTATTACTTACATATATCTCTTCAACTCTTTTCAAAAAAATTCCCATAATTCCCCACCCTTTTTCTTCAATTCTGGGACCATTTACTCCTTTTCCCGCTTATTGTTAAATCCAATGACCCAGCTAAATCCGCAAAAATCTCATCCTCAACTTGAGTCATTCTTTTCTTTCCTTTGTGTAGCTGTTGATGGAATATTTGTAAGAATTTGACACTCACCTATTTATTTGGGCCTTATTCTATTTTATTATGCTTTTTCTTGAATAATGGTTCCATAAAAAACTCTTGAAAATTTTTCAAATGGTTTATAATTTAATTTTAAAAAGATTAAAAGTATTCAGTGTATTTTTACAATAATCGAGAGTGGACAGTAAACTCTAAAATAAATTAGAGTTGGGTGGTGTCGGGATAGCAACCGGTACCAGTCGGGATTATTCTTCCTTGTTTGATTACGGATACTGATTTTGCTGGCACCGATACCTAAGGATAACCCCCGAAAACCATTTTGCACGATATTTTTTGATATTTAGAGTCAGTAAGCTTGATGCTGGTAAAAACAATGCTAACTATCTGCAGATAAATCGCTAGCTGCAGATAAATCCGTAATAACAAAGCTAAGGATTAAAATCCGTAAAACTATCTGCAGATAAAGTAGAAAAAAATCGGTATCTGCAGATATGTCGCTACGGATTAAAATCCTTAGCATTGTTTTTACCAGCATGAGTGATTTTGAGTAATTTATTTAAATTTTTTAAAATTTCAATAATAAATTAGGTATTTTTAAAAAAATTTAACTAAATCCTCTTATTATTTTTATAATTTACAAATGGATTTTCTTTTATAAATTATCCGACAATTTTTAATAGTATTATTTAATATTCAAGTGCACTTTAATAAAAGGTATTTTCTATAATACCTTGCATGGATATTTTTTGTATTTTTAGCAAAATTATTTTTGAGTATATCAATGGTCTAGCCGACATAAAAAAAATAAATTCCCTCGAGTTCAGTGGTCGGGATACCCTAGAAAAGGGAATTTTTCTGAAATCTGCTGATCTGATTTCGGGAATCGGTTTCTCCAAGACCCCTGATTTATGTGATCCTCTACTATGCACCAAACTCATCCATACTTACCAGGATTTTCAATTCAATAAGAAAATTTAATAAATACTTTCTATTCCCCCTTAATATCCTTCCCATTTTTCCTTCCTGCAATTTATTAAAATTGCTTCACATTAGCATTTTTCCACTCTTCTACACTAAAACTCATTGAATTTTTTCTTCATTTATGTTAAGGCTTTTACTCATTCCTCCCTTAGACACTTTATTTAGTTGAGGGAAAGTAGACCTAAACACAACAAATTAAGTGTTTGAGGAGGTCATTCTTTCCCCCTTTAGGTACTCTTTTCCCCATTAATTTGCCAATTTGCACTTTTCTATCCCCCAACCCCTGAAAAATTTTTAGACAGCTTGACATTTGCCGGACTCTGCCTAAGATTTCATTTTTTTCCCAAAAATAAAGAACACATGTCTAACAAGACCAGGCTTTTTTAATTTAGGGGTGCGCAACAGGGATGGGACGGGTTTAGGAAAAAAGTTGGTTCGAGTTTCGCGTCGGGTTTTCAAAATTTTCTTTAGATCGTTTCGGGTTGGAAAAAAGTCGGGCTTTGGGTATCGATTTTCGGTTAACCCTTCCCATCCCTGGTGCGCAAGGCATTTTTCTCTAAATTTTAAAATTTTTAAACCTAATTTTTGCTTATTTTTTGTTTATTCCCACATGTTTCTCTTTGTTTATCTGCCTTTATTCCCCAAAATTTTACTAGAGTTTAAGCCAAGAAGATGTTTAAAATTTCTCATTTTATGATCCTTTTTCTTTTATGACTCCGACTTTTCTTTATTTTCGTTTTAAATGTTTAAAATTTGCGTTCATCTGTCAGTAAACATCGAAGTACATATTAGTAAAGATGAAAGGTCACGCATGAAATATTGTAAATTACGCACTTAATGATTTTGAATTTTAAACCCTTTACGTGAATTGAGCTAAGAGACCTGTTCGATGTTCTGCGATAAACTAGCTGTTCGACTTCTCGATCGCCTATCCACAGTCCACTATAAAAATTCTGTCCACGACCCTGATTTTGGCATCAGAATCCCTACGAGAATTGAGATAAGCTATATGTCGTTGTCTTGGGATAATTTAATTGTTCGACTCACTGATAAAATTTCTGTCCCCTACCTCGATACCTGACAGTATATTCCCCGACATCCCGTTCACCAAAATAGTTCTCCCCGACGGGTCGAGTACACTCCTGCTATACATTAAATCTATTTAGAATTTTTAATAACATAAATTACATAAATTATATTTCCAAAACAATTAATACAACCATTTTATTGTTTGCCAAAGATTTTATTTAAGCGTTCTAAATATTACACTTAAATGCTCAAAATTTGCTCATCCTCCTTTTTTTATTCACTCGCCCTCAATCCCCTCCCTCCCTAGCCCTTTTAGCCCACCACTCTGTTTGTTGCCCAATTTGTTCTTTTTCCATTCACCCCTTTCCCAATATCCCCCTCAAAAATAAAAATTGTTCTATAAATTGTCTCCATATTCGGGGAAACTCGAAAATTAATAAAGAACACAGGCAAACTGTGAAAAAAATGTGGTTTGGAGACCTCCCATACACTTAAAAAATATGAGGGTTGAACATGAATAGTGTTAGAATATTCATTTGTTCCCTCAAAAATTCCTCCCATCCACAAAAATCTTCCTCTTGAGAGGGTCCCTTTATTCTCATTTTGGGGCTTTCTTCACCTACTCATTTCCCCTTTGGCAATTCCTGTTTTTGGCACATTGTTCTTCTGTTTAGGCTGAGGAATTGAACGAGGGAGAATGGAGGGCATTGTTGTTAATGGGGAAAATATTTCCTAGAGGCAAATTTTAGTACTTATTTAGCCACAGAAAAATATTCGTATCCCCTCAAAATCTCTATTCCTTAAAATCTCTACTGGGCTAAAATGCCTTATAATCTCTACACAGCTAAAATGCTTTAAAATCTCTACTCGGCTAAAAATGATTAAAATAACTATTCCTTAAAATCTCTATTCCTCATAATCTCTACAAGGGTAAAATGCCTTAAAATCTCTACACGGCCAAAAATAGGATAAAATGTCTATTTTTTCATTCGGAAGCCTTTTGAGTGCCAACGTTCAGTGCGGAAACGTTGTTCTGATTTCTGGCTTATCTTTTGATATTATTTTGCTTGTATTGTTTTTGCCGCTGCGGATAAACCCAGGCATGTCCAGCGGAACGACAGCAGCCGCTTCGATACGATCACCGCAAGCAAAATGAACACGACCGCAGCGAAGCAGTCGTGTATTATATCTTCGATATTTACAGCGGATACAAGCAGATATCCGCAGCCATTTTTAAATCAATTGTATCCGTATCCATTACCAAGTCTGGGTTTTCCAATGAATAGTTCTTATTTTACACTTTTGTTGAGACTCTACCGTCCATTTGCACGGTGTAGAGATTTTAATTATTTTTACCCCAGTAGAGATTTTAATTATTTTTACCCCAGTAGAGATTTTAAGGAATAGTTATTTTAAGGAATAGAGATTTTAAGCATTTTTACCCTAGTAGAGATTTTAAGGAATAGCGATTTTAAGGAATAGAGATTTTGTATGGGAGCCAAAATATTTTAACATTGCTAAATTAATGTTCCAATTAAAGATCGACATTTTCCAATTTTTCTGGGTTCTTTCAAAAATCCGGTGGTTTACTTACAAGCTGACCCGGGCCAGAACCTCGGAAACCTGGAACACTCGAATTTTATTTAAAAACCCCCACGGTTTCTGGACTACTTGACCAAATATCCGGTTTCCGAGCTAATGGACTCGGCTTCGGGAACGGCCCCCGGCATGGTCAGTTGTTGAACTCTAGTTCTATTTAATCCAGGACAATTCCCTAAACTTTATTTAAAACTAGAAATTAATTTTTTGTACTATTCTTTGTCCTTAAAAAATTAATAATCTTCGATTTAATAATCTTCTGGATTATAAAAGTCCATTAATGAAAATTTTTAATTTTTGGTTATAATAATAAGGCCACGCCCAATGAATTTTTTTCTTTTCTTTCAGCTGTTGCAAACACATTAAACAATCTTTTGCCCATTCCTTCATTTCCTTCCCTACTCATCTTTCTTTAATACAAGGTCATATCCCACAGCTTTTCCTTTTTTTGTTGTATTGAGAAAATTTTTAGAAAAATATTTAATTAGTTTTTAATTAAACTAATTAAATTCTTGTTTATTTTCTTAAAAAAACGTGAAATTTTCCTTAAAAAATCTTTTTGGCACACTATGCTTATTCGTCTTTTCTGTTTTTTAACTGGCCATAAGAATAATTAATTTGCCCAAACTCATTACTAACACTCTTAGTATCAGGCAAAGTATGTAAAGAACCTAATGTAGGAACTAGAGTGTGGACGGGACAGGATCCCGAACGTGATTTTATAGAATCTGTCTCGAAATCCCGTTTTTAAACAACGAACGGGATTTACGGGATTAATCCCGCGGTATTTTGAAACTAATCCCTTTACGAGATCCCGGGAGTGACATTTTTTGCACTCTAGTAGGAACTTAATCTAATTGATGTAATTCTGATTCAAAACGAGTCTGTCTTGATCCAAAGTTTTCGAAATATTTCTCAGCTTACAATTAACCTTTTTAAAGTTGCATGTTTGGAGCTTACTATTGAGCTAAATAACATATATTATCTTTAATTATTGTTCATTTGATGCCAAATTTAACAATCCCTTTTGTGTTACCTCTTATAAACAAGTCCGCCCACCTCATACAAATTTTCAACACATTATTATTTTTCTATTAAAATTTTCGGGGCCATATACTTCAAAATTATTTTTAAGATTTTTAAATAATGCGACGATATTTTGGAAATTGTTTCAAGTACTCTTTTGGCTATATTTAATAACAATAAGCAAATTTTGTTCATTTTTGTTTGTAGTTCACTTGGGAGGTGACCATAATAGGAATAATATATTTTTAATCTTTGACCACACACAATTAATTTATTAAAAATAAATTTTGAAAATTTCTCGATTATTTTAAATCTTGAAGTATTTCAGAGGTATCCGAAACTGATTTTAAAAGGCGAAAGGCAAAACACCTTGTTGTTTGTTCCTTAGCCGGTTAGTACTAGATACAATTGTTTGGTAGATAAGCGGTATTTTTTGATAAATATCGAACCGAATATCTAAAAATATCGAAAAATCCGTATCGAGCCAGGCTCTATTATAAACCATGAAACAACATTATGTTGAATATGGATCTCATTGGACTTGCCTTAATCCGAGGAACAATATATCCAAAATCTAGTTAACTACCTCAATTATTACCGCACCCTTTTGTATTTTTTAGTTCAATTTTGAGCCATTATTTTTACAAAATATTATTTTTTACTCAGCTATGGCTTTAATTATATCCTTCAATTAAAATAATTTTTTCTAGAAAAAAATGAATATTAATGAATTTCCTAGTTATTTAAATTTTAATTTATTATTTCCCCTTATTTATCAATTCATTATTTTTCTAAATCCAATCCTCAACCTTAATTATTCAGTTACAAGTGCAGTTGATGATTTGTTTAGTGCGAGGTGGTTACTACATAATTATGCAAATTTTTATAAATTTTATTTTTTTCATTAATTTTCTAAGGGGGATTTAAATAAATTTTGTTAAAAATTGTTAAATTATTGAATAATAAGGGTGTCAGATGTCCGAGCTGAAATTTTCTTATATCCGGGATCCGTTATCCCGGCTTTTTTCAGATGCGGATATCCTGATTTACCAAGCCTACTAAATGCTATTTTCCAATTTATCAAAAAAAAATTTTAAAAAATTTAAGATGCCAGTCCAGATGTCTCAGTGACCTTGAGACAAGACATAAGGTAACTATTTTATTTTTAGTTCATTTAAAATAGAGCGTTGGATTCCGACTTGTCTAACCCCAGCCCCCGGACTTCTATGTTTCATACCCCGGACTTTCAACACCGAACGGTCGGGGTCCAACTGTAACTCAAAATTATTAATTTTAAAAATAAATACAAATCAATTTTAATAAATAAAAATAAATCTTTAATAAAAATTCATTTTTTATTTATTTTCATTTTCTGCCTATTCATTACATTTTCTTTTTTTAAATCTTTCTACATCTGTTCTTATTCCCCTTTATTTTCGCTAACAAAAAGGCCATAAATTATGTTGTCCTTAAACAAAGCCGACTATCCTTTTCCGTTCTAATAATATAAATGCCGAAATTTTTTTATTAAAAAAGATCTTTTTATTTTTTTTATAAATGTTGTAAAGTTTTTACGCAAGTATTTTTTTGAGATTTTTTTTGACATTTTTTAATTACCACATAACTGATTTTTGGATTTATTTATACAATTTGTACATTCTTTTAAACAAAAACTATTTGTTCCGGAAGTGATTTTAAAAAATCCGAAAGGCAAAAATGCTAAAAATTAATTTAGAAAAGGCGAAAGACGAATCAGTTTTTGTTTTTGGACGAAAGATGTTTCGTCTTTCTAATGAGAAAAAATCAAAAAGGCGAAGCATCTTTCGAAATTTTTTTCAACTTTCGAAAGACGAGAAAATTAAAAAGGCGAAGCATCAAAAACTGCGAAATCAGTCGAAGGTCGTAAGCCTTGCACACCCTTCTTAGAATATTTAACTCATACAAAAAATATTTTTTGGATTAATCTCTTTTAAAATTTAAACTGATACTTAAAGGTACGAGGCAATTTGAGACAAATTTTGTTAGGATTAAAAAGTTATTTTGTGGTATTATTGAAAGAAAGGGGATTTAAGGAGAATAAAAAGTAAGAGATATTACTTTTAATAGTTGCTAAATACTTCCAGCTTTGTTTATTTAAAATCTTTACTTAACTCATAAACTGGTTGGTTAGTTTATTTATGTTTTTCGAAATGTTTTACATGCTAGATTATTTTTTTAAATCTTGGTTTTGGAAGATTTAAATCACAAATTATATCGGATTACATGTTTTATTTTAAAAAAATTAACTAAAATACTCAAGTAAAATATGCTAGTCATTACATAGGTTAATTAGCGAGTATCCCTTTTTCTCTCGTTTTACAGTAACCTAAGCAATATTTGAAAGACTAATAGGTATTTTTACTACTAGTAATGTAAACTTTGTACTTGAAATTAAGGGTTGGGGCCCGGTCCTGTCCGAAGATCGAGTCTGGCATCTAATTCTGGCCAGAAAAAGATTCGGTCAATCCGTCCGATATAAATAAGGCCAAAAAAATGACACAAACGTCGGTCCGACTTGAAAACCCCAACCCTATTGAAAATGTTAGCTTGAAAATGTTAAAATGTTAGCCTTGCATTTTTAATTAAAATTTATTTCTTCGTTTTCTTCCATTAAAATAAATTTTTGTTTGACATTTCTTTTTATATCCCTTCTTCTCACACAATTTTATGATCCATGAGTTTAGTCATTTCTTTTAAGGCCTTATCCTTTATATTTTATATCTTATTTATTTTTTCGGCACCTCTACAACATTTCTTCTTCTGTTGTTTGCTCTTTTTTACACTTTGTTTGCTCAGTTTTAGGCTCTAAAATATCTTTTTTTATTCTTTTATTTACGGCATTTTTTAAACAAAACACACGCCAGAATCTCCTTTCAACCCTTTTTTGTTTACCAATTTAGTTTGAGAAAAAAGTTTAATTTTTTATCGTAAAAGATTATCTAATAAGATTTGGAATTTTATAAAGAATTCTTTACCAAAACATTTTTTGTTTATTTTTTTAATTTGTTGGATTTTTGAAATTTTTTCTACTAAATTAAAGGCCACTGCTTTTGGATACGTTTGTTTTTATTTAAGATCATAACTGCTATCTACGTATTAAAACGCGCACATTTTCTATAACATCTGCTACAAAGCAGCTATTTTCATTTTCATACCATTTGGAAAATTAAAAATACAAAGTGAAGTTGGATGAGAGGAGAATTTTAATTAGAGATTTATTTAACTAAAAAATGTATCCAAAAAATATCCAAATAATACGGCTACATCTGTATATTTTTAATTCCGCCAGACTAGAAAAAATTAAGGGTTCTTTCTTTATTATAGTATCTTTATTTGAAATTTTATTTAGAATTGCCTTAAATTTCCCTTATATTAGAAAGTGTCAGTCACACAATTAAAGGGTTCGGATAAACTACACTTAAAATAATAACTAGAAATTTTATACTTAAAAACTTCAAAAAAACATAGTTTCTTAAGATTTATTGACCCTTAATTTTTTATTTTAAAACCAACTTTCTACTAAGTATTTTTCCTTTGTCCATTTAAAATTTGTCCCTTCATCCCCCCTACATTTTCTTCATCTATTGTCATAAAAAGAAAACTTGGAGGCATTAATAATGGAGCCTATATATTCTTTTATTTTTCTAAAATATATTTTTTTCTATTGTTAAATTTTATGGTTTGTTTTGCGCATACAAAACGACGACGAGATTTTTTAGGAGTTTATTTTAGGGAAAGAATACTTTTAGTAGTAGTTTTCCTCATCGAGAGTAAATAAACTAAATTGAAAGGGAAAAAGTGAAAGGTCATATATTGTAGTTAAAAAGTGTAAAAAAGTGCCACTTTTTGCCTTTAATTTATTTTTGGGGAAATAAAAGTTGGAGAAAATTGAAGGAAATTTTAATTAAAGAATTTAATTTTTGAAAAATTTAATTTAAAAAATTTAAAAAACATAAAGTATATCTGTCTTATATCTATAAAAATTGCCTGAATTATCACATTTATATTAGCGAAAAAAATTAAAAAGTAATTGCTAAAACAATTATGCACCTTAATTAATTAGGAACTTAGTTTTAGGTGATTTAATTGTGTGCTATTAAAAAAAATGATTATTTGCTTTTTTCTGCCCTACACTAGGGGTGTGCTTATATTAGGGAGTGTGCTTCAAATAGGGAGTGTGCTTTTATTTTTCGATCCTTTCGTAGGGTGTGCTTATATTAGGGAGTGTGCTTCAAATAGGGAGTGTGGTTCAATTAGAGCATTTACGGTATGTCACTGTCCAAATTACATTCTTGTCCTAATTGAATTTGGCCGATATCGAAGGATTTGGAAAAATATTAAATTGATTTTCGCCTTTTCGCCTTTCATGTTTCGTTTTTTAAAATCTGTTTCGGCACAACCTGGGGTGGTATTCAAAAAAGCGGGTAGGAGAACCTGGTCTTTTTCCCCCAAAAAATGAGAGAATCTGGTAAAGAACCTGGTAACCTTGCGCCGATTTGCTGCGGCGCGAGCATTCCAACTAAGAGCAGTGGGAAGAGCAGACAGTTAACGGCAGCGCAGACTTTACTCTCTAACCATCGGGAAGGTTGATGTGTATTCGGCCGCGCCTATTTGTCCTGCTACGCTCTTTAGAAAACTAAATTAAAGTGAGCCCAACAATATGCAAATAGCGAAATTTTAAATATTTTGTCAAAATAAAACTCAAGAATGTCAATCTTTAGGGGTGTATACTGATCTCGGATCTCGGCGAGATTAAGTGCCGAGAATCTCGTCTCGGTTAGCTGGTCTCGTCTCGGCAAAACCGAGACCGAGATTGGAAAATGACCGAGATTCTCGTCTCGGTCTCGGTCGAGATATCGATCTCGCGCAACTCTAATGAAAATTACGTAATAAAAAAACAAGTGAATAAAAATAATTTGAAAAGAAAAATTTCATTGAAAAATTATTGCCTAATTGAAAATTATGAAAAATAACAATAGTAAAATACCTATAATTATTTAAAAATATAAAAATACATGTAGCTTTTGTCCAATTTAGACAATAAATATTCTTAAAATTATCCATAAACTTTCAGAATAATGCAGAAACTAGAAGGCTTCTAAGGCATCAAATTAGTAACCTATGCAAAGAGGATCTGCAATGCTCATCTGTAATAAAATTTTTAATTGTCTCATTTTTTATTAATTAAAGTGTCTTATCCCGTGTCGGGAGCTGATTCTGAATTACGATTTGTGTGATCAAACATTCTGCGGGGTAATTTAAAGTGTAAAAAGATAGCAAGATTTGTCCTTCTTCAAGGAAGCTCCAGAACCAAACCATTGCCGCCAGTCATGTACATTTATTCAGAATGCTGTTAACAGATCGGGACACTGCCCAAAGCTACAAACAAGGCAGTGGATAGCTGATACAGTTAACCTTTGATTTTTGGCTTCCTTAGTTATTTAAAATTTATTAACTTAAGGAATGCTCTGCCTTTTGTGATTCTGATACTGATTGCGCAGAGGTACTTGTTTGATTCCACCTATTACATAATAATATCCTGAAATTTTAAGATTGAAAAGTGTTGCTCATTTGGCTGTAGTCGAACATGTTTAGTACCCAAACTGAACGACAGTCGGTTGCTACCTATGCCAGAGGGGATTACAGTTCAGGAAAGGAAACGGAAAAGGTTCTGACTACCCTACAACTTTAGATATTTTTTTAACTTGTTAGATCAGCCATTCTTCGTTGGGTAATGAAGCGAATGACTCCCCAACATACTTCAACATATGCTAATTGTATTCAGAATTTATAATCATATTTTGATAATACCATTTTTAGTGTTTGTTATTCAATGGAGGTGGTCATTGAACAAAGATCCCGAAACAATGACACCTTGGCAGACCGTTAGTCTTGAATTTGTAAATAAATAATACCGGACTTATTAGGTAATGGTCAGGAATAAAATGTATGCAATTCTCAAGCATTTGCTTACTCCAGGACGTTATTATCTTTTTCGTGTTGCTGCTGTTAATGTTTACGGAACTTGTGGGTTTTGAGCAATATGATTATTAAATATGTTTCTATTAAGATGGTTTTTCCCAGCCAAGTCACCCGCCATTTAAACTTACAAAAGAAGTTAAAAGCCCATCGGTGATTATAATTATGTATTTGATCATTTAATTTATATATTTTCAGCCTCCAAATAATTTCACTGTATTACCCTTGGGGGATGATATCCAATCCAACACCGGTGAGGTAGCCAAGATAGGATGGTCTCCACCTATATCAGATATACCAATAAAAGATTATCGTCTCAGTTGGTGGTATGTCTAGGCTATTTTATCGATAAAATCACCCTTTGATTCAAGGAAAACTTCATTAGAATTAGCCAAGGTTTTTGAACTACGTCAACGTCGCAGTTCTAAAGGACATGATGAGGATGATTATGATGGGACCGAACTATCTGAAATTGTATTTACAAAAGATTTAGTCATATCTCTCAGTTTAAATATATTATAGGATCAAGAACCCTTGAGAAGGAGCTTGGTTTTGCCTAGTTCTACCACCAAAACTCAAATTACTGGCTTAGAACAAAATCAAGTTTATATTGTTGAGGTAGACTTGATAGTTAATCAACCTCTCAAGTCCCTTTTTAAAGCTTCTAGCTACTGTGGACACAGCAGAAGGTGAACTACGAGGTGAACCAGCGGTCCTTTTCCTCAAAACCGGCGCTACGTTTCATAAAAAACAAAGCAAAAATAATTCTAACGTTGAAAATCTTTTGCCATTTTCCAACGAAAAGAATGATTTTGTGGTAAAATTGAGAAAGAAAACTTAATTTTCCTTGATTTATTTAAAGGAACCATCCAAAAACCCTCAAAATTCTCAATATGTTGCCCAAGTAAAAACACCATTCTTTGAGGGTAATCATTTAAAGACAATTATTTCATGGAATGACCATCCAAGTTGTACAGATAATAAATTGTTGGGAAATCAGGTAAGGGTTTATTTCTTGATATTGGGTAAAAAAATTTATTTGGAATACTTTCAGCACCAATTCCGAGTATTTGTTAGGTCAATGAGTTGTTTGAATCAATTACCCCCACAAGAATTTTATGTTCATAATTGTGTAGCTACGCTTGAAAATCTCCAATTCCAGTGTGAATATTATGTAAGAATCGAAAGTTACGTAGTTAATGAAGACCAACAAAGGCTAAAAAACAACAATGAAAATGTGAAATTGCTTGAAATTTTTTAAAAATTTCAAAAATTAAATTATTTAGTTGATTGCCCGTCTAACTTTCTCAACACTGCCTTGTGAACAAACGCTTTCAGATATACCTTTACCATGCAAATCAAGTGAAGATTTTGGTAAAAGAATTAATTGGCCTTATTCAAACAGTGATAAATTACCTGCCCTTGCATTACCTTTGAATGGTAAACCTCCTCCTGCTTATATCTTAATTAATAAATAGGGACAAATTCAGCCGAATCAACGACTCGATCTACGAAATTATCTTCAAATGTCGGAAGGGAATGGCTTCCAATTGAAGAATTAATTGAAAATTCTGAAGGAGATAAAAATAATAAAGAAATTCCCACTATTGAGAACTCTAAGAGGTTAAGAGAAGACAATAATAAAAGGAAAAAATCAGCAGAAAATTCTAATCAACAAGATATTCAAAGATTGAATTGCCTAGCAACTTCAATAAGTACTGCAGATTGTTCGTGGACTTGGCAAAGACAATTTGAACCAAAAAATAACCAGTTAATAGGATTTCGAACTGTTCTGTCTTCTACTCTTTTTCGTAAGTTTTCATTGAATACGTCTATTAGACGAGTATCCCTTTTCTCTCATTCTACAGTAATCTAGGCAATTTTTAAAAGCGACTAGTATTCGTTTATGCTATGGTCGTTAGTGTTTCGGTACCAAAGAATATGTGGTTCAAGCCCTCTTACGGGAACCCTTTTTATTTCACTATTTTTTATGTAACTCGTTCATTTTTCGCCTCTATCAACTCTAGCAATATTTTAAACTTTGCCAACTAGAGAAATATTGTATCGAGTTTAACCTTTATTATTTTTAGATACTCCCTCAAAAGTAGCAATTGTCGGCCCTGAGCAAAGGATAGAACACTTAACTGATCTCAACCCTAAAGCTGTTTACAGATTTAGGTTACAGGTTTGCTTAAAAACTGCTATTTTCTTGATTTTTAAATAATTTCAGGCTATTACTTCACTCGGCTTGGGGGCAGAATTGGTCGAGCACTTCAGCACAGGCCATCTAGCAATTAGCTCATTCCAATCTTCAAACCCTGAATTCGACTCAGAAATGTCATTCCATATTGGAGCAAGTAAAATTAATGGATTAACTGACGAACAATATCCCTCAATTATGGATTTGCCTTGGAACAGCGATTCATCAACCTTAAGGATTTCTATTGCACATAATTTGAGAAGAGCTTTCATTATTTTAATTTTAACTATTTTGTTTATTTAATTGTTTTTAATTTTATAAAATTCTATTTCTATGATAAAATTCTTTATCAAAAAATTTTTTCTTATCAACATCATTCTTCATTATCTTTTTCTATATTTTCTCAACTTCCCGAAAGTGTCCTCATCATTTTAGGGGAAAGTTTAGGAATGTAGTTTCTCGGTATCAGCCAAGTACTTAGATTGAATAGATCAAGAAAGACCTTGTAGCGATCGCTGACTGTTGAGCTTTAAATATTGAATAATAATTCGATAAATAATTCGAATAATTCGAAATTCGATAAATAATTCGAATATTCCTTACCGTAAATACATATATCCACTACTTCCTCCCGTTCCAATTTTGCTTCCCAACATTCGTTGAACTAGCATCAAATGATTATCTTAAAGAACATATATTTTTTATCTTCTAAAAAATATTGATATTGAAAAATAAACGCCCATGCCCTAATAGAAGCCCATGCCCTATTAGAAGCCCACTCAATGAGGGGTATTGAAAAATAGACGCCCAGGGCTTGTATTAGAGACAATCCGGTATTTAATAGTATCTCCAAGAAATTATACTTACATCGCCACTTTTGTAATAAAGAGTCTATATCCATCAAATGAAAGAGGATTTGGTATGGTTGAGAGAATCGTGGCATATCCCTATAGAAGTAGATCATCAATGCACCTTTTAGTGCGTTGTGGCTAAGACGTCGTTCACCTGAATTTTTTTAAATTTCCTAAGTCAACACCTTAACAACCTTTCTCTACAAAAGTATTATAATCGTTTTCATTAGTAATAGTCTGAAAACTTCGTCTAATTTTAACATATTCATCCCAGCGAAGCTCACGCTCCTCTTTTGTCTGATTTGGGTTGTTTACCTCCTCCAGCATAAATGAAAGGTATTGGGAAACAGCCTTTAAATTGTTTGAAATTTCCAAAAAAAAATTTTTTGATCTTTTTAAAATTTGCCTCCAAGTATCGGTCCCAAAATGTTTTTCTTTTTCCTGTTGAACCATTCACAGTATCATTAGAAGATGGTTTATCCTCTCTAGAATCAGTTGTTTCATCCGTATCCTCGTCAAATTCTTCCTCATAAATTCCAGGTGTTCGGGATAACCAGCGCTATTATTTTGATATTAAAAAATTTTTGAACTCAAACATACATCAATAAGTATAAACAACGAAGGTTCTCTCTCAGATTGTATAATTTTATCATTTTCTTGATCGTTTTTAACAAAAACTTCTTTATAATGTTGATAATTGTATGAGACACGATTTTTATTCAAAATTCCCAATTTATTTTCGAGTAAACGAAATTGGAGACTTTGGAAGCCCGACGCGGAAGTTAAAAAATTTCTTTAAAATTTCAATGAATTTTTTAAATAATTTTAGCTACCTAAATTCAACAAAATCTAAGGGACTCATAGTTTCGAGAATTAGAATTTGATCAACGAGTAATTTTAGTATTTTTGCAGTCCTTTCCAGAAGGCTTACAATTTGAAGGGTTTTTGTTTCATCGACTATCTAGAAATAGAAATTAATTTAAAAATAAAGAAATTTTTGCCTTATTATATAGCAATGCGCGTACTTGATCAATGTCGAAAATTACTGAAATAATTTATATTTTTAAGTATTTATTCGGTATTTTCAATCAGGGTAGCAACCTGATCTTCACCTCGTGGGTGTCAGGGATCGGGGTTTCCAGTTGAGGGTTTGTCGGGGTTCTTGGGACGGGGTGCTACTCTATTTTTAATTAATATAATACATTGTTTGAACCAAAGCTCATAGGTCTGATGAGTTATAATAAAGAGATGTTCATCTGGGGCCTATTTCAATTGTCCACAGATTCTGCATTCTGTGCACAGAACACAGATTCTGTGGAAATTCTGTTTCAATTAAATTCTGTGTGCACAGAATCTGTGGTGCCCGCAGATTCTGCGGAAACATCCAATGATTCTGTGGAAACATTCCGCAGATTCTGTGGATGAAAATTTCTGTGGAAAATATAAAAATCTGTGGATTTTTTCCACTGATCCACAGAATTTGTATTTCAATTATTTTTCTGTGGTTCTGTGTATTTTTTCTTCTAAATTCAAATTTTTTATTTCCGCGTTTTTGAAAATAACAGTTTTATTGAAACGAAAAATGGTTTGGACAGTTCGGTACTACCGCAGTATTAATGGTACCTGATTTTTTGAAGTAAAACTTTAAAAATTCTTAAATTAAACTGAAAAATATTGTAAAGATTTAAAAATTTTCCCTCCAAATCACATAACATCCCTTTAAATCTCTTTGATATCACTTTAAAACCGCTGATATACCGCTTAATTTTCTTGTTCATCCAATATCCTTAAATCTCCAATTAAATTAATGTCCTAAAGCAGGGTTCGGATCGGAAAAATCAGGAGATGTCGATCCGACATGTGGCTTTTTCAAACTACGATAGAAGTTGTTGCAAGGGAGGGAAATGTTTGGGGATTGTTTAGTCAGAAATTGAGGTTCCTGGAAATCGAAAATGCCTGGAATCCAAAATTATAGTCAAATCGGAACTTTAAAATCGTAGAGGAGTGATTAAGTGGGATATCCATTGATTTTGAGGTTTAATATATTGGAGTGATTAAGGAGGAAATCTATCATTAAATAGGAGGAGAGATTATGACGGATATCAATGAGAGATCATGGGAGATATCCCAGTATACGCTATACAGATATATTCTATAGATCCTGGTAAACATCCCCTCATTAGAGATATCCATGATGATTAGAACATCATAGCTCTAAATTTCAGAATCTCTCACGTTTTTTATTTTTTTATTGCTTGAATATAACAAAAACTGCGTAAAAAAGATGTACCTTTTTCAAAATTAATTTTAAGCAATAATTTTAGGTAATAAAATTATAATTTTTATATCAAAAAATAGAGAATGATTCAAACTTTAATAATCTTTAAAAATTTTGAAATTTGGTTAAGCCTAGGCCTAGAAAAAAATTGTTAAAGTTTTTCCACAGAAAGTTCGCAGAAAAAATTTTAGGGTGGATTTTTTAAAGAATTCTGTGTATTTTCCGCAGACCACAGAAATAATTGAAACAGAAATGCACAGAATCGACTAAAAAAGCCACAGATCTGTGGATTTTTTTCTGTGCACAGAAAAATAATTGAAATAGAATTCTGTGGTTTTTGCATGTTTTTGGATGTTTTGCAGAATCTGTGGATGTTTCCACAGATTCTGTGCATGTTTCCACAGAATCTGCGGACTTCTTTTTCCGCAGAATCTGTGGAATAATTGAAACAGAATTTCTGTGGTTCTGTGGTCTGTGCACAGAACGCAGACCGCAGAATCTGTGGACAATTGAAATAGGGCCCTGGAATGATACGCTTTCCATCATTAGAACGCATTACTTGACAATCCAACAGCTTATCAAGCTCAAATAAAAGTCTTTTTTGATTTTATTGTCTATTTTGCTTAACCTGCAAATAGCCATTGTACGAAATTTGATCTGTAAAGATCGCTGCTTTGTAAACCCCATCGCTAACACTGCTCGAGATTGATGGTAGTTGCTCACTCTGCCTAGACGATTCATCATTAATTTGATTAATCTCAGCTTTAACTTCGTCCTCGTGTATATTTATCATAGTACGACCAGAAAGGTAAGGGCAAGTCATTTTCGAAAGTATTGGGAACGAGTAATAGTTTATGAAATTTATGCTTAATTGTTATCTAAATACTTATCAAAATTATTAATTCAATAATAATTCACGTATAAGCAATAAATTTATCAGTACATACCTGATTAAATAGGAACTCTGGTCTGAAAAATGGGAGGTTGACCGTTCAAAGGTAGAGAATGCAGTCAGCACAATTTTTCATTGAAACAATATTTGTCTTGAGATTACGCAATTCAAGAGTGCATTTCTTAGGTACTAGAACATTAATTAGCAAAACATTTCATATTTTAAATCTAAACTCTTATACCGTATTTTCTTTAATAGGGCCCCATGGGGCTCTATTTTTCAACAATCCTCCAAATGGGGGCTTTAATACGACGGGGGCTTTGATTCAGAAAATACGGTCCCTAATTATGACAAACTAGACACAAATAAAAAACATTTATTTATACACAATTATCAGGCAAATACATTAAAAACATCAGTTTTTTACAATTATAACTTGAAGATATTTGACATACAGAATAGAACTCCTCATTAAGGTTCTTAATCATCGTCTTTATCCGAAAGAAAAGCCGAAATTGTAGGATATGGATCTGCCTCTTCTTTCTTCAAACTCTCATTCTTGATTCTTGCCTCCTTCTCATCAAGAACGAATGACCGCGGTTTGATTGGCTCAGCACTCAAATGCTTAAAAAAAGGAAGAGATTAAAACTGCCCATGAAAGATCAACAACTTACAACATCCGCCAAAGCTCCTTTCGACGATTCTGAATCACCTCCATCATCCTTATCCTTTTTGTGCTTGCGCGAATGCTTGGAATTTTTGGGTGAACCAGACTTTGAGAGTTTCGCCTTCTTTGATTGCTTGGATTTCTTTGATTCTTTTGATCGAACTTTTTTAGTTGTAGTGGTTTCCTCAGTGTTTGCCTTTGTCTTCTTTCCAACTTGTGTCTTCGGCGGGCTTGGGATAGTTGTTGGTTTCTTACCAGCAGCAGCAACACGGGTCGCCTCCTTTAAATAAAGATTAAGTAAACAGAATTAAACCTCAAAAACCAACCTTTTCTGGAGTTACAGAGGCCAATTTACGAGGTCTGCTAGATTTACCTCCAACTTTATTTGCCTTCTTTTTCTTCTTACAACAGCAGCAATCAAGTAGCGAAGTCGTTATGAACGAAGAGGTGAGCAGCGAAAGATACATGAACCACAACAGCGATGTTAATGTCCAAAACTCCATATTTGCTTGTGTTATGTCTCAGATGACAGACGAGTTATGAAGTAAAGCTGGGAACTGATGCTTTTATACTGTTATTCCGTGCCCTAGAAATTCCGTGCCCAACAATTCCGTGCCCTAAAAAATAATCTTGAAGCCATAGTAAATAACCAAAAATAACCTCTTTAAAAGCTTTTTTAGCTTCTGGAACTCTATCAAGGCTAAAAATTGAGTTATTAAAAAACTTTTAAACATAAAAACAACCTATCAAAGGTTCAACAATTCAATCAAATCAGTACATCCAACCATCGAACATTTGCTGTGCGTCTTCTCGTTCTGGCTATCATTTGTTGGCTTTAACATTGGGAAAGGATAAACTATTTAGGGGAGAAACTTTGCGGACAAAACTTGCGGATATTTAATAAAGTAAAAAAAAACAAACCATGTAGACGAGAGCATTGGAACTTAATCGTTGCACTATTTGGAGTGAAGCCAGACTGCCCAGATATCGCCGAAGCGAAGAGTGGGACTTTTTCTGCCCAAATATCGCCGAAGCGAAGAGTGGGACTTTTTCTGCCCAAATATCGCCGAAGCGAAGAGTGGGACTTTTTCTGCCCAAATATCGCCGAAGCGAAGAGTGGGACTTTGTCTGCCCAAATATCGCCGAAGCGAAGAGTGGGACTTTGTCTGCCCAAATATCGCCGAAGCGAAGAGTGGGACTTTGTCTGCCCAAATATCGCCGAAGCGAAGAGTGGGACTTTGTCTGCCCAAATATCGCCGAAGCGAAGAGTGGGACTTTTGCTGCTCCGCTCCAAATACTAAAAAAGGGATTCTATTTTTTAAAATTAAACCTAAACAAACGTTTTATATCGGCTGCTGAACCACTGAAAAAAATTGTATTAAATTTTAAAAATTAAAAAAAGCAAGTCTTGTCCGCAAGTTATTACTACTCCCCACCCCCTAAAAAGGTTAACCCAGGGCTCGGATCGACAAAATGCCAATAAAAAGTACAAAAATCTTGATTTTAAAGTACATAGGGGCAAAATTTCCACATTTAAAGTACACTTAAAATTAAATTAGAAAATATTTATTCGTGCTCAAATCTTTTATATTTCTCTCTTAAATTAATCTTTTCTAATAATTTCTTGTTTCAACTTAGCATTTTATCAATTTCAATGCATCTTTTTTTTGGGCCGAAGGCGCCAAAAAATTTATTTTTTGCGCCGCAGGCGAAAATTTTGAGAATTTTGGAGGTCCTTAAGCCAGATTTCTTCCATTTTTTGCGCCGCAGGCGAAAATTTTGAGAATTTTGGAGGTCCTTAAGCCAGATTTCTTCCATTTTTTGCGCCGCAGGCGAAAATTTTGAGAATTTTGGAGGTCCTTAAGCCAGATTTCTTCCATTTTTTGCGCCGCAGGCGAAAATTTTGAGAATTTTGGAGGTCCTTAAGCCAGATTTCTTCCATTTTTTTCAAAATGTTGATTTTAAAGTACATACTTTCAATAAAGTACAAATTCAATTTCGTAAGTACGGAGGTCGATTTTAAAGTACTGTACTTTCAAATAAAGTACGAATCCGAGCCCTGGGTTAACCCCAAAAAAGGAAAAGCCACACTCCAAGTTGTAGAACATCCCTGCTAAAATGGCAACAGAGAACACTAGATGAGTCATCAAAAATCGATTATTGATTTTGGGATGAAGTGTCATTTATTCTTATAGCATTATGCCAAATAGGGCAAATTTTTGAATTCTGAAACAAATATTCTTAAATGGCATAAGAAATACATATAACAGCTCTTAAACCGATTCACGGATTTCTAATTTTATTTCACATACTTGATCCCGCTAACAAGATTTTGCTGACCTCTAGTATTATTTTATCTGTTACCAATTTGGGCTTGTGCAATTTTTCTCTTTGTGAGACTTTTAGCGCCGTTAACTTTCACTATTTTTTAATTTTTATTTTTTCTCTTCAAAATTTTTAATTTCATTTATTTCAGTGTTGATTATGAATGGTGATGAATTCCTTTGTGTTAATAATACAACAAAAATTAGTCGTGAGGAGTTAATGGCATATGTACGAGAAGAATTAATTTGCACTATTGGCAGTGCGGATAGTCCAGTTACTATTCCAGTTTTAATTACAACATTCAGGTTATTTTATCAAAATTTTTAAAAATTTATAGAGATCGGAAATTTAAAAATGGCCTTGACCTTGGCTCTTAATTATGGTTGAAAACCTTTCCCAGATTCTTGACTTTGAGTAAAAAATTCATGGAATACTGAAAAAAGCCTTGATCTTAACTCTAAATCCCTGAAAAATCAAAGTCTGGATCCAACCCGATCTCTAAAAATTTTTTGATTAAATTCTAAAAATTAATTCCTAAAATATTTTTTAAAGAGAAGATACGTGTAACGACATTGGTGTTCTTGCTGAAAAGCTTGGATATCCATCAATTCCTGCTATGCTGGGTTCAGACGACTTTCGTGACATTATAGAACCTTGTTATACTGATATGGCGAAGGGTGCTGGCAATGTAAATCCTGAGAAGGTTTTTTGTTACAAGGTTATTTTAGTTTTTGAATTATGAGATTTAAAAGTTAGTGACCCGTCTAGTTTATTCTACTGATTTTGATGCGGACTTCCTAGAGCTGGATTGTGTCCCGCCGGATTTTTCTGGATTAATTCGGTTCTAAAAAATTTGGAGATTCGTGAAAACCTGGATTTGGGATCCGGACGCTGAAAAAACGGCTGGATCCGTCCGGCACTATTTCTCATCCTCAATCCATATTTCCATTATGAATTAGAATTTTATCTCCAATTTTTTCTAAGGCTTTAACTTGGATTTTTCATAAAGGATTAAATTTATAGATCAAATCTCGGCCAGACATTGCCCATATTTTAAGCTCAATAGAAGATGCTAATCGTTTTCGAAGTGCAAAAGAGACAGAGAAATTTAGAAGATTACAGGTTTAAAATTTTTCCAACCAATTTTGTATAAAATCTTTTTAGGTTCTAATTCGAGACCCAAAATCTTGTCCGAAAATTCTTATGGGAAAAGAAAATTTATTGAAATGTCTACACAGTTTGGGTGCAGAAGAAAGAGAAGTAGAATTACAAGAACTTCAAAATGAGTATAAACATAATTATGGAGTTGAAATGAATAAATCGGTCTGTTTTTTATTTTGATTGATTACCTTTTGAGTTATGCTATTGTAGTATCAAACGCTGAAATACCAAACTTCCAACCAAACTGCCTTCTGTCTTGTCTCTGTTTTTTGATGAGTTTTCTCACCTTTTCTGAAACAACCTGTGTCATCAGATACTTTATTTTTCCTCAGTTTGGTATTTTGGCAGCCTTTGGCGATTTGGTATTTGCCTTTGATAATACGGCGCGCTCCCTTATTTATTATTCATAACTGTATTTTTTAATTTTTAGGAATTAAAACGCTTTTTTCCAACTGGCAAGCTTAAAACAATTATCGACACTTATTTATACAATGATATTGAAATTTTCACCGATAATAACCGAACAGGATCTCTTCTTTTTAAAATGAAACGAACAATGGATGAGGTTAATGCTGAATGTGAGAAAATCCTTAAAGAACGATTGGAGGCTATTAAAATGGAAGAAGAGGCTGAAAAATTAAAATTGAAGAACAAATCTAAGACGAAAAAGCCCAAAAATATACAGCCAGTACAACCAAGGAAATTACGCGTGATTAAGCCGCCGCCTGAACCAAAAATTGTATGTATCAGTTTAGGTTATTTTTTTTAATATTAATGATAGTTTTTAATGGAGTTTTTCACAATTAGACTAGCGATAACTAAAAATTAGGTACTTTTTGGATATCTCGCTCCCTGCTTGTTTGATTGGGTTATTCTTTCTTCATTTTTGGTTAGTATATTTGGTGAACTTATTTTGTTTTTTCACTACATAACTGATAGGCATAAAAGAAATATCCACATACACTACTCATGTGAAGGCGCGCGGATTATCCAACAACTTCCTAAAATTCTTAATAACGAATTTTTTCAAAATTTTTTCCTTTATTTTAGAAGCCAAAACCTGTTGTGAAGCCTCTAGTAACCCGTTCCAGCATTTTCTACACAGACGATGCTTTGTTGGCTAAAAACATTAATCTTGTACATAAACACAATTCCAACTCCAATGATGAAAATTCTAATAGTGACGAAGAGATTAGCGATGAAGTTGTCGATGAGGAAATTAACAAGGTTTATTTCTACTTCGATTTTATTTTTAAAAAGTCTTTTAAGAAACGCTACACAAGCGCTATTGAAGGTGCTGTATTTACTGACAGTGAGAATGATGATATTGATGAAGAAGCGGAAGAATTTCGACTTGTTAATTTCAATAAAGATGTGTGTTCAACTAGTGATGCTTCTGCTCCGTCATCTAGTGAAAGCAAGAAGGAAAATGGTGTTAAAAATGGTATTATTTTTTAGATTAAAATTTCCGGTACTCCTGTCTTTTAAGGGGCCGCAGTACTTTTTTTGTCCCCCAAAAGTTTTATTCCTTCTAATTTTTAATTTTTAGAAATCGACCTTGACGAATTGAAAAAATTGTCGGAACAGGTTTTTTAATCATTTTAATTTGGAATATCTTTAAAAAATTTTAGAGAAATAATATGCGTTTTGCTATTGCAGCACAAAGTATGAAAAAACGAAGAGAATTCTTTCAACAATTTGAAAATAGAAATCAGACGGATGCTCCAATGGAGGGAACATTTGCAGAAACTACAAGGTTTGGTCGCCGTGCAAAGGAGGAGGAACAAAGGAGAGAACGGGTTCAACAACTTTTGGAGAAAATGGATTCAAATAAAACTAAAAATAAACTCCCTTTGAAACCAAAATTAATTGTTGCTGATAAATCAAATGTAAATAAATTAATTTTAAAAGTAGAGTAACAACCCAGACCCTTTGTGGGACGGTGGTATAGCAAAAACGTATCCGGTGGCTAGTTTTTGGCACATCTTAGCTTGATGAAACCGACCTCTAGGTTACGGTTTTGGGGTGTAGTGGATTGAGGTTTGCCGGGGAAGGTGTCGGAGTTGATTTTTTATCGGGTTTTCGGAGAACGTAGTGCTACCCAAATTAAAAATATTCAAGCCCTTATAATAATTTTGTTTTATAGGAGAAGAAATTCTTGATTGCTGCAGTTATCTCTCAACTCGTTTTGGCAAATCGGGAGCTTGGGGTAAATTTTTAAAAATTTAAATAAATTTTTTGAATAATTTTTTTGAATTTTCAAAATTTTTAAACAATTATTAAAAAATTTCTTTAAAAGTTGTCTGAGATTGTGAACATGTTGAAATTGTTGTTTGCTGAACACTACTCTGATGTAGAGATTGATATACCTAGCTTTGTTGAAGAATATTTGCCTTGCATGAAATTTGTTAGAGCGCCTATTGAGGTTTTTTTATTTTTTTTTAAATTTATGAAATAACTTTAAAATTTAGCCCCATATTGTGATTGAACAAGAATGTGGTAAAACATTAGTAAAATCATTTACTACAAAAATTGGGAATTTTAATAGAAACTTGAAGAAACTTTGACTTTTTGTGACATGGTTTGAAATTCTTTTGATTTCTGTTTATATGATAGGTTTATATCATGGATGCCACGGGTTATCCGAACTTCCGGACTTTTTCCTACTCGAACCCAGCTCCAAGGTAAATTTTTGAAATCCGACCCGGGTTTTTCGCTACCCTCAACATCTCTGGTTTGTTATATTCTTAAATTATTATTTTTGATATTTTTAATCAATAAATTATAATATTGATCTGATGCTTTTAGACCCATGCCCCTTGCTATAGGTTTATTAAAGATGACTTTCAGACGCCATTATAGCTTGTATATTTTTATATGAAATTTGATCATTTTAATCGACTGCACTTTTTTCATTGGAGAGGGGCAAATGTGAAAGGGAGAGAATTTTAAGGGGACAGGCATAAAAGTCAACTGAAATAAGCCTTTAGGTGGTGGTGGTCCATTCCGTGACATATAAATAAACTTTTTTTCCAAAGGACAGTTTTCTCTCCTATTGCCTACATAAAGTAAAAAAAACAAAGATTGCTTTATAGCAATGTAGACGTACGCTTTGTTTTCATCCGTTCAATTTTTTAAATCACGATGATGTTAGTCTCATTCTACATAAACCACACTTTCACCCCTTTTGATTTTAGCATACTAGCTTAGAGATTGTCCATAAGATAAGTAAATTTTCTAATTATTCGATTTGCCTTTAATTCAAAAGAGAAATGTTACAGAAAAAATGAGAAAAACATACAACCAACATGTTGATGGTTAATCAATTTTCTAATTTAAGCCTGCACAAAACTTAACTGTTTTGCTCTGTTCATTTCCTGAAAAAAGTTTAATAACAAAAACTACTGTAATTTAAATCGGTACCTCTTGATTTTCGACTTTTAGAATGCTAATTACTTCATTATTTTCTGCCAGCCGTAGGGTAGCACAACACGGAAGGGATGACTAATATCCAGCCTCCTCTCCCTTCCGACGTTTCTCCTCCTAACCCTCTGGACCTTACAGACACTGGTTGGCGGAAACATTTCTATTAATAATTGGAAAATTAAGACAATTTTTATGCATTTAAAATCAAATTTTTACTCATACTGCTTACAACAACTTTAAATCTTTAAAATTTTTAAATTATGCAACATGACCAATTCCTCTTGATTATCTCAGTATTGCTTACCATCTTGATCAGAATATCAACAGCAATAAACCAGATAGACTATGGACACCCTTTATATGAGCTACAACTTGGTCAACCAGCAGATAAGGAGATATACCATCTTCAAAGGGATGTTGTGGAAGGTGTGGCTAATATCCAACCTCCTCCTCCTCCAGACGTGTCTTCCCTCACATTTGTTTTTGATGCGACTGGCTCAATGAATGGTAACTGAGTAAAATATAAGTAAAAAATCATCAAGTTTACAGATGATCTAAATCAAGTTCGGCATGGTGCTAAAGGAATTTTTGAAACTGTAATGAAACAGAGGAAGAAGCTGATCTACAATTTTATTTTGGTTCTTTTTCATGATCCAGGCAGGCTAATAATATTTCTGTTTTTAATGATATAAATTCTGAAAATCTTTAGAAGTGAGCGATCCATTCATTACAACAGATCCTGATCTTTTTCAACAACAATTGGCATCAGTTTCTGTACAGGGTGGTGGGGACTGTCCAGAAATGGTCATTTTTTGAATTTAAAAGATTCTACAAATTTTATTTCTAGGCTCTTTCTGGCATTAAGAAAGCGCTTGAAGTTTCATTGCCAGGATCTTATATTTATGTATTCACTGATGCGCGATCCAAAGATTTTCATCTTGAAAGTGCCGTACTCAACCTTATACAGGAGAAACAAAGCTCAGTGGGTCCTATTAGAATTTTAATACCCTATTGCTGTTCATAAAATTTTTCTAAAAATAGGTTGTCTTTGTAATGACTGGTGATTGTGGAAATCGTTCAGCCCCTGGGTACAAAGTTTTTGAAAGAATAGCAGCCGCAAGTTTTGGACAAGTTTTTCACCTGGAAAAATCACATGTCAATACTGGTATTTAGAAAAATTTAACGTTTATTCGGATAAAAAAATAATTTTAAGTTCTCGAGTATGTACGTCATTCTGTAGCACGACGTAAAGTTCACATACTTTATGAAGTTCGTGAACATGGCCAAACGCACACTAGGTGGATAATTATGATATTATTTTTGCTTACTATTAAATGTAGCCTCGTCCCGATTGATACTTCATTTTCTGAGTTGGTAGTATCATTGGCTGGAGTTCGAGATGATACTGATCTGATGGACATTGAATTGGTTGATCCACACAGTTGACTTACCCAAGATAAATTTGCTTTAATTATTTAATTATCAGATAGACGAATTGACAAGTACGAACATGATGATGGCACAATCAATCTGAAAAACATAAAGCTAATCCGGCTACTTTCACCCGTGCCAGGCATTTGGCGAGTCAGAACCAGCAGCAGATTAAAGTAAGCATTCAACTTTGGTATTAGTCTCGTAATCAAAAATTTTTCCAGGCATACTTTACTAATTTTTGGGCATGGAGATATTGACTTCAAATATGGTTTCGCCGCTCAACCAGTTTCTTCCATAGATTTAGTGGGTTTTTAAAACGAGATTTTTAAAAATTTATTAGAAAATCTCTACAAAATCCATAATTTTAGACCCATCCTCGTCCCGTAGCTGGTCAACCAACTTATTTACTTATTAAAATGACTGGCCTGAGACCGCCAGGTGCTTTGGAGCATGTATCACTTGTTGACTACAGTGGAAATGAACTTTATCGAAACGAGTCTCGTCTATATCCAGGGGATGGTTCTTATCTCCATTTAGTTGGGCCTTTAATTCCACCAAAAATTTTCTTTTTTGTGCGTGTGAGGGGGAAAGATGCTCAGGTAAATTATGAATGATGTTATTTCATTGCCCTTTAAAGAACTACGATTTTCTACGAATAACTCCTACAGCAATTGCTGCTGTAGATGTTGTTGGCCCTAGAGCTTACATGGCTGAAAGGTTCACCGCAAATGCATATAATGCTATAAATCTTACTTGTTCAATTGAATCACGAGTGCCATTTACTGTACATTGGCTTTTTGGGAGTAGAACAATCGGTGGTCCTCTTTTTTATGAGTATGAGTTTTATGATAGTTTGCTGATCAAACCCCATTTAATTTTCCATACAGACATACAGATACCTCAACGTGGACAATAGATTCAGTTACTCCTGCTCACCGTGGCTATTATACTTGTTTGGTAGTTAGTTCTTTAGGCAATCATTCTGTCTCGACTTTTCTTGAATCAAAAGGTTAAATCTCCTTATTTTTACTCAAAATATTTTTGATCAGAATTGCCACCTGATATAGTCTCAATGCGAAATGTGTCAGTTATGCTTCATGAGACTGCATTTTTACATTGCATAACACAAAGTATAGAACGACCACGCATTAACTGGATGCATAATCACAGTTTAAATGTTGGAAATTCCGCGAAAACTGTATGTTTATCATTAGTACCTTGATTCCCGTTGAGGAATGAAATTAACATTCAATTAAGTATACCTATGATAACGGCACTTTGCGTATTCACGATGCCACTTTTGATGATGTCGGTATTTACTCATGCTTTGCCCGAACCTCAGGAGGCCAAAGCGAAGAAACTGCATGGTTGACTGTTATGCAACCTCCAAGTGTACGAGTAGAACCGCGAGAATTATATAGCGTTGAAGGTACTACTTTTACTTTGAAATGCATTACAACAGGCGTGCCGAAGCCAGAAGTTGCGTGGTTCTTCAGAGGTTTTTGAATTAACATTAAATTTTTAGGATTCCCCAAACAATTTTTTAGGTTCCCCAATATTTTCTGATCCAAAATTCTACATTAGCCAAAGAGATGAATTAATTGTCAGTGATGTGGAAGACGAGGATGAAGGTTCCTATTCGTGCCAAGCAAAAAATTTAGCTGGAAATGCCATTGCTTCTGCTTACGTTCAAATTGCTGGTTCTTGATCATTTAGATTCAAATTAATATTTTAAATTTATAGTTCCACCAACCATTCATGTCTCACAAAATAAACAAATGATAACAAAAGATGATTCAATTATTCTTGATTGCCAAGTAAATTTAATGATGATATTCTTTGACCTTTCCTTTTAGGTCATTAGTGGTATTCCACCTCCAACAATTGTTTGGTGGAAGGATGGACGACAACTATTTAACGACCGTTATATACAAATTCAAGAAGGTGGACGGTTGACTATTCCTCGTGCAGATATTTCGGATGCTGGGACTTATGCTTGTAAAGCTGAGAATATTGCTGGATCAGCAATTAAACCACTAACTCTTGGTGTTGGAAGTGAGTTAAATACAGCTTCCGAATATTCTCGTTAATTATTTCTAATCAGGCCCTCCAACAATTTTGCCTAGTCCGGAGACTGTTTATGTTCAGATTGGACAAACAGCAACACTTAACTGCAGAGTTGATGGAAACCCAAAACCACAAATCCAATGGCTTAAAAATGGTTCTCCCATTGATGCATTGATAGAAGAACAACTAAGATATTCTCATTTGCCTGATGACAGTCTTCACATCAGAGGAGCATCATTATCCGATCAGTCGACGTTTACTTGTATAGTTAGAAATCAATTTGGAGAACAAAGAAAGCGCACAAATTTGGTTATTACTGGATTGGGTGGATTTTCAAGGATTTATTTTTATGATTTATTTTATTAAGTGAGCCCTGTTCTTGCCAGTTTGCCTTCAAAAATGGAACTGTTAAGTATTTTTCTTGTTATTTATCTAGAAATTATTCTTAAATAATCTATACTATTTTAAGTGTCGAAGGAAGGGATTTGCAAATTAATTGTGTTGTCCTACTTGGTAATCCTCGTCCTGAAATTGAATGGTTTAAGGTCTCTAAATTTTTAAAAGACAAAATTTCAAAGCATTTTGGTTCATTTAAGGATGGACAACCACTTTCCAAAGCTATATCGAAAGAGCATGTAATCTTTCTCCGCGATGGATCATTATTGCTTAAAAATGGTTCTGATGCACACAAAGGAACGTATACGTGTAAAGCTAATAGTGCTGCGGGAAATGCTTTACAAGATGTTAATGTACAGTTGATAAGTGAGTTTATAACTTCTAATTGAATTTTTAATAAAAAAATCTATGAAAAAAATCGCGCGAAAGCCATAAATATTCTAATCTTTGCTTATCCAACCCTTTCGTAAAAATTTGTTTTTTTTCTTTCCCTTTTTTGCGGTGTTTTTGTTTTTTACAAGATTAACTACCTATTTTTTTAATTTCTTTCAATTTATAGTGAAACCAAGAATGCTTCAAACAGATATTGAAGATGTACTAGTGGCCATTGATGGTGCTCAGCTTGAAATACCATGTCCTGTGCTAGTTCCTGAGGGGCAAGTTAGGCCTAAAGTGCTTTGGGCACATGATTCCCAGCCGTTAAATGTTAATACACCCGAATATATTGTTCTGGTATGCTTATAATCTAAAGAGATTTCTAAAAATTAATTATTAAATAGCCGAATCTCAGCCTGAGAATTCTGAGGGTTAGTTCTGCACATATTGGCCGTTACACATGTACAGCTGTGAATGAGGCTGGAAAACTGGAAAAAACTACGCTTGTTTTAGGTATAGTTTTAAATTTAAAAATAACATAAATACATATTTACATGGGTTTGATAATGATTACTAGGGCCTCACAAGATCATTAATCACATTCTTATATGGCTTTTTCTTGTCTCTGATATTCTCTTGTTCCTCTATTATTTCTTCTAATCTCTATTCATCCTCTATTATTTCAAAGGTCCTATACATATTTCATCCAATCTAGTGCCTAACTTATTCAAAATGAGCCGCAATACACTCAAATTGCAATAGCATACAAAGCACATTAGTACAGTATTTCCAATTGCAAAAACCGAGGCTAATTCCCCATCAAATTGAAAATTAAATTCCTGCTTTTTCATCTGATGATTTGTAGCGATAGGCAGTGTAAGCTCTTAAAAGTGAGTTTGATCATTCTTTTAATGAACAAACTAACTGAATGCACCAAATGATTCGAGGGCGCTTCGTTGTAAAACCATTAGAGCTGTTTGTATGAAGATCAATGTCGGCGTTAATAGGCTTAGTAATTTGCGAAAATTTTGCTGTTTAGATCTAAAATTATAGTTTGTATAAAAATAAATTTTTATTGAACAAACATTCTTTTGGCTTGCCAAAATCCTAAAATTCCAAGCAAAAAATTTATCAAGAATTCCCCAGTTCTATCAGAAACAAGATACATAGCTGCTCCATTCCAAGCTATGCACCACTTTAAAAAACAATTATAAATTTTTAATACATTATTGTCTGTATAAAGCCCCATAGGTCCTCTATCTCTTAACCATCTTTCAAAGGGGGCTTTATTAAATAAGTGGTACTCTAATAAAGGTGGGGGCTTTAATACAGAAAATACAGTATATGTATTATTAATTAACGAACCGTTGCTATCCCATATTTTGTGGTCTTCAATGCACTAATTCCATTCCAAAATTCCTCATCCTCCTCATTTTCAAAATCTCTTGATTCCAAAAATTTTTCCTCACATTTTTTAATTTTTTCAATTTCAACTCCCCTTTCTTTAGATTTTTTTATTCCATTACTTTGAGCAGGATTTCTCTTATCTTCCTGCTGATTCTTCTTATGTTGTTTGTCAGCATCTTTGTTATATTCAGGCGCGAAAAATTCAATGCCACTTCTATTTGTAGCAATCATATCTGCAACATTCCTTCCCAATCCAATAGCGTTTATAGTTTTTCGCCTTCTTTCTTCTTCAATTTCATCTTCATTCTTTCCTATTTCTAATAAGTCTTCCAATGCAGATGTGTCTAAACTTAGTGACAAACTCCCACCAACACTTTGGAAATTCTGAAAGCGTTTAGTACGTTTTGGTGGTTGTTGAGATATCTGCTGGGATTTAAAAAGATTTAATTCAAGAGTATTTTGAATTCCAGATGGGGCTGAACTATTTTGTCTCATGGATGAGGAATCCATTTTTAAAAGAATTTATTGAAAATTTATGAATGTTGCTAAAAATTTATAAAAAAAATTATCGAAAGAATTAAAAAATGAAGACTACACTTCTTCATTTTCTATCTACTCTTGTCTGTGTTAAATCCAATTCTCTTGGTGTTCCTTACGCGCGAAACCTCTATATCACTAATCCTCAATCGAATGTGTGTACGTAATCCATGTTGCGGATTATTTTTTTCCTAGTTTTATTTTTCTAGCAAATTAGTTAATGTGACTATTAATATTTAAAAAATATCTTGAGGTTTCTAATGCTATAAGTTTTCTAATGGGATTTTATAATTAAAGTTGAGGAATAAAATATTAAAGTAATCAAAAATTATTATTATTCCAAGTTAATTAATCATATTATTATTTTTAAAGCTCCTCCCAAGGTGGGGAATGATGCCATGCTTGAAGTGATGCAAGGAGAGGTTCTTCCAATGAACTGTGATTTGCAGAACCCTGGGGAATCTACAACAATTACCTGGCTTTTTGTGAGAGAATATTTAAAATACTCTCTAATAATACTCCTATATCCATTAGAACAATTCTACTAATCTTCCTATAAATGTATCAATCCAATCTGACGGGGCTTGGTTGCATATTGTTGATGCCCAAATTGCTAATCATCAGGGAACCTATACTTGTTTGGTTGAAAATTCTGTAGGAAAAGCTAGAAGGGAATTTAATGTGAATATTCTTGGTAAATTTTCGAAATTTTAACGGAATTTAATTCAAAATTCAGAACCACCTCGATTCATTGATACGACTAATACAAAATATTTGTTACTCGAGGGCCAGACTATAATGCTGGATTGTACATTAAAGGGAGCACCTTGGCCTAAAATTGTTTGGAAAAAGGTGAGAAACTATTAAGTATAACTAAAATTTTATTCTTTGAAAAAAATGCCAATACTGTACAATTTAATAAGAGTTAAATGTGAAAATGTTGCCAAATATAGGGAGTTATACAGAATTTTACAAAAGGACATCTCATAGGCAATAACTAGAAACCGGATCAAGACGAGATCGAAATTTCTTGAGATAACTCATACCGGTCTCTAGCTATAACTGAATATTTGTCTTTTCCCGTGACTCTGTACAAAAATTAGGAAAATTAGGATTAGTATAGATATGATGTAAAAAGGCTCAATTAAAAATAAAAGTAAATAATTAGTTTCAAAAGGATTCTGAAAAAATGGTGGTTGATGAAGTGATTAGGACGGCTAATATTAATATGGAAAATACAATAATTGCAAGTAGGGAAGTTGACACGCGGGTTTGGTTCCTTCCACCGGGTGAAGCATCATTTGAGCATATTCCATAGCGATTGCAGCGTTTTCCGCCAGCGCATTCCAACCCTATCCTCCATATTGGGCGATCTTGTGCTGATTTAATGCCGTAATTTCGATGGGCATTACGGCAACGTCTTGTAGACGGCTTCTTTTTTAAATAATTTTTGTGTTAGATTTTTAAATCATTTTGGAGTAACCTGATGATAGTCAAAACAACAAAGTTGACAACGATCTTCTGATGCAAATCCAGTATCTGGATCTATTGCTGGACATTCACACACCATTAAATAGGGTGAAATTTTGGCACATGGATTTTCACAGACATCATCTACACATATTTTTTCGGATCTTAAAAAATTATTCCTATACTAATATTCGCTCTTTCACCTACTTTTTATCACAATATTGTCCTTGTTGTTTATCAACACAGACTGATTTTGAGCATTTTCCTTGTAAGCATAGTCTTTGTGTGTCTTGATCATCACATGGCATTCCATCCATTTCGTCCCCATTCATTCTGCACCTTGTACATGCATCACGCTCCCAACGCTCTCCATTATCTCTTTAAATTGTTAAGATTCAACGGATAATAGACCATACTATAATATACCTAAGTATGCCATGTTCGTGAGCTGGCAAACAACGATTTCGCTCATTGCCGCAGCATAAGAAGCAATAGTTATCCTCTTCGCTGTCACACCGACACTCGCGCATATCTTTAACGGAACATACTGAAACGCATCTGAAATTCGCAATTATTTATGAAAAAATTACGTTTAAGTTACGTGTTATTCCTGCAAATTTGTGCCCTACTTGTTGAGCATATACTTCCTTCTGCCGAACATTTGACGTGTTGTTCATCATACCGGTGATGATAAGAATGGGATGAAGAATCACAAAGATTAATTTTAAATGAGAAAATTGCACCCAAGAGAAGCATTCCTTTTAATTGTTTGTAAAAATTCAAGTTTTGCTTTCTTCTCCTAAAGCATTTTTCTTGTTTTTCTGTACATTGTTGTTCAAAATTGAAATCAAAAATAACAAAGGATTTGTACATTTTTCAACAATATTTTTTGTGTAATAAATGAAGGCCGCAACAACAACCACCTGCTTCTATAATATTCACAGTTTTTAATCATCAGTTTAATTTCACCATCAGTTTATTTTCAACTGAACCATCTTTTTATTTTCTTGAAAGTCTGAATTTGTAATTAATATGTACTTGAGTAAAAAAGGATAGCAAATTTGCTAGAAAAGTGTTAAAAAGCAAAAAAAGTTTGGCATCAAGGATGCGCCTTTCCGCTTTCATTTTGCACCTCTAAAGCTGCTTCCTCTAAGAGCGGCGTGTCAAATGTTATTTTGGATTAATGGAGGCTTCAAGTTTCTTTGAGTGGGAAGGGATGGGTGAATTTTATTTATGGATAACAAAATATGACAAATATTTACTTCTAAAAGTATTCCATTACTAGATTAATTTTTGGGGATACTAAAATGATGATAATTATTAGGGTTGTTCACTATCGGTTAGTAAATGGTATTCTCGGTTTTTGGTTATGCTGAGGTTCTACCTCAGGTTTTCGGTTTCGATTAACCAACTGTGAACAACCTAATATTTTGATAAATTATGATAAGTGAGGGGGTTGTTAGTTTGTTTCAGAGGTGTATTAGAAAATTTTTGATTTTGATTATAATAGAAATTTACAAAAATTAAGAAATAACAGTGATAAGTAAAGAAGATGTCGTGTAATTTCGAAAATCAAGATTAGTCTTGAAAAGTAGAAACAAAAAAGAACATGTTGTAAATTCCTTTTAGTTCCCCGCAACTAGTGGAATTATCCCTCAAGTTTGAAGGACAAGCAGGGCTCTTTGCCATCTGGCAGCAAAAAGCAGATGTTGAAATAAGGAGGGAAAAGCATAAAAATGCTGTGATGAAAAGAAAAAAAAGAAAATAAAGTTGAGGGACTTGAAAATATATTATTGCTGTGAAAAGCATACATATGGACAGAATTGCCTCAAGGCATAAAAGAATGAAAGGGGCAATTGGTTAGCTTTGTTATATATTGGCCACACAAAAGTTTTTTTCCTTAGTACTTCCTCCCCAACTTACCTCTTTCATACCTCTTGCACTACTCTATTTATAATTTATTTTTTCTGCTACTACCCATCTGTTTATTCTCTCAAACCTACTGCTCATTCATTCAGAATTTTATCCTTATACAAAAAACTTTGTTTTTGCCAGCCGGTCACCTGGGCATTTTTTACTAAAGGTTTTTGGCCATCATTTGAAATTGTCGGGGTTTTTAAAGAAAAGGTTTTGTAACATATTTTGAACAAAGTATTTGCAACAAAGAGGGGAATGATGAATAAATGATGTAAAAAATTGGGAGAAATATTTAATTTTTTTGAATTTATGTATGTCGATTTTTTAAAAATGTTTACGTCGGAAAAAAGCAATTTGGCTAATTGAAATTGAGATATTTTCTCTCCTAATTTCCGACCTTAAGGATTTTTACATTAAGGCGATTTACATAAATAGTGATAATGGTTTGGATAGGAAATGAATTGGAGGTTTCAGCCCCATAAAAAATTTGAGGGAATGAGGCGAGTGATAGATTTACCTCCTATGGCTCACAAATGCCAGTCTGCTCATCAACTGCAGTCTTGATAACCGCCCTCTTTTTATTGGTATTGGAAGGAAACACATCTTTTCCCAAAGGTATAATTGCACAGCAACTGAGAAGCAGCCGAGAGATGGGCCAGATGAATGGCCCCTTACATTTTAAAAAATAGCCAAAATGAGCTTTTTTGGAGAATTATTGGTTTAGAAAATATGTGCAGTAAAGAGAAGTGCCATTTTCCTTCTAGCTTTTAACATAGGAAAATAGGATTTTGTTTGGAGAGATGGGGGAATTTTAAAATGAGCAAGGAAGGGGGATTGGAATTTTTTTAAAAAGAGAGGACGACTATTTATTTTTTTAAATTTAACTAACCAATTACCTTAAATTTTTCTAAAATATATTTTTGTTTACTAAAATTGAGACGTTCTTTAAGGAATTCTTAAAGATAATTTTGTCCTTTAAAATATCTCAGCTTTGAATTTAAATTAAAATGAAAAATGAGGAAAATTTATTCGAGGAAATGGGTGTCACCAAACATCAATTTTATTATGAGGGAAAAAAGATGGAAGTGAAATAAAATTGAAAATGATGCAAAAAAATTAGCAAAAAATGTTAATAATAAAATTTTAAATGTTATTTCGAGTTTCCCACGAGTATATTTTTAAAATGGGTGAACATAACAGTTTTTTCATGAGTTTTGTTTGCTAACAATGGAATTTTTGACAGATACAATGGGATTTAGATACAATGGAATTAGGCAGAAAATTGCTTTGTGGTACGGTTGTTGGCGATCGGTTAATTTTTCCCCTTGGTGGGTCAAATACAGAAGAACTTTTGAACAGCCATAGTCAAGAATTAACCGGTGCCAACAACCCTTATTCCTAGTATGCTTACTTGCTTAACTAGTATGCTGAATCTGGGTTCTGATCATTTTTCTTTTTAAAATAAAAAGATGCTTCAAAGCGCTGAGTAATATTTGTGGAATAATCTGCGCGTGATTTTAATAGAAATATTTAAAAATTGGAAAAAAATCGCGAGAAAGGCGAGAATTGATAATAATGATCAATAAAGTAAAGAAAGTGAAAATGTACAATTAAGGTGTGCTCAAATATTTGCACAATTCATAACTCTATTTTAAAAGAGGCTGGCTGGAAAGACTTTATATTTTTTTTCACGTTTTTGGATTGTCAAATAGATTAGAATATAAATGGAACTAACCTCTACTTTGCATTTTAAAATGTTATTTTTTATAAAAAAATTATCGAGAATGAATGAAAAATATCATATGTATAATTAATAAAATTGTGGAGGTCGTTAGTTTCCTTATTTTGCTATTTAATTGATCATTATTGGAATTTGATAATACTTATAATTTTGCGAATAATTAATGTTTGGTCTAATTATGGACAAAAATAAGTGAAAATAAAATTAATTTATTAAAAATTATTACTAACTCAGTATTGTCATATTTTTAAGAACAATAAACCATTAGAACTTGATGATTCGTTGAATGATTTGAGAGATGATGCCGAACCTTTGTATCAACTTATAGACAATGATCAGATTCTTCACATTTCTGAAGTAGATGTACGTCATGCTGGTCGATATTCATGCCTTGCCGAAAGTCGTGCAGGTCGTGCTGAAAAGGACATCAGTGTATCACTCCTAAGTGAGTTAAGCTGAACGAGTCAATGCTATCTATTAATCAATATCTCATCGAATTTTTTCTGATTTTAGCATCCCCGGTAATGGCATTGGATCGAACAAACATCGAAATGATTGAGAATGAAAGTCATACCTTGGATTGCCCATTAGAAAATGATGGCGGATCTACAACCGAATTACATTGGACTAAGGACGAAATGCCTATTGGTCAGGCCATTGAACAGCAATCTCAATCGCAGTCTCATATCCAAGTATCAGTCTCCCAATATCATTCTTATACCAAATTACAGCGTTCCATGTCTGGAAAGAAACTTCATTTGATGAAAGCTCAACGAATGGATTCTGGGGCTTATAAATGCATAGCTAAAAATGCTGCTGGTTTAGCCGAAGCTATTATTAATGTTCTAGTTCTTGGTGTTAATACTTTAATTTCTTAATTCAATTTTATTTATAGTTCCTCCAAGAATTGAGGATCCACATGGCTATCGTACTTTAGAAGCTCTTGTTAATGATAGTGTTCAGATAGATTGTATTGCTAGTGGGGTTCCCACTCCAAAGTGATTTCAAGATTTTTTATTGACATTATGTATTTTAAAAATTTGAAGGATTGAATGGTCTCATAACGGTCGAAGTCTCTCATCTGAAGATTCTGCTAGCTTATATTTTGAAAATGGAAGATCTAAACTTCATATACTTTCGGTGGAACCAAAAAATGCTGGAATATATTCATGTACTGCAACAAATAAAGCCGGAAATTCTGATATGGATATCTTTCTGGATGTGATTGGTCTGTCACAATTCAATACATAATCATTTAGCATATTTCTTAAATATAGGACCACCTACAATTCGAGCACCAGCTACAGAACTAAACGTGATTGAGGGATCTGAGCAGCGTTTGGAATGTGTTGTTGGAGGTCATCCTTCACCTCGTGTTGAATGGCGCAAATCTGGAAGTAGTGATAACGATCCTCTTGCTGTTCAGCAACAGCAACAAGAGGAGGATAAACATACTGAGGAACATGCCATTTTCACTGAACACTCATACTTTCTTCATATTCATTCCGCCGGACAGCAACATGCCGGTCGCTATACTTGTATTGCTAAGAACAAAGGTGGAGAAGATCGCCTGGCCATACAATTGAACGTTTTGGTAGGTGCAGTAAAGCAACTATGTAATAAAAAATGTTTAACAGGTTCCTCCAAGCATAGATGAAGGCGAACGTTTGCTTCGTGTAATCGAAGGAGGCACAGCCTCATTTGAATGCCCAGCCAAAGGATCACCTACTCCCAAAATTCTCTGGAGAAGGATGCCTCTTGGAACTGTACTAAATTCAGAGGATGAGAATGTACAGCTTGAAGGCATTGGAGTGAATCGGAACATTCTTTTGATCAAAGCTTTAAAACCAGAAGATGCTGGAAGGTACTCTCGATTTTCTAAAAGAATTCGAAAGTAATATTTTTAATGCTAAGGTATATGTGTGAAGCTTCAAACGAAGCTGGAAATGCAACTGCCGAATTTATGCTAGAGATATTACGTCGACCTATTCTGTTTGCCAACCCATCCAATTTACTGGTGATATTCCACTTTATTGCAAATTAAGCAAATTTTTTAGTTGCGGGTGCTCGAAGGTGCTCAAGCCAAATTTGAATGTCAGGCGAATGGAAATCCAGAACCCAGTGTTTCCTGGCTCCGTGCAGGTCGCCCAATTGGTGAAGAAACAAGTAGTTCAAATAATAATCTGATTTTCTCACCTCGAGGTGATAGCTTGATGCTTGTTAAGGCAAGAAGGTGAGAATTCTAGCCTTGATAAATTAAAATTTGTAAATGTATAGAAGTGACTCCGGTGAATATACATGCCGATTGAACAATAGCGTTGGAGAAGCTGGTATTTTTAAGCTTTCCCCCACACAAAACTTATAATTTCAGAGGCTACATTTACTCTTACTGTACTTGTTCCACCTCACATCAATGAGACTTTGGATCAGAATCCTCGAGCGTTAAGAAACCAAGAAATTCGATTAAATTGTCCAGTTATTGTAGGGAGTATCAATTTATTTTCGATATTTTACAATTAGGGATTTCCAACCCCAACAGTGCAATGGTTGAAAGATGGAAAGCAAATACACTTTACTGAACGGATAATTCGTGGAAAAATTCCTGATTATCAAAATGATCTTTGGCTAGAGGCTGTAAACGCGAATGATGCAGGCCGTTATACATGCCAAGCAGTTAATGAAGTTGGTCAATTAAATACGGATTTTGAATTGGAAGTGATCGGTAACCATTAATTTAATGAAATATTCCCATTATATTCTTTAAAATTTAGCACCGCCAGAATTTGCCTCTGAAGGCAAACGAAACTTTGAGGTTATTGAAGGTGATTCTGTTACTTTGGTCTGTCCAGTGGAAGCGAATCCATTCCCAGGAATCACCTGGTTGCATGGAGCTGATCCAATTGACACCAAAAATGCTTATTTCTCTGATGATAAAAAGGTTTGATAAATTTTACTTAATTTTCATAATTTCGGAGAAAATTTACAGAATTTGACATTACTTCATGTTTCTTTATCAGATGGAGGAAAATACATTTGCAATGCAACCAATGAGGCAGGAAATTCAGAATTGGATTTACAACTTCGCGTTTTTGTCCCTCCTAAAATTGATAAATCAAACCTCGTAGCAAGCCCTTTAGCAATTCTTGGAAAGGATATGTTTCTGGAGTGTCCTGCTTCTGGCACTCCTCAACCTTATGTATTGTGGCATAAGGACGAACGGCAAATTACACAACTGGCACAAAAATATTTACTAAAAGATACGAATCAAACTTTGTCGATTAAAAACATTATCCCCGAAGATCAGGGTTTATATACCTGTATAGTACAAAATGAGGTACATCAAGAAATCTTAATTTTATTAAAAAAATTTTTAAAATAAATTAGGCTGGTCAACTGCGTGAGGAATTTAGACTTGTAAGTAATCCCCAAATAAAACAACCAAATAAAGATATTTTTCTAAAATTTAAGGAAGTCCTGTTACCCCCAGAAATGGAAGAAGAAACTGCTAAACCTGGCGATGGTAGAGTACCTGGACCACCACTTTCCAAACAGGAAGGTGAACAATTAGGTAATTGTTTAAGCAATTAGGGTTAATACAAAACTAATTAAAAGAATTGGAATGCCCCTTGAAAATTAAATCGGCATCTTTACTTAAACAAATCACCGAGTCTTTGACGGAAGAGGAAATTTGGAGAAGGATGGAAGAGGATTTTGATGATGGAAGACGACTAAGAATTGCATGGTCAAAAGATGGAAGGCCTTTAGAGCCAGGATTAAATGCTAATATTGAGGTGATATAATTTTACCTGCTGTTATCTTCGATTTTAAATTTATTTTCAAGATAAGCGAATATCCGGGTAAGCGATTGCAGCTTCATACAACTTCTATATCTGACTCAGGCGAATACAAATGCATAGCTTCGAACAGAGCAGGGCAATCTTATGTCAAGTTTCTTGTTGAAATTCTTTGTATGCTCTTCTATTTTTTATTACAAATCTCCCCTCTGCATTTAATTAACTAGTATTTCCTAGAGCTTTTAATTAACCCATCTTTTAGTTTGAATTTCCTTTTTTCTGCCTAAGTTTTAAAGCGAAATGTTTTAAAACGAAGCGCGTTTAAACAAAATTTAAATTTCGAACAATTAACTTGGGGTATATTTATTATCTTGTATTTTTAGCCAAACCAAAGATTGATACATCTAGAAATGCTCCAGAGCCTCATGTGATTGCTGGCAGGCCGATCACGCTTTGGTATTTTTCAAAAAATTTCCAAAATTTCTGAAAAATTTTTAAGGTGTCCAGCTAGGTGTGTTTTTTATTCTTCCAAATTTCTTCAATTTAATATTTAAGTGGAAACCCTCCTCCAACCATTCGATGGTTTTTAAATGGAGTAGATATTGCAAAAAATAAAAATTTTCGCACACGTTATCGTCTACTTGATCAAGGTCACGGTCTTGAGCTTCAGCCAACAACTCAAGATGATATAGGCCTTTGGACTTGCCAGGCAGAAAACGCGGCTGGATCAAGCGTTGCAAATATAAGCTTGGATGTTTGGGGTGAACAAAATTTTCAATATACTCATATACAAGCTTACTTTATTAGTTGTGCCGACTACAAAAATGCAGGTTGAAGATTCAAACCCAATGAAACCATTGGGTTCATCACTCACCCTCCTTTGTGCTGTAAATGGAAATCCGGAACCTGTTATTCATTGGTCTCTTCGAGGCCAAACAATTATACCCTCACCCGGTCGATTAACAATTTCAGATGGTGGACAACGGTCAGTCCGCATTAATTCCTCCAATCTGATAAAATATTTAAAAAAGATTGGAGATTCTTAATTTACGAAGTGAGGATGCTGGCGAATATCGATGCGAGGCTCAGAACGAAGTGGGTGACTCGTCGGATAGCATTAAAATTGATATACTTGGTAATACTTTGAGAGAATATTTGATTAACCATTACCTTATTTTCAATAAAGTGCCACCCAAAATCGACAAGGAAGCCGTTGAGTTAAATCCTCGACTTCCCCTTGGACGTTCTTTTACACTTTTTTGTGATGTTAAAGCCAAACCTGAAGCCAAAATTACTTGGACATTTAATGGAATATCATTGGAAAATGGAGGGGGCTTACCATTCTTATCTATTGATAATGGAAAAAGAAAGTTCCTTCAAATTGACAATATTTCTTTGCTTCATCGAGGTATTTATCGTTGCAATGCTTTTAATGCAGCTGGAAATGACAGTATTGAATATAAGGTTAACATAATGACCTTCCCCAAAAAACATTTTATTTTGTAAGATTGATGTCTTCGACCCTCCCAAAATTGAATTGAGAGGGGGAACAACTCAAGTACTCGAAAATCATGATGTTGTTTTAGCATGCAATGCTTCTGGTGAACCACCACCTGTTATTGCTTGGGTAGAATTTTGTCCTAAATTTAAAACATTTTTTTGCCTAATTAGCAAAGGAATGGCGTTCTTGTCGAGACTGGTGCCAGATACTCAGTGGAAAATTCCTTTCTTAAAGTTATTAATTTAAAATTTTTATTTAAAAATATTAATAATAAGGTTGTTGATGTGCGCAGTTCAGATTCTGGTATTTATGTTTGTGTGGCAACAAATGAGGCTGGCACTGATCAGCAAGCATTTACGCTGTTAGTCTTGGATATAGATTGACTGTTTAAAATTTTAAGATATTTTTAGGGAAGTGCTTGTTTTGCCTAAAGTATCTTTGCCTTCTCAACTGCCAACTCAGTTATCTGTTCCTCTAGGTGGGAATATCACTTTGGGACCTTGCAAAGGTCAGGGATATCCGCCACCGCATCTATTGTGGAGTATTGCTGACAAAAACAAGAATGACGTACACTAACTATTCCTAATCAAGTTTAATTCATAGACCCTTTAGGACTTTGTACCAATTAATTCATCAACTATGGCTTTCAGAAAGGAAGATTACAAAATAATTAATAACGATTCAAATACAACTTCTTCGCTTTATCTACTCAATGTTAAGGAACAAAAAGACAATAGCCTTCAGTTTCGTTGTTCAGCTACAAATTCTGCTGGAGCTTCACATATAGAGTTCAATGTTAGCATCATTGTACCGCCTGTACTCGTTGATAATAATGTTAGAAAATTATTTTATTCTTGATTAAAAATTATTACAGAATGCCGCAGCTAGGGAACTTCGCATTATTGAGGGTCAATTAATTAATATTCCTTGTGGAGTGAGATTGACTGGTCAAAACGATAATATCCAATGGACGCATAATGGGAAATCTATGGAAATTAATCAAAGACTGCAACAAAATAATGAAGTTGAACCCCTAATAATTAAAAATATTACCCTCAAAGCGGCTGGCAATTACACATGTTCTGTTAGAAATTCGGCAGGAAGTGTGAATTCTACAGTAAGAGTTGTTGTTGGAAGTAAAAATTTTATTTTTTAACAATTTCTATAAAAATCTTTAGTACCTCCGAAAGTTGACAAAAATAATGGAATTAGAGTTGCTGTCTCTCGTGGTAACACAGCTCAGCTACATTGTGAAGCATTTGGCTTTCCACCGCCAAAGATACATTGGTTAAGAGATCAAATGCCGTTAAATAAATGTTCAGATTCTAATTTTTCCACTAGTTAATATCCCATTTAGATATGCCAACTGCTGTTACGGGCTCAGAACAGTCTACGAGTGGAGTAGTTGTTTCAGAAAATAAACGAACTGCTACTGCAATCCTTCACGATATTAAGATTGAACATGCTGGTTTTTATAATTGTAAAGCTGAAAATTGGGCTGGTATTGATAACAAAACTGTAGAATTAGTTGTTCTTAGTGAGCGATTTTAATAAACTAAAAAAATATAATTAAATCATCAGTTCGACCAATGATACTACCAGAGCGAGATCAAATACGTGTGGAAAGGTATCTTGAGTATTTCAATCCTAACTAATAAACTTATCAATTTTTAGTGGTGATATAGCTATAATCACTTGTAATTGTAAGCATTTTCACAATTAGAAATATTTTAATTTAACATTTTTCTAGCTTCCGGAACTCCCAAACCAACCATTTCATGGCAGAAAATCTCTGACCCACAAAAAGATATTGTTGCCGACTTGAAAAGTATGGGGAATTTCCAATCACAAATATTTATTTTTACAGAATACTTCATCTCCGATGATGGAAATTCATTAACAATTCTTAATGTAGGAAAAGATGATCATGGTATCTATCGTTGCATTGCCAAAAATGAAGCAGGTCAAGCTATTGGCATTCGCAAAATTGACGTTAAACGTGAATAATTTCGACTTGATTATTCATTTTTAATTGATATTTAAAGTATCCCAAGGCGAGAGAAGTGTTAACACTAAAAGGGATCGCATTTATGTTGAATGCGATGAGAATGGAGTGCCAATAAAAAGCACATATGTAAAAGCCCGTGGTGATCGTCCCCAACAGTCCAATGATCCTTACATTCATTGGACTGAAGAATCTGATGTGGATGCTTTATTATTGAATGGCACTGATGGTTTAATGACTTTATGCATGCCAAAAATGGATGATGAAAGCAATGTTATGAACCGAGAGACTAGGAGAGTGTCTCCCTTACCTTCTGCAAATCTTTCATGCTGTAAAATATTTTTTGTCAAATACAAAAATTGAAAAAATTTAGCAAGCAGCAATTGCCAATACAAATGCCAGGATCTGGCCAATGGCACATCCAAATGTATTTGTCCAGATGGTTATTCTCTAAGTGAAGATGGACGCTGTTTGGATTTGGATGAATGTAAAAATGATATATATCCATGTGTTTCTGATCAGCTTTGTTTTAACAAACTTGGCACTTTCTCTTGTATTAATAACCTCTGCCCTCCAAAATTTCATTTAGACAAAACAAAGTTTAATTCAAAATCAAGTTAATTCCTAAATTTGTTTTTAGCCAACAATGCTTGCCATCATGTCAAAATTGTACAGAATTGCCAATACGTCTTTACATGTTGGGATTACCCAAAGGAGTTGCTGTCAATACTGCTTTGGTTTGGGAAGAATTCATTATATTTAGACAAAAAATTTTCAGCTTCGACTAAGTGCCCACGATAAGAATGGGCGTTTGCTTAAACGAACAAAATTTAATATTCGTGCCGAAAGCAATTCCTTCAGTACGAATGCATTGAACGATCAAAACTCTATTTCATATCGACCAGAAAGATTTCACTTTGGCATTACAGCTGAAAATGATGGTCGAGCAACCCTACATTCTCGAAGGCTTTTATTGCCTGGTTCCGAATTTCTTTTGTCTATTCAATCTACTAGCAGCAATGATACAAGCGATAAGGAACTAAAATCGACTGAGTTAGGGAAATGGGTGGCTAATTACATGGTGCTTATTGCAGTTTCCGAAAATTTGTTTTAATTATTTTTAAATTTTATTGTTGTTTTATTTTTCTAATTTAATTTTTTAATCATTTTTACAGTTTATATTAGTTAGTTTACATTGTTAGCCTTCTCCTCTCATCATTTTTACTCCCATACTCCCAGTGTTTTAATAATATTTGTTTAATTATCAAATTTAAATTTGTGTACAACACACATATTTTCCTAACTATAAGTGATTTGTTTGTATAAAACATAATAAATAATGATAAAAGTTTAATTGGTTATTGATAGCTACATAGACCAAATTAATTACATAATAATTTTGAACAATTAAAAATGATAAACGCTAAATGATACTTCCTTCAATAAAATATTTAATTAATAGTGTATAGTATAGTAGACCGGATTGAGACGAGATTTCGAACAAAAGTCTAATAATCGAGAGATATTTTTCGAGATATCTCATACGATTCTCGTAGGACTCTCCCAGTCCGCTCTCTATTTCTATTTCAATTAAGCTTCCCGTGCCCGCTCAACTCATCTAATACTTAACTCATCCACACGCCCAAAAACGCTCAACTCATCTAAACGGCTAAAATTCCTTAACTCATCCACACGGCCAAAAACGCTCAACTCATCCAATCCTCAACTCATCTAATGCTTAACTCATCCATACGCCCAAAAACGCTCAACTCATCCAATCCTCAACTCATCTAATGCTTAACTCATCTACACGGCCAAAAACGCTCAACTCATCCAATCCTTTGGAACGAGACTATTGAGTACCAGTCGTTTGAGTCCCTGGCCGTTTGAGTCTCTGGCCGTCTGAGTCCATGACCAGTTGAGTCTCTGGCCGTTTGAGTCCATGACCAGTTGAGTCTCTGGCCGTTTGAGTCCATGACCAGTTGAGTCTCTGGCCGTTTGAGTGGTTGATTACCGCCGGTTGAGTCTTGGGCCGGTTGAGACTCAACTGACCAGGGACTCACCCGGCTAGGGACTCAACCGGCCGATATTTCAAGGATTGGATGAGTTGAGCGTTTTTGGGGGTGTGGATGAGTTAAGCATTAGATGAGTTGAGGATTGGATGAGTTGAGCGTTTTTGGGCGTGTGGATGAGTTAAGCATTAGATGAGTTGAGGATTGGATGAGTTGAGCGTTTTTGGCCGTGTGGATGAGTTAAGTGTTAGATGAGTTAAGGATTGGATGAGTTGTAGGGTAGCCAAGCTTCCAAGTTTAATGGCATCCGACAACAAAATGGGTCGTTGGGGTGCCATAAGTTATGTAATGGGAAATATTGTAGGCGCAGGAATTTTTATTGCACCCACAGCTATATCTAATCAAGTTGGATCAGTTAGTTATTTTTGCTTCAAACAGCATTAAAACTCATAATCAGGCAGGAATGTCGATCATAATTTGGGTACTGTCCGCAATAATTTGTACAATTGGGGGCTTTTGTTATTTGGAATTGGGTACAATTGTGAAAAGATCTGGAGGAGATTTTGCGTACCTATGCTTTGTAAAATGGTAAATGTCTATAGCAATTTGTCTGTAATTTATAGAATATTTAGGCATTTGATTGCCTTCATGTTTATGGTCTCTGGTTGCGTGATCGTTTATCCCATGCAGGTACATATCTTATTAGAGATAAAAATTTGGGATCTATTCTTATCGAATTTGAAGCAAATTTAGTATATTTAGCCCTTTTCTCAATGCAGTTAGCAATTGCAGCGAGTGCTTCTGGCGAGTACTTTGTTCAGGCATTCAAGCTTTGTAAGCAATTTATTCATTGTAATTCACAGGGTCTTGGATTTTCTGATAATCCTCATGTATATTGGCTAAATAAACTATTTGGATTCTCCATTGTTTGTAAGAATATATTTTCTAAAATTAATTAAACGAAAACATTCAGGGCTAATACTTTTTTTGAATTTTTTCTCAATCCGTCGAGTCGGCGCCCCTTTCCAAATGCTTTCTTCTGTAGCAAAGCTAACTGCTTGTACTTTTGTTATCGGAGCTGGTGTTTTCCAAGTATTCTCGAAAGGTTATTCATTATTATTTCGCCTTTATTCCCGCTTTACAGGCAGCAAATTCAAACAGATTGATGACTTTTTTGTCAACTCCAGCTTCTCGGCAGGTCAGATTTCAGCTGCCTTGCTGGGAGGCTTTTACAGTTATGATGGTTGGGATATTCTAAATTGGGGTGTTGAGGAAATTAAGAGCCCTGAAAGGTGAAAATTTACGTAAATCTTATAAACTAAAAAATCTTCCAAGAGTAATGCCTTTCGCAATCATTGGCGGCATGTCTCTAGTTGCTTTACTTTACACATCAATGAATTGTGCTTATTTTACTTTACTTACAGCTGATGAAATGAAAGTTTCAAATGCTGTCGCAATGGTACTAATTAATATTTTAACAAAATTAATAATTTCAATAGACGTTTATTGAACGTATTATTGGTCAAAGTTTAGCTAATTGGACTGTTCCTTTATTAATTAATTTAGTATTGCTTGGTTCAATTAACGGTACTATGTTTATTGCAAGCAGGTGGCTTAATTTCCTTCGAAATTTACTAAGTTAATTAGATACTTGTTTGCGGCATCACGTGAACGCCATTTACCAGCGTTCCTTGCGTGTGTAAACGAGAAAAATGAAAGTCCAAGATCGGCACTTTTAGTTCATGTAAATTCATTATACATTTTTAAGCTTTAATTTTAATAATTTCAAGGTATTATTGGCATTTATATTTTCATTTGCTGGCAATATAGAGCAACTAATTGTTTCTATGGGTTTTGCCCAATTACTACAACGTTGCTTTACTTTATCCGCTCTCCTTTATATTCGCTTCTATAGATTAGGATTAAATACCGAAGACAATGAAATAATTAAGACCCCAATAATTTTGCCAATACTTTTCTTGATAATCTGTATTGTGCTCGTTTCTATTATTATTTTACAAAAGTTCTCGGATGCCTATATTGCTTTAGTTGTTTTGGCATTTGCTGCAATTATTTATTTGCTATTTTTGTGGGATAAAGGATTAAGGAGATTCGAGTTTTATAGAATAATGTCAGAACAAGTAAATGGTAGGTTTCTAATTTGGATTATTGCTTTTTCTCGATTAATTCCCCTCCTTTGAATAATTCCCCATTCTTGATTAATTCTTTTTCAAATATTCTCGACTTTCGAATAATCCCCCAATAATCCCCCATTAATATTAATTCCTTAGGGAAATTTATCGAGATAATACGGACTGATTTTTAATTAAATTATTAATAATTAAGCCTCCTTCTGTTGCATAGCTCAAATAATTTTTAATGGGAAAATTGAAGTGATTGAATGACTTTCATCAATTCAACAATTTACTAGTTAATTGTTTTGTTTATCAAAAATTGTTTAATAAAAATAATATAAACTAATATTTAATCATAAATTAGGAATTTTTATTATTACAATTTAAGCATAAAAAAGGAAACCAAAGAATTCATGAATAAGCAAATAAATTCTTTAATATTATCATAAATATCTTATCAATAAAGAACCAATTTTTATGTGACACCTTAACATAATTGGTTTTTTATATCTAATTTATCATTAATGTTAACATTGTCCTGATTTATAAGATTTTTCATAATTGAATAAAATGGATTCACCTACCCCTAAATCATTTTCAAAGCCTAATTCTTGTTTAAAACTCTTTTTGATTGTTATTGCCGGTCTTTGCGCTATATTAATCGTTGCTTCTATTACCTTTGGTTTATTACAGCTAATCAAGTATAAAAAATTATCAATAAGTTTATTAATTATATTATATTTATTAACTTAGAAGCCACGATATAATCGAACCTGAAACATCAACAATACCATCCGTGAACACTGAAACAAGCTATAGTTCGACAACTGACGCAGGGTGTGTTCAGAATTCTTATTCAGTTTACGTTGATTTAATGAATACTTCGATCATTCATGTTTGGATGAAGCCAAAAAGACTGGGCTCGGTTAAATTAAATATCTAAGAAGCATTAAAAATTTTTTTTTATCAAGACAGCCATCCTTTATGCCAATATTTCTAATACAAATCAAACAACCCCTACACCTATATTCTATACGAGTGAAAATGGCAAACCAACATGGTTTGATTTTGCTCAATTGGAACTAAACTTTAATGGAAAGGTTGAACTTAGTTGGTCAGAAAAGGACACAAATGTTTCTTATATTTATGCTTATGAAACTGAAAATGTATTCTTATAATATTTTTTAAGTAGTTATTTTATTAGAATCTTGTAGGTTAAACGCAATGGGATTCGTCCTGCTTTTGTTTCCAAACTGGCAATGGGCCCGAATATGGAGCAAAGCTTCCATTTTAGACCTCCTTTAGGTTGGACAAATGATCCGAATGGATTTAGTAGAACTAAAGATGGTCTTTATCATTTATACTACCAGCACTATCCCCACAGCAAACAATGGAACTCAATGTATTGGGGCCACGCAATCAGTACTGACTTGGTTAACTGGATCCATCAGCCTATATTTCTTCGTCCCGATGACAAAGAATGTGGTAACGATTGTGGGCTATTTTCAGGTTCAGCTGTTCCAATACACGATGGCGATGGTCTACAAGTCTTCTTTACTGATAATAATAATAGTTAAATTAATAAGTTATGTATTAAGTTATATTAAAATTTAGCACGAATAAATCCGGAAATACAGAGAACTGTTTATACAAAGGACACCATATTACCGTACAACGAATCTGAAATTATCATACATGAACTACCTGACTTGGAGGAGAAGGGTCTCAAATTAGGAGCTGACTTTAGAGATCCCAATGTTTTTCTTGGCCCAGAAGGCTATTATTACATGACATTGGGCAGTAGTGATACACTTGGTGCTGGAGGGGTTGTATTACTTTATAGATCAAAAGAAAAGCATTCTGTACATTCCGGATGGATCTTCCAAGTATAATTTTATGATATTCGATCAGTTGTACATAAGTGTTTACTTAGAATGTTCTCAAAACTGATAACGCATTTGAAACAAAAGTATGTGAATGCAGTCAGATCTTCCAGTTAGGTGGAAGGAGAAGGTTAAGTCAAACGTTATATGCCTTGCTATATGCAAGAACGGGTAGTAAAGATGGAGACGGGCGTGCCAACCTCTCACCCATTATTTTGGGTAATTTTGATGGCAGCAATTTTAATCCAATAGAAGAACAAGAATTGGATTTCGGTGCTGGTTCTTTTGGATTTCAAGTAAATTCTGGAAAATTTTCTGGATTTCCCCATTCATTGACATCAAAAATAAAATGATTTTAGGCTTTTTATGACACAATCGACGATGAAGCATTACTTATTGGTTGGCTGGCAAATTGGCCAGATTGGGATAGAATTTCAGATTGGTCAACCTCTCTAACATTGCCTTGGGTAATCAGATGGAATAATAGGCAATTATTAATTGGGCCACATCCAAATGTTTTGGGACAACTACGTGATATTGAATTGGATGGAAAGGCATTACTTCGAGGCAATGCTGTCGTATTACCCAATGGAACGGTTAGTTAAGAAGTTACTAAAATCAAGCTTTAAATTTTAATAATCCAAAATTTTTAGGCCTATATACGTCTGGCACTTGAATACTATTATTTCTATAATGGAATTTTTCTTCAGCTCAATCATCCGGATTATATACAGTTGGGAGTTAAAGTTAGCAAAGACGGGCTTGAAATAGTGAAAGTAAAGCAGTAAGTCATTAATGATTCTAGCCAGTTAAATTATAAAAATCCAGCAATGATCCACCAAATCGTCGTTTCCTCGCAGCAGATGCACGTCCTGACATTGTTCATATTTACATTGACCGCGACTCGCTCGAAGTATTTGGCGAAATGAAAAATGATGGAATGCCAAGATGGGCGGGTACATCCCGTTTAACAGGATTGAATACTTTTGTAGAATCTGTACAGCTGTCAACAACAGATCGCTATAGCTATTTATTGCAAGGATGCCAAATTTGGAGCATGAAACCCGCAAAATTTTTGGGTCGCTTATAGCTCCTGTAATATTTTTATTTTGTACAATTTGAACTGATTTTTAAATTTTAATTTCTTTTTAAATTTTTATCAAGTTTAAAAATGAAATTTGGTTTATTATTTAATAGCATGCCAAAGAGGAATATAAAGAGGAATACGGGCTGGCTTTAAAAATAAAAGCAAAAAACTTTATGCACAATACGCATAAAGTAAAAAAAGGAGAATTGCATGTGCCATTTAAAACACTGGCTAACGCATAGTAAAATAGAAATAAAAAAATAATGGATTGTTTTGGCACATAAAATTCTAAAATTTCAACGGGAGTAGAGAAAAAGACTTGTAGCCGCTTCCATAGACATAAGCTAGGTCATGAAAAGAAATGCCTATTTTTCCTTAGAGACAGCCGCATCTTTTGCCGTAAATTCTAGCAAGTATAAAAAATAAATTTATTATTGAATATTCATTTTTATTTAATCCATTGTCCTTTTTTCAGTCGCATCATTATTTTGGGTAACTCATGAAATTTTTTTCTGAAGCAAAATTCTTTATATGTACTTATTTTTAATAATATTAAACAATAGTATTTATTAAGATGTCCAAGGCCCAAAATTTTTCAAGACCCGAAACCAAGACTGGACCCGAAAAACACCCCAAGACCGAAACCCCCAAGAAAGGTCTTGAGTCAAGATCCAAAACCATGGTCTTGGATTTCAAGAATTGTATTTTTGTTTTAGTTATCTTTCCATAAGTGTTTTAATTACATTTTGATACCCTTGATAAAATTGAGTGTCATTATTTAATGTGGAAGGGTTAAGCTAAGTAGAGAATGTCTCATTATATCTATCCACATCCAATTGTTTCAGCCTTTTGCCATTGTGCGAGGATAATTAAATTTTTTACTTCTCCATATAAACCCATCGAAATACTACTCTTAGCATTCATTAATGGATTTTTATTTCCGACCTCCTCTCAAAGAAATGAGAGTCGAGAACCGGCTGGCAAAATAAATTTGTCCAAAACAAATGAGTGAGAGCATCTCAAATTTTTTAGTAATGTACATAGGTATTTTGAGATTAACGTCATATAAATTTAGTATAAATTCAAAAACATTCGTTTTTGCTTCTTCAGATTATAAAAAATATTATTTATTAAATATTTTTACAACATTTAATTGTTAAAAACAATGTCTTCAGTTAAAGTGGCAGTGCGTGTTAGGCCATTTAATAGTCGAGAAATACGTCTGTTTTTAGAAATATTTTTGGATTTTTTAAATAAATTTAAAAATTAATTTTACTCCTTACAGAACTCCTTTCGAAATGCGTCATCGATATGTCCGATAAAAAAACATGTATGTATGTATTTTCAGTAGAGATCGAACCGAGAGGGGATCCTAATTAGAATCTCGTTTATCTCTTTCGAGATAACGTTCTCTATTCTCGAATGACCCTCCCTGTCCGATCTCTAATTTACTTCATGTCAATTTTAAAATCATTTAATAGATATAACAAGCAGCTCAAATCAAACATACAATTTTGAGTTTGATTATTCTTATTCATCATTTGACAGGAAAGCTGTCAATTATGCTTGTCAGGATAAGGTTTATAGAGATATTGGTTTGTTGATTGAATATTTAAGTGTAAATTCAAAAACAAATTAAGGTGCTGAAATGCTTGACCACGCATTTGACGGGTAAAATATTCATTTCAGAATTAAAATTTTTAAAATATTTAATTGAAAATTCTAAATTCTTAGATACAATGTATGCATATTTGCTTATGGTCAAACCGGCTCTGGCAAGTCGTATACAATGAGTGATTGCTCTTTTTCTGTTCAAAATAAATTCTTAATTATTTTAGTGGGTAAAGTAAATGATCTTGAAGAAATGGGAATGATTCCAAGACTTTGCCGTGAAATTTTTAGTAGAATTAGTGACAACAGAGAGAATCAGCAACTTAAGTATACTGTAGAAGTAAAAGCTTTTTTGATAAAATTTGTTGGAATTTTTTCTATTTAATAGGTTTCATATATGGAAATTTATTGTGAAAAAGTTAAGGACTTATTGTGTCCAAAAAATGAAAATTTGAAAGTTCGAGAACATCCGATTTTGGGTCCATATGTGGATAATCTCGAGAAAATGGCTGTGTGTTCATATGAAGAGTATGCAAAATTAGAATTTATCATTACATCTGTCCTGTAATTTTTCAGTATTTTTGAATTAATGGATGCTGGCAACAAAGCCAGGTTCTTCCCCTAAAAAAGCCATAGCTTAATCATTTACATATAATGTTAAGGACAGTGGCAGCTACAAATATGAATTCGACGTCATCCCGTTCACATGCAATATTTACAATTGTGCTTACTCAACGAGAGCACGTTAACGATTTGGATACCGAGAAAGTCGAATATCTTTAATTAAAACAGAATTATTTTTTCTATTAAGGTGAGCAAGATCTCGCTGGTTGACCTTGCGGGTTAGTGAGAAGATTATTAAATATGATATTCTAATAATAGGTAGTGAAAGGGCAGATTCAACTGGTGCTGAAGGTCAGAGGTTGAAGGTAAAACTTAAATAATATTTCCCTCAAGAATATTTAAAGACAAATTCAAGGAAGGAGCAAATATAAATAAAAGCTTGACTACACTTGGACTTGTTATCAAAAAAGTTAACTATACTTAAAATAAATTAACTTGATATTTCTTCAGCTGGCTGAACAATCGACAAAGAGGAAGGGAAAACAATCAAGGACGGCTGTCATACCCTATCGAGTTGGGATTTGATTTGAAATTTAAATTGAATTTTTCTCTCAATTAGGATTCTGTTCTGACATGGCTTTTGAAGGAATCTCTTGGAGGAAATTCAAAAACTGCAATGATTGCTGCCCTAAGTCCTGCTGATGTTAATTTTGAGGAAACTCTGAGTACACTACGGTGATTAAAAATTCAAAATTCATCAAGTGATTGAATTATAATATACTCAGATATGCTGACAGTGCCAAACAAATTATGTGTCGTGCCAAAGTTAATGAAGATCCAAACGCAAAACTTATAAGAGAACTTAAAGAGGAAGTACTAAAACTTCGTTCTCTTCTCAAAAATCGTGGAGTTGAAGTAAGGATTTATTTCTAAAACTTCTTAATGCTTAATTATAGGTAGGTGAGAACGGTGAGGTTTCTCCCGATACAAAGATATATTCCGGCGAGGAGGATACAATCGAGCAACTTAAAACGTCTGAGAAGCTGATAGCTGAATTAAATGAGACATGGGAGGATAAGCTTAAAAAGACAGAGACTCTTAAGTATGTTGGAATTTTTATAAAATAGTAAGAAGAGATATGTATTTATAACTTCAGAAAACTTCAATCGGAAGAACTGCGCGAGTTAGGGCTTGCAACATCTGCGGATGGTACGAACCTGCGCTGATCTTTTTGTTACTTTAAAATAAATTTTTAGGTTCTGCACTTGGTGTTTTTTCGCCGAAAAAGCTTCCGCATTTAGTTAATCTAAATGAAGATCCATTAATGAGTGAATGTCTTCTATATTATCTCAAGGAAGGCATAACAATGTATTTATTAGACATATTAAAAATCATAGATAAATGAAAAATTTCTAGGGTAGGGCGGCATGAAGCAAAACCAAGGCCGGATATTTTGCTTAGCGGTGAATATATAAAAAATCAACACTGCCAGTTTGACAATTCCTCTGGAGCTGTTTCGGTTGTCCCCATCGAGGGAGAAATCTTTGTTAATGGAGAGCCTTTGCAATGTTTGAAACTTTAATCATCTTAAACCCAAATTATTTTTAAGCTGGGCAATCTATGAAGCTTAGTTCAGGCTGTCGAATAATTCTTGGTCGATGCCATGTTTTTCGCTTCAATGGTCTTTATTAAAGCAATTTACTTAATCCCTTGAACATCTTCTAGATCCACAAGAAGTTAGGCAAAGCAAGCATAACCTAGCCGGAGTTGCTTCATCTAAGGAACCCATTGACTGGCGCTTTGCTCAAAACGAACTTTATCAATGCCAAGGCATTGACTTGAAACAGGAAATGGATAAGAAAATTGTGGAGATAGAACAACAATTTCGTAAAGAAATGGAACATATGGAACGTGAGCATAAACGAAGAAATAACGTAAAATTCAGTAATTATGCTTGTAAATAAATTTATAAAGGAATATGAAAGTCGAATACAAAGCTTACAAAAGCAAGTTGATCTGGCCCAAAGTCAACTCATCTCTTCAGGCTGTTCAAGTTGGAATAACAGTGAATTTATATTAAGCAAAAGTCTGTTAGCTGAGGGTAATAAATGGAATAATTTATTAGAAAAATTGAAATTTTCTAGTCAATGATGATCCATGGACACCCGATTTAACAATAAAGGTGCATAAAGCAGCTATGAAATGGCGTTATTATCAGTTTACTTCTGTTCGCGATGATCTTTGGGGAAATGCCATTTTTCTGAGTGATACGACTTAACGTGAAATTAATTAAAATTCTAAATTTTTTCAGAGGAAGCAAATGCCATTTCGATTGATTTGAGGAAAGGAGTAGAGTATCAATTTGTTCTTTTAACTGATACAAGTGCGCTGGAATAATAAATATTTTTCTTGATTAAAAATTTTAATTAATAATTTTAGTGTACAGCCCTCTTCCACCTGAACTATTACCACCCGGTGAAAATTTGAGTTTGAGGCCTTATCCAAAAACTGGTTTTTTAAACGTGTTATCACTTTTAAAGCAACTATTTTTAGTTGTTGCTGTGGAAGTGAGAGACTTAAAAAACGGTGCTATTCATCATTGGAGCTTAGAAAAACTTAAGTAAATAATTTTTGTTATGGAAAGAGATGTTAAATAATAATTTAAAAAATGAAAACCGTAATAATTTATCAGATCAAGATTAGAAGATATGAGACGCTTGTACAATGCCGATGTAAACGATGCCACTCCTGAACGACCCGATTTGAGAACTGTAGGTGATTTGTTAAACATGATGTTTCCTGCAAGTGGAGCAGGATTAGCCCCAGAAAGGTTGAGTCTCACATTTCAGCAATTAAATTAAGCCTATATTTAGAATGAAATTGCGAAAGAAAACAAAAGAATTGCCTATCATGGAAGAAACGATCACCTCAGAAGATAATCTCGATATTAACGAAAATAATAATTTGGATGATATGTGGCTTGGGGCCGGTAAAAATTTTTCAGAAAATTAAATCCTATAAATCTTTACAGATCCATTTTACGAGCGCTTTCCTTGGTTTCATTTAATTGGGAGGTAATTTTTACTTTGATCTATATCAATTAGTGAGAATATGTTTTAAGAGCATTTGTTTATTTGAACAATGTACTTTTTGATGTTTCACTAAGTCATAAGGTTGCTGTTGTAAATGAACGAGGCGATGGTAATAGTTCTCTAATTTTTCAAGAATTATGATATCATATCTCGATTTTAGTCATCGGCTTTCTTCGAGTTAAGGTTGAAATGTTGGAGAACAGTAAAAAGGTGAAGGAGGTTGAGAAGGCAACAATTAATAGCACTAGTCAAGTAGCTAGATTGTATTTCCGGAAAGAACATTTCTTGAAAAACATGCAACGTAGTGATGGTGGGCGTATCGTTTCATCTGCTTCGAGTATGAATGTAGCAGCTGCAAAGCCTGTGGCTGTCAGCCCCTCAGAGGGATATCTCTCTGATAATGGTACATACAAAATATTTCGAATCAAAATATTCGAATCAATTTTAGAATCAACAGAATTAGAGGCAGTATTTCCTTCACATATTGCTAGAGATCAAGAATTTACTTTCCGAGTTACTGTAGTTGAACTACTCGGAATACCAGACGATTGTTACACTGATATTTTCTGTCAATTCAAGTAATTTTTATTTTTATTTATATTCATAATTAGTTAAGTTTTCTACATCGTCATGATGAAGCTTTTTCAACTGAACCAGTGAAAGGAACATCAGCAGATGGAACTAGAACACTAAGATATAATTATGTTCAGGTGCAATTTACTAAGAAAGTCTTTATTTTAAAGTTAATTTGAAGGAGTTGAAAACTGTAGCCAACCCGGCATTCATTCATTATCTCCAACATTTCCCGATGATTTTTGAAGTTTTTGGACATTTAACTAAAATTAATGTCAGTAGCATGTTTGCCAATGCTTGCCAAGAAAAGTATCTATATACATATTATCTATCATCCTTTAATAATTTTTTTATTATTTTCCGATCAAAAATCTCCAAAACAATGAGCAATCTCCAACCTTCTTTAGTCATTGCAACTCCACTTAAGAGCAGGTTTACAACAGGGAATTCTTTAACTAGGTATCTTTTGAATTAACAACTTTTATTTAAAAGTTCATTAAGTATTTTAAGACGAAACCCAGTTGTGGCAAAGTATGATCTTTTAATTTGGTTTGAAATATGCGAATTTGGAAGTAATGGAGAATATCACCCTGCTGTAGATTTTTACGACATTATTCGTAAATTTTGAGTTATTTTCAGATTGTTGATCACGCAAATGGCCTTCCAACACACGGTGTATTTCTCCTGCATCAAGGGATTCAAAGACGTATAAAAATTACAATTTGTCATGAAAAAGGTCAGAAATAACTATAGGGATTTTCATAATTAATAATATTACTAACAGGTGATATACAATGGAGAGACTGTCAAGAGGTTAACTTTTGTTCACTTTTTAATCTTAACTTAAAAATCACTAGTTGGTAGTTGGACGAATAAGGAACACTGCTGAGTGGGCTGGAGGACATGATGATGATGTTCTCAGTTTGGGATTGTTTCCTGGAACTTATTTGGAATTTGCAATGGATGATCGGTATTTGGATTGAATTAAAACTCATTCAAAATATTTTTTGTGTAGTGTATTCTTTCAATTCGAAGCTGCGTGGGATTCTTCTTTACATAATTCCCCACTTTTAAATCGCGTTTCTGGTTATGGTGAACAAGTTTACATGACAATATCGGTGGATTTTTCATTATCTTTTTGTCTAATTTAGTAAATATTAGGCCTACATGGAGCTAGAAAATTGCTCGCAACCGGCCATCATAACAAAAGACGTTTGCATGCTTATTTATGCTAGAGATTCGAAAGTATTAATTTGATAAGTTATGCCTATTTACCTTATTCATCTAAACTTTAAGGTTAGTGCAGCTAGTCGCTTTTGCCGTTCATTAATTGGGGGAATATCCAAAAGTCCTGGTAATTTTGTCTGTTTATTTATCAAACTTTATGAATTTTCCTGAAGAAATGAATAGAGTACCAGGGATTTATTTGCTCACGTTGATGCAGGAAAATGAAGAAAATAGTCCTGGTAATAATCTTGATAATTTAAATTTAGAACATTTAAAGGTGCTTGTCGGAGACAAAGGCGTGTTTTAGATACATCATCGACATGTTAGTTTGATTTTATTAATTACGGATTTAAAAATTAAATTTCAGATGTTCGTGGAGAGGAAAATCTTGGAACATGGAGGTATAATGCAAAATTAACAATGATTAAGCACGATTTTTTCAGGCCACGAGGAGACTCGATCATTCTCGAGCATCAAATTGAATTAGAAAAGCTTAGTAAATTGCAGCAAGTAGAAAGAATGAGATTGTTTCTTAAACTTAGGCGTTCTAGAAAATTGGGCAGTGGGGATACACCGGTAACTCGCATTCCTTATCTCTTCAAATAAGTTCTAAAAATTTTCAAAGATGACACCAACGGCTCCGAAATTTCAAATTCCTGACAAAATTAAGTTTACACCTTTTGAGAAGAAAATTGCGGAGAAAGTAATCCATCTGATTAAATTGAGAATTCCTGTTAACAAGGAATCCCCAACTGGAAAGAAGGTTAATTGTTCCGTTCTTAAAGGAAATAAATGTTTATTATAGCTAGAGGCTTTGAGTAGTGAAAGCTCACAAAGTGGTGGAAGTGTTGATGGCCGTAACAATCCAGCTACTTTGGACGTTGTAACGAGGAGTAGATCTCGATCCTTTGACAATCTCAATGCCCCAGATTTGGGAATTGGAGGCGAATCGTCCATGAAAAGGTCAACTTCAGGCAATTGCATGTTCAAGGATGAAAATTCAACGAGACTTTTGCCTGATGTATATAATTTTGAAAATAAAAATTGATAGAAAAATCACTGAAAATCACTAAAATTCTTATTACCAAATTTTTAGGTAACAGAAGAGCGTGTTGGCTTAATTGTCTCAAGAAAAGGTTACATGAATTTCATGGAAGGAGTGCGAAATGAATGGTGAGAAACTTCTTACAATTCACAAAATTTAATAATTATATGTTTTAGGATTAGAAGATGGGTGGTTATTCGGAGACCTTATATTCTGTTATATAGAGATGAAAAAGATTTGGTTTTGTGCTCTTCAAATTATAAAAAACTCACGATAATTTTTAGGTAGTAAGAGGCTTAATAAATTTGGCAATTTCCAAGATTGAATATGAAGATGGACAACAATTGGTGGTTGGCATGGAAAATGCTTTTTCTGTTTATACAAATAATCGGGCATTTTTCATGCAGCCCTTGGCAGGAGAATGCGTAAAATCACCTATTTAATAATAAAATTTAACTTATTATTTTAAGGTTTTCGATTGGATTTATGCATTAAATCCTCTTCTAGCTGGTAAGATTAGGTCGAGGCGACTTACAGAAATACCCAAAAAGATTAGTAATGCATGAATGAAATGAATTTATTATCGAAATTTATTGTATTCTTAAAGATCTGTTTCATTTTAAAATTATAAGTTAATGAATAAAAAATAAAAAGTTTAGCATTCCGAAATGTGCTCTAATATAACATGGGGCGTGTGCTCTAAAAATCACGGTATTTATAATAATAAAACACACTTAATAATAAAATAAAAACTTAATAGTAATCAAATAATAGCTGTAATAAATTATCGCATTATTGTTATATTGTTGACAATACTTTCTTTTAAGCATTTATTATTACTAAATATTATTATTAAAAATATTAAATAATTTTACATTATTATTATTAACAATAGTATTAACGTCCTTTAAAACTAGAATTCAATCCTCAATTTAATTTTTTAACTCAAGTTAAAGTTTGTTTAATATTTTGAGCAATTTAATTTCACTTTTATAAATGTATTACTCCTGCGCACATTTTTATTTACAAATAATTAAATTTTCAGACATTAAAAGTGTAAATGTTTGCGTTCTCTCAATCGTTTACCTGTTGTTTTAAATTCTCGAAATTCTCGAGTTTATTTATCGAATAACCAGAATTTTAAGAATATTTTTTGTTTCAAGAAAAGCAGCTAGAAATCCCTTTTTAATAAATCCCATGATTATTCTAAAAATAAAAATCATTAAGAACCATTTTAATTTCATTTTTAGTGCCATTAATTAATTTGATGGATGAAGAATCCGTGCATTTAGGGCTTTTATAAATATTAAATTTTTTAATATAATGATAAATCCCTCTATCCTCATTAACTGAATTAGAATGATGAAAAATTCTAATACCTTCACTTATATCTTTTAAAATATTTTACTAAAATTTTATTAAATCGATGTTCCAACAATTATTTCTCTATTATTAAAATACATTTACATCGATTTTATAGATAAATTTAAAACAATTTTTGGCAATTATCTTTTGGAAAAAGGGATAGATAGGACTGGATATAAAATATTTTAACTAGAAATCCATTTGAGGTTTTTTGGGATTTTTTGCGTGGAACTCCGGTCCTGACTGATGTAACTCCAACAACTCTCTGATATAATTTTTTAAGTGAACACCTACTTCTCATAATTTCTAAAACATACACTAGATATATCTTGGGGTTGTTTCTATTTTGAAAAAAAGGTTGGAATAAAAATTGAAAAAAAAGGTTGAAATAAAAAGAGCATTGAGCAAAAATTAGTGGTTTCCTGCACATAAATTTAGGAGCGAAATAACCATTAAATTACTCTAAATTTGAGAGGACATACTACAAAGATATACATATTTATTTATTGCCTATGCGGGGATTGGGCTCATTTTTAATTTCTCTCGTTCGTATTTCTTTTTTAATCGAACGAACGTTTTAAATTGAGGTTTTAATAGTCGAGAGTGAGAAGGGAGAAAAATGCAAGTAAATATGAATTGATGAGCAGCGGGAGACTGACATTAAGAGAAATCGTTGCAACTTTTTGTTAAAAAATTTGAATGAAATTTGTCTCTAATTGATTTTAAAATTTAAATAATTTGATTAAATATTTCATTTATTTAAATTTTATAATTCTATACTCTTATTCTTATCTAAAAAATTTAATTGGCCCATTATTTTGAAGATTTTTCTTGCCCATTTTTCATATTAATGTCACGGGTGAGAAATGAATATTCCTCAAGAGAAACAGGTTCGTCTCCGAGTGCCTTCCAAATGGAGAAGCGAGAGCAAAGCAATAGGTAGTATTTTAATTCAGATTTTAATTAAAATTTTATCCAAGCTGGTTCAAATGGTTCGCTATAATTATCAGCATTTTATGTGTTACATTTATGGTCGCAACTGTTATACTAGTTTTAAAATTGAGTCTAAAAAGCAATGAAGAAGATCAAACAAAAAACAGGAACAATAGTTCATCTTCATCTCTTTCAAGACCGAATGAAGCGAATGAACTAACAGGGAATATCACTAGTAATTTAAAAAACGAGGCAAAATATCTTAAAAATATAAACAAAGAAATATGTTAATTTAGGATAATGTAACAATTGAAAGTTCCAACGATATAGCACCGAATTCTTCTGAATGGGAAAATAAAATCACTGATGGGGATGCTGGACCACTATCAGTTGATGGGATGGAATTGTCTAAACAACGGAAAAACAGAAGGAATAGCAGTAGTAATTCAGTGCCACAACCATTAAAATGGCCTCCTCCTTCTGGGAGTCTCCATGCGCAATATAGACGTGCCGCTGTAGCAACTGATCATGGTGCTTTGTCTGACATTATTTTCAATTAAATTTTAATATTAATAGGTCTTTGCAGTGAAATTGGAAGGTGAAATAATTAAAATTGAAATTATTATTAGAATTATTTGAATAAATTTTCATGATTTTAGAGATATTATGATGGAAGGCGGAAATTCCGTTGATGCTATGATCGGTATAATTAGTACCTTTTAGATTCTCAAATTCTTATTTGTATTGAAAAATATTCCAAGGCTAGCAATTGAATTCAAATAATTTATTCTTTTTGTAGCAAGCTTTCTCTGTATCGGAGTCATTAATCCTCAATCCTCGGGACTTGGAGGCGGATTTTTTATGACAATATACAATACAAGCACTCAAGTAATATAGTTTATTGAAAATTCTGAACATATTTTGCAGCGTTGTCAAACTATAGACGCTCGGGAAGTAGCGCCTATTAAGTCAAATTCAGTAATGTATCAGCGTGATCATAGAGAATCTATCATTGGATATCGGTACTAAAAATACTATATTAAAATTCTTTAAATTCATTCACAGTTCCATTGCTGTACCAGGAGAATTACATGGTTATTGGTCTGCGTTTACAAAGTTTGGTTCATCTCGTGTATCCTGGAAGAGGATATTTGAACCGGCTATAAAACTGGCGAGGGAGGGATTTCCTGTCTCATCCAACTTGGCAATGGTTTTGCAACAGAAAGAAAGTGACATAAATGAAGATGAAGACATGCGGTCAGCTATCTGATTAATACTTTTATATAAAGTATAAATTTAGTCGCGTGTTCGTTGACAAGAAAACGGGTCGAGTCTACGAAGAGGGTGATATGATGAAGCGGGAGCGTCTGGCAGAATTGGTAGAAAAATTATAAATTATTTCAGTGATAAATAAACTTTGTTAATTAAAAGCTGGTTGAGTTGTCAGATTCACAAAATCCTGTTGAATTGTTTTACAAAGGTGTACTCTTAAATATCACATACATATTTGAGTTCTTTATGATTAATTATAATATTATTAAAAGGTGGGATAGCGCAAACTTTGGCAGCTGAAATTAGAGACAATGGAGGATATATTACAGTTGAAGATTTCGAGCAATACGAGTTTGCAAAAAAAATTTTTGCTTATTATATGATATAAAACTTAGATCAGTTTTGCATGAAGCTCCGTTAGAAAGTGAGCTGCTTTCAGAGGAACTGGTTATGTGTGGCCCACCGCCTCCATCTTCATTTGCCATCACTCAATCTATCATCGGCATTATGGCCCGTTTGTAAAATATAGAAATTTCAATGGAATTCTTCAAAATTTATAGACTTTTACCGTAATGAAGAGGCAAACTTGGACGATCCACTAGTTTATCATCGACTGATTGAAATTGAGAAGTTTGCCTATGCGCAGAGAACAAAACTGGGCAAGCTTGATTAAAAGTTGAAAATAAATAACTCAATAATTGCCATGCAGGTGATGCGGCATTTGTGAAAAACGCAAGACATGTTAGCCGTAATATGACCAAACAGTAAATACATATTATACTTAAGCACTAAAGTCTAATAATCTCCTTAATAATAAAATAAACTCTGTGAGATAAAAATTAAACTTTGCGATTAAGTGCCTTTGCAAAATGGATAGCATCGCTTATTCCAAACGAAGCTCAGCCAATGAAATACTATTCATTAGACTTGACTGGCCATGTACCTGATCATGGTTGAAACCTCGATATTTTTTGTTTAGAATTTTAAATCTTAGGAACTTCACATGTTGTAGCAATTGATCATGAAGGAAATGCCGTTTCGGCGACTAGCTCAATTAATCAATTGTTATATTAACAGATGTTTATTAATAGAAATATCCTTAATTTAAGATTGGGCTCGAAGAGAATGTCTCCAACCTTGGGTAAAATTTCAAGTCAAATTTCTAGCAATATAAGTATTTTAGGCATAATTTGGAATGACTCAATGGATGATTTCAGGTTGAATTTGTGCTTAAAAATTTACATACATTTCTGTGATCAAATAAATTCTATATAGCTAATATTTTAGCTCACCAAATTTAACCAATGCCTTTGGCTTTTCGCCATCGCCTGAGAATTTTATATTACCCAAAAAAAGGCCAATGTCTTCTATGAGCCCCACAGTATCAATTAATATTTAAATATTGTTGCTTTAAAATTAATAGGTAATTTACAACAAAAATAGCGGAAAGGTTGAAATTTGAATTACATTTAATTTAATTATATCTATTAAAAAAGGTTAAAATGGCAATTGGTGCTTCGGGAGGGTCTAGGTAAATAATTATCTAAATATCTTTAATCAAGATGATATTTTAAGGATCATATCAGCAATTGCACAGGTAATTATCGAATATTAAATCTTTAATATTTTTAAACCAATTGTTTAAATTTTTAATTATTGGGTATTAGGTAAATCTAAACTTAAGTATTCATTATCCCAAGGTAAACGGTTATCCCGGTATGTCTAACTCTAATCTAACTCCATTATGTCAAAGATAATAAAAATCATTCTTTCAAATTTTAGACTGTGATTCGCGCGCTTCTCTTTAATCAGGTTTTTGTTGAGAATAAACAGTTTTATAATTATTTCCGCTTTTAGACAGTAAAAGATTCAGTTGATGCACCTCGTTTTCATAATCAGTTTATACCTCATGTTACGTACGTGAATATATTTAATCAACAGGGTTGCCGTCGGCTCGCTTGATCGTTTGACTTGTTTAATCTTTCGAGTTTAGGTTCGAGCAAGCTGGCAACCCTATTAATAAGTATTAAATATTAATTACACTCATTTCAGAGAATTTGAAAAGACTGTACCTCAAGTATGTATTTGCTTTAAAAATGATTATATAATATTTAATCATTTTTTAGCAAATCATAAAGCATTTGGTGAAAACACGGCATCAAAATATGACCTGTATTAATTAAATTTTATTTTTAAAAAGCCTAGCTTGCATTAAATTTATTAAATTTCATTTATCTTACAATATTTCACTTTTAAAAAACATTTTTTTATTTAGCAATAGAAAAACAAGCTAGTGTTGTACAAGCTCTAATTTTAATGGACGATGGATTCATTCACGGGAACAGGTTTTTAATAAAAGAAAGTTTTTTTGAGGAAAAAATATTCAATGCATTTTTTAATTATCTTTTTAAATATTTATTAAATTATTAAATTTATTAAGTGATTTTCGACGTAAGACTGCTACTTACCCTGCTGGATATTGATAAAAAAATCGGATATTTTTATTATAAAATCTCTCATTATCTTGATCAGTTTATTATTAGTGTTGGGTATTGGGGGTTTGTGACTTGGCTCCAACCTTTTCCAGCCTTAACTCTATCTCCAGAGCTAGCTCCCAGAGATATACCCAGCACTGTTTATTATTGAACTTCAAAATAATTTTGTAAATTGTTTTTTATTTTACAATATATTCCATAAACTTCTTTGTCTTATATTCATTTTAATTAGTAATCTCAATCGCTGTGCGCATTACTTGGATAATTAGGTGGCCATCACGCTTTGCAAAAATTGCATTCTGCGCCTTTCTGTTGGCGTCAGGTAGCTGAGGTAGAGGATATTTGAATTCTTTCAGGGACGTTGGATGTGAGTGGATTTTTTGTGTGTGGATTATTATTTTGGAAGAGGAAGAGCTTAGAAAGAATCGGGTGAAAAGAATGCACGAAAACAACAATTGGGAAAGCTCAATAGTAGTCGGAAGTTTGAATGAATACATGCCTATTTTTTGTGTTTGTTGGATATTGGTTTATATTATTTACACACTCGATAGACAAAACAATCAACCTATGCCTTATTAGACTTTGATTTTACACGCGTAATATAAATTATTTTTTTCAATTTATTGGATCACCAATATATGCAGGACCCAAAATATTTGAGGATTAACGATTCATATAAGCGATTTCCTATCCATTATTTAATAAAATTAATGTAATGTGTAATAATAATTGTTAAAGTATTAATGTCAATCTTTTTAAAACCTGCTAAGCTTTCACGGTTTGGCGCGCAGGATATTAAACAAAATACTGCTTTTTTAATATTTTGAATTTTAATTTTTACACCCTAAATCTTTTACATCCCAAAACATTTCAAACTTTTAAAATTCAAAATTATAAAATATACTATTTCATTAAGTTTCTTAGAGATGGTCTTTAAAAATTATGAATTAATGTACATATTCAGTATACTTTTATTTGACCTTGATAAGCAGAAATTAAGCATGTTTAACAGTGTAAGGCAAGCTAATGCCCAACAAATATTTCCAATATTATCGGGAAATGCAGAAGAAGATAAAGTCAAGAGTAAGTTAATCTCTTGATCTAGTCTTATTTATCTAGTAATTTTCATAAATTTAAATAGTATCAGCTGAATGTGGACCTAAAATGATCACACTTAATATTCATTTCAACCAGAAAATGTACCCAGAAGGACAATTTCACGAATGGATTATTGTTTGGATTTTTAAACTCAATTATGAATTTATTAACCATTTAAGGTTGGTAACACCATGCGTACAGAATGCAGGCTAAAAGGTAACGGTGAGCTACGATATGTTGTTCAAATTGCTTTACCTAATGATCCTTGCGCTACAAGAATGATCTCTGCAGGTGCCTTGATTTTATATTTGATGTATTTAGTTAAATATTAAATTATTTTAGGAGTATATGAAAATACTCTACGAATAGCCAGGTAATTAGCTATTTCTAAACAGGGAACAGTCCTGATAAATTCACTGATTAAAATAATTTTTTATGCAGTTTTCCTGGTCTCATACTTTCAGAAGATCTTAATTACGAATTTGTATGTGATTTTTAGTAACTCATTTAGTAGCTCATTTAAGAAATGTATTTATGGACTACCTAAGATAAACGAGTTTCGACTGCCACAACGAAGTGCAACTGCAAGACCATCAGCAAAAATACAAACAGCGTTAATTGAAAACTCTCTCGGAAATGAAAAGAATTTAAAGTTGTTAGAAGAATTTTATTAAGAATTATAAAATCATTCAGGCAATCTTCGAAACAAGAGTCTGCTGATTCGAGTTTTGACAGTCAGATAACTCTTCCATTGCTCTTGCCTTCGGATATAGTGCAGCATCAAAAAGCTAATCCATCGACAGGAATTTTCCAAATTCCTTCCCCATCTATTTCTTTGTAATAACAAGGATCTTTAATAATAATAATCGTATAATAATTTTTGTAGCAATATCCCCACTACAGAAAATGAAGCTCGATTTGGAGGGGATATTGAGAGAAATATTAACACTAATCTGATACAAGAGGATAATCCAGAAAAGGTAACTAAACTATAATCTATAAATTCATTTGCCAATCTATTCAAGATCGCAGCTACACGTTTTAATAAAGAAGCAGAATCTGATTCAAATAATATCTGGGAGAAACGTCGAAGTTCCATTTCTTCATTTGTTATTATTGGCATGGTATAAGTGAACATTGCGAACAACTCTTAATGTTATTCGTTTTAATTAGATAGCTCTTTTGGGAATTTTCTTTTTGGGTTGTGTGTTGCTTGCAATTTTCTACTGGCTCAGGCAAAATCGCTTGTCAAAAAATCAGCTTGATCAGCATCACTCTCGTTTCAATCATATAAATTCTAGGCATACATCTCCAGTGTTAGAAAATAATTCCTCTTCTGTATCCTTGTCCCCGGGTAAATTAAAAAATACAAATAAAATTATGAGATATTCTAGCATGCGAGGAGTATGGTGTTGATCACTTACAAGAGTTGCGGAACCATGTCGCTAACAACAACAAACCAACCGCTTTTGGGATAACAAATGAGTAATAATTATCGTTATATATTATAGAATTACCGTAATAACTAATATAATTCTCACATGAAGGCATTTCGACCGTCTTGATTTTGGTTCTTTACGAAAATTACAAAATCAGACGACTGTCCTTATAAGAAAAAAACAACAGCAACTTTCTTCATCTTCTTCGAATTTCAGGAGTGGATGCATAACTGAGGGAACAATTTCGAGAGGAGGTAAATTATAAATAATGCCATATACATAATAGAGTTTATTTTGTATAGTTTTGACAATAAACACTGCAAATGATAAATACAGCAACAATAATTTGAATTCTGACGATGAACTTATATGGAATGAGAATGGATTGCAAAAAAGGGAGTAAGTCTCCTATTAAATAATTAAGGCTTATTATTTAATCATATGTAAATGATCAGAAAAACATTAGTTGATCGTAATGATCAGAAAATCAAAAACAATTTATATTAACGTTATTTAAGTAACAATAATGCTATCAATGCTGATTTAAATGCTGCAGCAGCTTGCCGGTCAATTACGGAAATTTATCGTTCAGCTGAAATGAAATTAAAAAATATGATGCCAAACGAGCAAAATACTCCAAGGAAAACAGAATTTAAAAGTAATTCGAATTTCTATCGAAACAAAATTTTTGATCACATATTTGATAAATCTGTAGGTGAATATTCCATCCCAGCATCAAAACAACATAATTTTGATGAAAAATACAAGGAAGTGTTAACTGGATGTGTCAATAAAATTCGTGGTTAGTTTAGTTAAATAGATGTTAAATTTAAGCAGCTTATTTTAGGTTATGGCACAAGAAAATTGACAGAACAAGAAATGCTGAGATGGCGACAGCTAGTCAAAAATGATCAAAATTTTCAGGCAAATTTATTACTTGATTGATATTTTATTTTGTCAAATTATTAGAAATTAGTAAATGAATGTCGCACAATTGAGGATATGCATAAACTGACTGAATTGCCAGAATATAGACTTCAATTTACAAAACTTAAATGGATACAAATTGTGCAATGCATGGCTGAAGCATTCTTAGAAGATAATGAAACTCATAATCTAAATAATAATCGCTTAGATGAAAAAAGAATAGGTGAAAAGTGAGAAAAATTTTAACGAAGCAACAATTTTATAAAATACATATCCATTTTTTCCTTTTTAATGAATATTTTTATTTAAAATTATGAAATAATTTTTACTATTATACGCCTTTCGCGGATTTTCGCCTTTCGTGTTTCACTTTTTAAAAACTGTTTCGGCATACCCCTGTTACATACCTATATTTTATTTATTTACTAATTTAAAAATAATTTTTTTTTTGCTTTACTATACTATTTGGTTGTAAAATTCTTCGTTGCGAACCAAAAATGTATTGATCTTTGCTCGGAGGTATAAATAAGGTGGAAAAAGTAGGGAAGCTGGCGGCTGTCACACACATGCATTTATTCATAAAGGAATGCATGCGTTGTTGTTATTGTTATTGCAGTAAAGAATGGAATGCTCCCATTTTCTTCGTTTCCTCTGCTAACTTGCGCTCTACTCCTTAGGTTGTAACATTGAAGAAGAGCGCTCACGCTGTTGCCGATGACCATAAAGGGAAAAATATTCGGTTGGAAAAACTATAGTTTTTCATTTGTTTAAAGATACCTTAATTTTAAGATTTATTTAAACCAAAGATTTAATCTCTATTGAAAGCCTGAGGGTCTAAAATTTTAATTTCCTTAAAAGTAAAGAAATAAAAATCCAGCTCATGTAATCCCCCTCGATCTTTTTATTTCCTTCCCCAAGCCACTTTATTTAGCACTCACTGAGTTATGTTTGTTCCTCGCATAAGCTTTTCAGCTACATGCATATTTCCTCACAAACTCTTTCCCTTCGATCAATGCGCTTTGAATTGGAGGCAATTCGTTTTCGCCCGTCGTTTTAATCGTCGGCTGGAAATAGCCGGTTGGCGAGGTAAATTTATGGGTTTTAACGAAACGCACATCGGCACTAGCAAACGACTCACATTCTTTTACTTTTCTCTGTTATCGAAGAAGATTTCTACAATGATTTCTCATATGTAGAAACATGCCAAACGTCCTTGAATATTTATGGTAAAGATTAGGAATTAAAGGCGTGTTTTTATTTTTAAATCTGAATTTGAGCGACACAATTTTTACTATTGGATAAAGCTTAATCTTTTATTTTTATAAGCAAATTAAATGGCAGAAACATTACGAAAAGCAGTTATTTTCTGCTCTACTATTTTTACATTGATAGGAATGGGTCTTTCTATTGCAGCAATTTTGACTCCATCATGGCAGGTATGTTAAAAACTTATTGAAAGAGATAGATCGCTTAGATCACTCTTATCACTGGTTCACATTCCCTCTACCATCCTAATTTTCCAGGTAGTAAATCTGCAAGAGTATAACTCAATTCATGAACATGGCCTCTGGTTGGACTGCATAAGGCATACTCGCGACGGAGGTGGTGTCCTCCTTCGGAGGTCTATATTTTATAATAACTTCTTATAAAAAACTTATCACCATAAATTAATCTACTATTAGATATGCAACAATGAATGAACCTTTGCATTGTGTTTACAAATTTGACTACGATAAGTAAACATTTTTCGGATTTCAAAGTAATTTAGTCTTTAAAGGTATTCTGGCACATTTGACCTAGAGGATGATAATTCACCTGTTGGTGAAGTAAATCGGCATAAATTTTATGGATGGCATACTTCAACGTTGATAATGCTTGTATGCCTTTATTAAAATAATTCAAAAATTAATTTGCCTAGCACGCTTTTGATTTATTTTCAATAAAAAAGTTATAGGCTCTTGCCCTGATCACTTCATTCTTCTCAATTTGTCTTGGTGCTTGTGGGTGTTGTTACGCATCTCTTTCATTGTTATTTACAGCTACAACTTTGTTGACCAGTAAATATAATAATTTAAATTTATTATAAATCATTGCACCTTCAGCATTTCTTTCATCCGTTGCCGAAGGTGTCTTTTTCTTCTTTTCCCATAGAGCAGACAATCGTTTCATCAAGGGTATTGTCGGCACCTATGAGGTTTTATAAACTTGAAACTAATTTTAATTTTGAACATTTATCAGCAAAGGGTTGGCCTAGCTTTTTTCCTTCAAATGGCTGCTTGTTTCTTTCATTTTATTGCCTTTTTAATTGCCATGCTGGCCACATAGTAATTTAAATTTTTACTAATCCAAAGCAAATACTTAAATCAAAATTTAGTTTTGCTTTTACACAAAAAGGAGTTGTTTTGGATCGTGAGCGATATTCATTGCAAAATTCGTCCAAAACTAATATCACAAATATGGGAAGGTATGTTTCTTAGAGAAGCAATTATCTTAAAATTGATACAATATCCATCTAAAAAGATCTATGGAATTCGAACATCCTGTATTCGTTCAACAAGCACCACCTCCAACCAGGCCAAGAACGGCCGCACCGTACAACTTGAAGCAAACAGACATGGATTTTGGGCGCAGTGTAGCAGATTCAATGCCTGAACTAAGTCGTGATAGGAGCTATCCAGTAATTATCATTTCATAATTTAAACTAAAAAAATATAAATATTAGTCTGATATTGCCATGGGAGGAAGAATTAGCCGCAAATCAGAAACTTGCGTTTGAGACTGCCTTGTAAATTACAAAATGCCCTCCGATCTCTGTAAATTTACAGCTACAACATAATTGACTTTCACTATCACTTACTTGCCAACTTTTTAACTTGAAAGATTTTTTATTTTAATATTTTTTTGATTAATTATTTATTAAATGTAATTTACTTTGTTTGTATGAAAGTTACTAATTAAAATTTATAATGAAGAATTCAAAGAATTTAATACATATACTTCTTAAATTCATAATAATTAGTGTTTTTTAGTGTTTTACATATTTTTTTGCGAACTAGTAATGATGAAATAAGCACAAAAACTTTTTTGGGTCGAAACAATAAGTCTATATTGCCCCTATTCGAACCTAAAAAATCTATTTCGGTCTTTTTTAACAAAGAATAAAACTTAAGATTCATTAAAATTTTAATAGTTAGAAAAAATTATTTCCAAAAAAATTTCATATATTTTTTCCAATTTAGTGCTTCATATTTTAATTTGTTTTTACCTCCGGATCCTATTTATCTTTATTATGAAAAGAAAATATTGTGTATTACAGATATAAAATAATATAAATTTTGCGGATTATAAATCCAATAATGGAGGAAAATATATTACTTGTAAATACACATATAGTTTCTTTCACTTTTATGGCTGCCGGATTTGCCAGATTGATGAAGGGAAGTAAGATTATTAAAGAGGGAGTCAAATGTGCGCATTCTCTTTAATAAAATACATACAATGATGGATTTGTTCTTTTACTTCGAGCCAATCCAGTGCATTTTTTACAAATTTTACTGGATTTTATTTTCTTTAGCATATGTATAGGATAACATAATTGAGGAATTAACTCAAATATTTTTAGATATTCGATGGGTTTATTGATAAATTTAAATTCATTGTTTTTTGTTTTATCCCCCATTATTTTCTGTCAATCTCAGACAACAAGAAACAGCTTAAACATATGTTTTTTCACTTCGATAATTAATTGAAATTAAACTTATAGAACATAAAATTTGTCTGCCAGATGCAGCTACACCGGTGCAGCAAAATTATTGGGTGTATTTCATGCCATCTTATTTTAATAAATACGTATTCATATATGGCATAAGCTAAGATAAATAAGTAATACCAATCTATAAGTCATGATATTTTTATACAGCATAGTACATCTAGGGATTAATTTCATTTTTAATTTTAAAGCTAAGACTAAAATGCTTCTTTTTTCGCCATTAAATGCTCTCTTCCGTTTTTATCTTACTCTTATAAAATTTGCCATGTTATCCCACGTTTTCTTGCATAAATTTCATCCGAGTAATCCTTATTTCTAGAATTTATTTAAACTCTTGTTTAAAACATAATTGCTTTTTTAATTCACAACTCTAATATTCTTAAAAATAAACTTAAATTTTAATTAATTAGTTGAATTATATCAAAAAAATTAATTAATTCAAAAAATAATGAAGGGAACAATAGTAGTAACTGACCCACAAAAACCTTCAACAAATCTGTCGCTCTGTCCAGAAGACGTTTACTCTGCAGATCAGCGCAGCTATCGTTTTTATGCTAATGCTCCGATTAGGTAATTAATTAGAAATGGATTTGTATACTTCTATTGTTAACCCCATAATTTATTTGGTTTCAGTCTGTTCGGCATTATCTCTAATTTGATGAACATTGTTGTTTTTATGGACATGGAGATGCGACAACAACTTGTAAACCATTTCTTACTTGTTTTGTCCATATCAGGTAGCTTGATCTCAATTCCTATTTTCTCTAAAAGTTAATAATTTTTGCAGATCTACTCCTTCTGATTTGCAATTTTTTCTTCCTTGTACTTCCTGTAGTTGTTGTAGAGACTGACTCCTTTTTCTGGAATGACTTTTTCCCATATATCATACGTTACTCGTATCCACTTGCATTGACTGCTCAGACTAGCGGTTGAAATATTTAAATTAAATAGATCAACATCTTGTGAATTATTTATATTTTTAAGGCGTTTATTTGACAGTTCTCGTTAGTTTTCATCGCTTTCTGGGTGTGTGTCATCCTTTCAAGGTTTGATAGGAATCTAACTAAATTCATAACAAATTAATAAAACATCTAGGCAAAGAGATGGGTCTCGTTGGCACCAGTAGAAAGTGCTATAGCTGGCTCGATTCTCTTCAGTTTTGTCATCAACATTCCTACATGGCTGGAACTTGGAGTGGTGCCCTGTTTATCTTCTCGGTTTAATCAAATTTCTCGGTTTAATTTATCTAAAAGGAATACTTCCATTTATAAATATTTAAGACAGATCCAACTTGCCCCATTTCACAACATAACCTACATTTTGATAAAGAAATGCATTGCATATACTATTCTAATGTTTATAGTACCATTTGGTGTATTAATAACTGTTAATTGGAAGATGGTAATCATCTTAGTATTTTAACCAGGCCTTTAATTCATAAAGGTTCAAGCGCTCCGCTTTAGTAGCCGAATGAGGCAAAGAAGTTATTCTACGAATAGACAGACAAGTAATGAGTAGGTTAATTTTTCAATCTTATTCTTTGATTTCTTAAGATTAATTTTAAAATTTTTGTAAACTTTAAGATTTCAGAAATATTGTTAAGCAGTTGCATTTACTTCGAAAATCACGGTCATTATTTTACTGTTAATTATTCAGTATTTAATTTCCAGACATTCAGAAGTTTTCAAGACAATTAGTAAGATCAGTTACTCAAGGTAGAATAATCCAGAATTTAATAATACAAGAGATTTAGTATGCTGAAGCCTTCATCAGATCTGTTTAAACCAAAATTTTCCAACTCAACTCGTGATCGCTCAATCACAATGATGCTCTTAGCCATAGTTGCGCTTTTTCTCCTTTGTAACGGACTTGCGTTTCTTAATTCAATAATCGAGTCAATTATGCTCTTTGCTAGCGATGAGAGTAACAAAAACGTCTTACCGGTATTTTTCAAATATCTATGAGTTTATTTAACGAAATCTAATGAAAAAATATACGTTTTAGGCTCCAAGTTTAATGGATCAACCCTTAAATTCACTATCTAGCTTAAATCAAAATATGTCAAATGCATCTCACGTAACTGAGTCCCCAGATATTTATACGGAAATTGAAGAGTATCTGAATCAGAAAATGCTAAAGTGGTTTGAATGCTCAGTTGAGGTTGGTAAACAATATAAAAATTTATTAAATAATATATGCATAGATCTCAAACATTTTGATTACTTTGAATTCATCTACATCTACTCTTGTTTATATAATATTCAGCTCAAAATACCGTTTAATTTTTAAGTCGCTTTTTGGATTATCTAAACGGCAAAAGGTAATACTTTACATCTCTTATGTAGCATCCAACTTCAACTCTGATAAAGTCTTAGCAATTATCAGCGGAATATTTTATATGAATGTTATTAATTTAATATTTTGTTCATTTCAGTTCAATCGTGTTGCATTGACTACAGCGATGGCCGCAAGAAGAGTTGTAGAGTTATCTCTTATTCCAGAGGTTGTTTAATATAGCTCGTGTTATTTTAATATAAATTTAACCAAGGAAGTTGAAAGTCGAAGTAGAAGAAAGAATACAACAGCTGTAACTACAGCAGTTACGTCAACTACAGCATTGAACGAAGGAAGCTTCAAATCAGCAAAATATTCCACATTTGAAAGGGAGAGAGTTGATTCTCAGTCTAAGAACTCGACATTAAAACTAAATAATCAGCTGACATGTGGTTACAAGAGAGCAGCACCAACTTGTAAAAGACCGATAGTAGCAGCTTTTTCCGTACGTGAAAGTCAAAGTAGTGTCCAGCTATCGACATTTACCTCCATCAAAACTAATCAACGTGGAACTGATTATCACTCAAGGCAGCGTCATCTTATAGAGAAAGATACACCACCCGTCTTGTATCGTTCTAGCAGAACACTTAGTCGTTCACTTACAAATTCTGAATCTAATTTAAGGTAGGTAATATAATTCGCATTTTTTCCAAAAATGGTGAAATTAATCAGTGCCATTTTAATAAGAAGTGCAAAATCACATTTTCTTAGTCTAAATTAGCTAAAGAATTTAAATTAATGACTAACAAAGAATGGATTTTTGTGACCAAATTACTAAGGTTTTGATATTAGTTGATTCATTAATTTTATAAAGATTATTGGACGTTGATGAAGATGAAGCTAGCTCATCAACAATAAACAATCAAAAAATGAAAGATTTTTGAATTCATGTGCTTAAGGATATGTTTTAATATTTCATATAAGTCATAAATAATTTCATTTAAGATAAATTCACAAAATATCATAGAATATTCATTTTCATTATTTAATCATTATACCGTATTTTGATGGTATTTATCTGATTATCAAGAGTCTTCGTTCTTTTTCGAAATATTTAGTGAACCTGCAAATGAAACGCGTGATGGCGAACTTTTGGTCGATGATTTTTGTTTCCCACTAGGTATTTCTCTTAATTTTACTTCTTGATCTGGTTCCCTATTTTTCCCATTATCATCCTGCTCAATCTCGTTTTCGCAATATTCCTCCAAACTAATTCTATCGCCATGCATGGGGAAAGCATGTTGATGCTCAATTTGGTCGACAAGATGATTTAGTTGCTCATTGATGCTCTCTCGCAAACGATGTATTACTTCTATTGAGATAATCGAAGAGGTGTTATCTTTGACTGCTAAAACATTAAAATTATTTTGAAGGATTCAAGCTTAGCATACATTTCTTTGTAGACGTCAATTTCCTTTTGTTCATAGCTGAATCCGAACTGCAATATCAAATATAAATATTAACTGGATTCTTCCGTTACCGAATAGAATCCCGTTGACAGGCTTCTGTACGACTCCTATATCGAAGACTTCCTGTTTCGCCGACAAAAAATTCAAAAGCATCACTGGTTTTCTGTTTTGGACGTTGTCTTTCCGCATAATTAAACTTATCACTCATATAGTAATGTTCATTACTTCTTCCATCTGACACATCTCCAGAGGCACCAACAGTTATGGCTGGTGGTAGGAGTTGCGCGGCTGCAGTAGAAAATGTAGGTGAAAGAGTAGCTCCAGTTCCAAACGTGGACAATGAATCAATGTGATTTCTGTGTAAAGATTTGAGAGTAATTTACAAAAATTTCTTTGTAATTTTTGGAAGATAATAAATTTAAAACTCCTCAACCTTATCTCTATATCATCAGAATCCTCTGATTCTAGTTCTGCAACTCCTCGTTCTTTAAACGAGGAAAAATGTCTTCTTGGCATTGTAACACGTGCTCGTGTTGAAGTACTCATACCTACATGAATATAAAGAAAATTTTTATAAAATGGTCCAATAGTTTCCGATACAGTAACTTAGTTTATATAACGTCCCTACATTTTAACCTTACTTTTTACCCCAAAAAGTATAAAAAATCTTAAAGTTCACATCCATGGCTCAGCACCTTCAATAACGGAGTGTATAAACTAAAAACTAACTTCTCATGATTTCACGCTTTACAGCATCAATATGCGAAGATGAACGAACTATTTCTTTTCGCCTATCTAAAATTTATTATTTCATGAATTAATTTTTGGTTCCTATTAATTAATACCATCGCGAAGTTCAAAGCGTAAACTGGATATGTCCTGCTTTATCTCCTTTAGTTCATCCTCATTAACCCCATCCATTTTCATTGTTTTCTTCTGTTAATTATTTTTAAAAATTTAAAATTTTCATGAAAAACAGAAACCTGTTCATGAATGAATCTAGAAACAAGTCTTTGTATAATTTCTATATAAGTAACTGGTTTCTTCAAGGCATTCGTTTCCATCGGAATGCTACAATGCGATTTTCTACTGTATCCCGGGCGCTAAAGTATTTATTTTAAATTGAAGTTAATCTTTAAAAACTCGAATTGTAGCTCTATTGTCATCCTTAATGTCGTAATGATATCGCCCAAAACACCATCGTATCGTATTTACCTGAATATATTTTTTTTAATTTTTATGTAAAATAATATTTTACAATTGCTCGCGCAGCTTTAGCACAGGCTTTTGGTGTTATGATTATGTTGAATGGAGGAGATAATGTTGAACCTTAATGAAAAAAATTAAAGCTAAAATTAAAACAAACCCTCATCGAAATGGGCAATCCAGAGCTAAAATGGATGTACTTAATCTAAGAAAAATATCGATGCAAAATACCTTACTACGATGGAATTTCCATTCAAGATCAGCATGATCCTATTTTAAATACATATGTTAAAAAATTCCATCAAAATTTCTTTGTAATAAACGTACATTTATCCTTTCAAATGAATGAGACATCATAGCGATTAGCATATTCAGCAACACAATTATTGAGGCCATATGATAAAGAATGAATAGCCTTAAAGGAAGTAAAAATTTGGAATGACATTGTTTGGGATCGGGAGCTCTAAAACTTGTAATACTTCCCGAATTAGGAAGTCTGGATCGGGATACACGAGTATTAATATTTTAAAGTTAAATATACGCACCCTTGACCAACCCATACAGTAAAATGGTGTGCTTCAAGAACCTTTCAATTAATAATTGATTAAAGCTTTTAGAATAATTAAATTTTTAAAATTTAATACGTCAGTATCCTCAACTTTTGTTATTGAGAATAACGACCAGAGTAGTGTCATATATGAATTTGCAATTGAGGAAAATGCATTAGGCATTGTTTTACATTGACCTGCTTTAATGCAAACAGGAGTATTTGCATCATAATACCTTCAATAGATGATTTACTTAAATAAATTTGGATACTTTACCAGTATAATTGAGCTAAGCCTGAAAATTAGAATCCAAATTTAATGTTTTAATTATTGTTAATTTAAATACCGATTGAAAATGATGAGATAATAAGTATAAAAATTATGCAAAATTTGGCGACGTCGACAAGCATGCAGCCCAATGAGATTTGTAATGGTCCAAGATAAGGATTAGTTTGAAATAGATAATAAACTCGGGCAAAACTGAAGCAACAAATTATTACAAATTATTTTAATTAAAGACCTAAATACATTTCCAACAGCGAAGAGTGCTTCACTTACTAGCATAGGCTCATAAGCATCCCAATGTGTGCGAATCAGATGTCTTGGTGTTGTTTCTTCGTTAAAATTCCACAAAACATAAATTAAATATGCGGAGATTCTTATTGAGATTGTACAAAGATATAGGCATAGCATTGCAAAATCCAACCAATTCCACCACTTGATAATTTAATTTCAGAGAGGATATGAGAATTCGAACAACCTGGTGCACATATTTATTTAAACGCTCTTGCCAAAGCTGCTTCATTTCAGACCAAAGCATGCCAACAATCCAAATAAATACTAACCATTCTATAGCGGTAGGTGGGGGACCACGATCTGCTGCCTAAACGCAGCAGTATTTCTGATTTTTACGAAATTTACCCGCGTCAACCCGCCCCCTTTTATTTCTCCAGTTTGTGTTCGATATGCCTCGAAGGTAACCTGATTAGGAAAATTTTTATTTCATTAAGTAATCTAAAAATATAAAACACCAATGTCAGCAATGTAAGAAAGCAACCAAACGAAATGCTAAAATTTAAACTTCGATTTTGATATATTTCTATGAAAAAATTAGCCTGTAATAAAGGAATTTCATAAACGGTGAACGCATCTTAAAATATTTTAGACAAAAAATATGAAAAGAATCATACAATTTCGGCAATACGTGATTTAGGTAACAAAATATAACAAATTGCAAGTATGGGCCAACTTATTACAAGAAGTAGACAGATAACAAGGGTTCCAAAAAATGACGACCTATGCTGCTTTAAAGGAAATCCCTCATACCTAAAAATTCAAAACTACAATAATAATATTACATAACTTATTAAATACCATATTGACGTGAGTAATTGCTGACAGTGGGGGTGTGCCACAAACTTTAGTGATATAGACTAAAATTTTAAACTAAATCTAAAATGTTTGTACCGTTTTCTGTTCGTATTTAATTGCAAGCTTCAAACGAGCTAGAGAACATTTTGCAGAACTCAAATCAATCTGTACAAATTTTAAATCGCCTATGAGAATTTTATCCATATGAACCTCTTCATTACAGAAATTGTCCTCCTTATTTAGAACAGCCATAACTTCCTCTGTACTACGGCATTGATTTAATAAATCAACAGCATACTGCTTGCATTGTTCTGGTAACAAAACAATATTGGCAATGGGATAAAAATACCGTATAGTTGCAGATATTGGTCCTAAAATTAAAGGTTATAGCAAGGTCTGGCCAAAAAGCCCTATAAAAGGCTTTGTTAATAAGCAACCTTGAATTCATCTTCGACTTTGGCACGCTTTTGTAATTCTCTGCTAAGTTTGAAGGCTGAAAGGATAGGATCGGAGCTGGTCAGAGAAATCCAAGCTGGGCTGGCCAAAGCACGAAACGTATTAATTCGTTTCAATGATCTATGCAATCCATCACTGATCCTTTCCTCCTCGCAAGCCTCACAAGAACTTAATGAATTGTAAGATAATTACCATGGTTATGATGTGGAATAATAAAATATTATTATAATTATTTTATGTACCAATAATGTTTGTGTGGTTTCTCGATAATAGCATCCTTACGCAAAAGCATTTGGAGTATCTCAAACTGGTTCAGATGAGCAGCTAGAATTACCGGCGAAATGTCACTGTACATTAATTAGAGTATTTTATTCATTGAATAAAGGACAACAAGAACCTGGAATACTCGGACGTAGCAGTTTCAGATGGATCCAAATATTTAGCCCATCCTTCTCCTAGCATTTCCTCTGAAATTGTTAAATACTCTCTTTTATTTATTACGGGAGTTCAAACTCTATTTATTGCTTTAAACTTTACTAGTGATTGAAGGATGATTGATAAGTGCCTCAGCAAGCTCATAAACTCCTTCTCGTATCGAGCACTGAGAACATAGCGTTTAATTCTGAATACTGGTAAAACTTACCAGGAGAGCATTTCCTATCCGAACATCAGGCTAATTTGATAAATTTTTTCTCATAATAAAAATATTAATAACTTGCATCAGTAGAAGTTGGACAATCTCAAGATTTTCATTGTCAACTGCGATTTCAATAGCCGTTCTACCCATTGCGTCGACGGCATTTATGTTTAATGGGATTCTGTTTCGCTAAAAAGCTGACGATTAAAAAAATTAGCTAATAATATTTTTAGTTGGATCCTATATTCAATTAATTAGCCTATTCAAATAATATTCAAATTGATAAAGAAGCCTGTTGCAAGCAGGATTCAAGTGTAGGTCGATTGCCTTTTTCAGCAGCATCCAGAAACTGACGTTCCAACGGACTTAACATGTCCTATATTTGTTAACAAAATGTTTAACAGGGATATTATATATCTACCTGTGTTCTAATGTGAACAGCTGGCATTGAATTTGCCAATGTATGATTGCTTGAACATGATTTTATTAATAATATCTTCGCTATATTTACCGTGATCGGGCACCTTTTCTCTGACCTTTCTTTGTTTTCTGTTTAATTACTGGACTTACTATCGGTACAGATGAAGCTGATTTTGTTTTAGATCTTAAGGACCATTTAGCCCCATTTTTAATCATTTTATTCAAGCTTAAAAATTGTTTGAGCTTTTGAAAATTATGTAATTTATGTGATAAATAAGAAAAAATCAAAAAATTTTTAAATAAAAATATTTAAGCTTAAATCAGGGAGTAGATAAATAAACATAGTAAATAAATAAATCTTTCTTCTCAATTCCCAAACAAGCTAGCAGAAATATTTATTGCTATAAAAGTAAAGAATCAATCCAAATTCAATTATTTTTTTCATGCCGGCCAAATCCTATTGCGACTCTCGACCGTGGTAGTCTGTGGGAACTTCTTCAAAACACGTATTGGATTGCACTTCTATTCTTTCCCGTTGAAAAAAGTAATAAAAGCCTCAAGAAAGATTGAATACCAAATAAGTAAAGCAAATACATTATAATATGTTAATGTGGGGGAGTTTAAAATAGTTTAAAAGACCCAGGCTCAAAACTTTATCAGATTTTTTAGAAAAATTTTAATAGTTTTCTGATGTTGACAGAAAGTCTATGCGAATTATAAAGTTGATTTATCTATAGTGCTTAGAAATGGAATATTAAAATCATACATATCACATAATAAAATTATATAACATAATAGAGTTATGAACTATTTCCAAATACATGATTTAAGTAGCTGGCACATATTCCAAATTGATATTCAAGATCTATTCACAATCAAAGGTTATTGAACAATCAGGCGAAATGCATCGGCACCCTAAGATATGTAGATATATAAATATGTATTTTTGGAGAGTATCCTTCTAATTAGTAATTAATAAATAACCAGAACTGCTCCAAGTTGGCGTTCGGCTGTACCCACTAAATCTGTTGGGTGTCAAATTAAATCCCGGTGCAAAAATACTAAAATGATATTATTATATCAAATATAAAAAATATTAATGACTGAGGCCAGGAACAGAATCTCCAGTAAATCCAACTACAAGTACATCCACCTTTATGGCAAAAATACTGCTGGTTATTTAAATTAGTAAATGAATAATTAATAAAAAGATTAAGTATCCCATAAATAAATAAGGTAGATTGAGCTTTGTTAAAAGGAAAATATTTAGGCATTGCTTTTAATTTAGGAAATATGTAGATCAGCTCATAAATAATGAACCAATTATCTAAAAAGTGATGAGGGGAAATCAAGGTTAAATAAGACAGCTGATAATTAATTAAGATAAAATGTACAGACAGTTTTGATGAGAAAATTAAACCAGTTGTAAAAATGCGACTGTTAAAAAAGGAAATAATTTACAATTATAAAAATTATCTTTAAAATAAGTTTATTTAATTTTTTATCTAAAATTCCATTTTTATAACTAAAGCTGTGATAGTTAGGCAAGTAAAATCAGTAAAATAGGCGCCTAAAATAGGCACCAAAAAGCCAAAAAAGGCACAAAAATAGGCACGTAAAAAAGGTTATCAAGCCTATAAAATTAAGAAAAAAGCAAGAAAATACCCATTTATTCATCATTTTTTGAATTATAAACTATTTTTTAAACCTTTTTGTCATTTATTCGGCATTTTTAATAATTTTTTGAAAAAATGGAGTAAAATTTTTAAAAATGTCTATAATTGACAAAATGGAAATCTCGCCCAAAACACAAAACGCCGTACCCCAAAACGTCCCAAAACCCAATCGTCCCAGTTCAAAATGTTGAACAGAGTAAAAATAAACAATTTATCGAACTAAAAATAAATAATGGGACCTGGCACTGATTTTTTCTAATTTAGGACTGATTTTTTTAGATTTTGCATTGATTTTTAGGCAAAATTTCGAAAAAATCGCTAAAAAAGGCAAAAATAGTACCAAAAATTTCAAAATAGGCAGAAAGGCACAAAAAGACCAAAATAGGCAAAAATAGGCAAATTAAAAGTCATGCTAGACTTTTCGGACCAAGCTAAAAACACGTTTTTTGAACGTATTACATCATCCCAAGCTTGCAGAAAAAATAGGCATTTGCCTATAAATCACAGCCTTATTTATAACTAAAAAAATTCTGTAATATTCGGCTCACACCTATTTTTTCCTTTAAATTATTTTCAATTTTTACTACTTTTAACAAATTATAAGTAATTCGAAGGCGCCCTCAATTGGCACTAAAATCAACGAGCTCCGACTTAAATGAATAAATAACTTTTTCATTTTTTTTCATCTAACCGATCTTGATATAATTCGACCCAGCTTTAGGATGTTATATAATAAATTATACTATATCAAGCAAAAAAGCTCAGAATAATCTGCCTTACCATTACCAAAAATTTATTAGACATTTTTCACAGACCGATATAAAAAACTTGTCTTTTAAATTAAAATCTATCAAATTTTTATCAAGAAAAATTATTAAAAAAGACATCTATTATGTGTCCAACTTTGTTTCAGAGGATAAATTGTTGGCAATATGCGGAAGCATTGGGTTCGCAATGAATTAATATTTATTCAGATGTAATGGCTATAATCTACGTGTGAATATAATCCATAAAATATAATAGATTGAAAGATATTCCCCAAAATTTAAAATGAATAAATTGACTAAAGTTTCTATCCAACGTTTTAACTTTTATTTTAAATATCCCATTAATTAAAAATTTTTGAAGAAATGAGGATTTCAATATTATTTTTATTTTATTTTCTCTCAATTTTATTTTACGGAAATTTCATTAAATTAATATCCTGTATTTACTTCAACTACGGCAGTCAAACGGAACATAATGAAATAACGGAGCATAGTGAAGGTGACTATTCTGGGGGCGAGCTCAATACAAATGAGACTCATGAGTTTACAGATGAATCTAAGCGGATGGATTATCCAAATCCATATGGGAGATAGAAGTGAAGAATAACATTTAAAATATAGCTACGTAAAACAGACGTTTTTAAATTGTAAATTTGATAAAATAATAAATAAATATTATTGTTAGAAAGAATTCCTGAAACATATGATCGTCTAAAACATTTTTAACAATAATTTCCTACCATAAGAGGAAATTATTGTTAACTTTCTTCTTTTGTTCTGAAACTTATGGTCGTCTAGAATATTTTCAACATTAATTTCCTAGCTCAAGATTTAATTTAAGTTGTTGCTCATAAACAAAAAAAAATAAACGAAAATGCTGGAGAAATGCCGATAGCTTGAGAAAAGCCAAACAATGGTCAAGCTTTTTGGTGTATCGATCTACCCAGCCAGCCACTTAAAAAGAGGAAATAAATATTTTAAATAGATATACGCCAGGACAGAATTTTCCTTGTTTTACTCATGCTTCTTCATGAAGTGGCAGTTCAGCCAAATAATTTTTTAAATTATAAATAATGGGTGGATAATTATTAGAGAGAAAGAGACACTTGGTCGAGAAAATAAGCTAATTATAAGCCTCTTGAAAAATTTCAAAAATTTATTCGTTTATAAATATATATCCAATTTACTGTCGAAATTCTCTATCTGATTTTGTACTAAAATATGCTGTTTCTTTGAAAGAGGCAAGACAATTTGGTCACATTCTGAAGAAGAGGAATAACTTGATATTGAAAAATCACTGCTTCCGATGTTGGATCCACTACTTTTCTCATCAATATATATTTGAGGGTGTTCTCTTTCAACTTCAAAAATAGTTGTCAAATTGTCGCTTTGCGGCATTTCACAATCGGTTTTAGAATAATTGTAACTGGACCTAACTAAACTTCTTTTATGTGCGGACTGTTTACGAGAAGCCCGTTTCCGACGTTCTTGATTAGTGATAACAGTATTTCTCTTGACACCAAAGCATTTGAACAAAGTTTCAATGCTAAAAGTACTAGAATAATGTTAATAAAGATAAGCAACAATGTTCATAAATGAATTTAAAATATAAAAATCTTATGGAATTTTTTAAATAAATGGGAATACCTATAACAAGCATCCTGCCGACAAAAAAACAAAATTCCCGATTTCGGAAATCGGGACGCAGGATCCCTGACCTATAATAACAAATAAGCAAATCTAACCAGGTGAAAATCATCAAAACAAATGTTTGCTGATATTTGGTACATAGAAAACAATAAGCAAGAAATCCAACATAACAATTAATTAACGAAAGCAAATCCAAAAGATTTGCAAGATTCATATAAAAAACTGTATGAACGTCGTTAGTGAATATCCCATTAAGAATAGTCAGAACTCCTTGAGGCAGTTCAGTCAACTAAATTTTGAAATTAAAAATGGGAACAAATATAAATTTATTTACGAGGAAAACTCCTAAAACGACGATGAGTGTAAAGGTTGTACGGTCATAGTTCAACGATTTTTTGTTTTGGTCTTTTAACAATTGTGCACGTTTAGCATTGTTTTCACGTAACCGTCTCATTAAAGCAAGAGTGAACCAAAGAAGAAGGAAGCAAGGTATAGCCTTTTAATTTAGATAATATTTAGATTTTGTACTGCGGAGGATTGAGAAATGATAATATAATTTTCCGGCTACCCCTCACCTTATCCATAACAAATATAATCTCGGTAATAAGTGAAGGAAAGGATAAGTCAATTAATTAGTCAAGTGAATAGTTATTCTTATATTTATTGCCCGGTCGGAGGAAGTAGTCGTCGCCCGTTTAATCACTCTGACGGAGTGAGAGGTGAATAATTCCCGGCTGGACTAACAACATTAATCTATTCTGGACTTCACACTGGGTATGGAACCAACTAATTTCTATTTAAATACATATGAAGCAGTAAGATACATTAACTAGGTACCTTTAAAACTATGCCAATAATGAACAGATTTAATTTGAAATAACGACAATTATTAGAACGTGCCCATTCGGATATATCAACACTAAAAAAATAAGCACCAAAGTTTATCACATCGTGAACTAAATATGTAGGGATACAAAGCATAGAAACAACAGCTGTCACTGATCCGAATATTTTCCTAAAAAATTTTTTTAAGTTTGATTGAGTTAGCGGTCTAATTTTTGGTTTCTCCAAAATTCTAGTATCCTTTAATGTCTGCTAAAGATTAAGCAAATTATAAAATACCAAGATAAAATTGGCTGAAAAACAACTTTAGAAAATGGTTGGCTCATTACACGCCATCGAATAAGTGCCATTGTAACTGACATGTATAAGGCAATTGTATGCAAGCAAATTGAACTAGTGGCATGAAAGTGTAAGTAAGTAGCCCAAAAATAACTGAGAATATTTCTATTATATTAATTCAAGCAAATCCAACCTGATTGTTTTAATACTCGTAATTCGAGTCCATATTTCAAAACGTAATATATAGACAAGGTAACTTGTCATTGTGCATATATCACATATAGCAATTCCTATCAAGCAATTATTAATAGCACATCGTCTCATTTTCCTTCTAGTTAGCACCTTTAATCCGTTGATTAAAGAATATTAGAATATGTAGTTTTTACCAAGATATGAACAAAATTAGCTAGAACACCAAGAGGGCATATCAAAAGGCAAAGGAATGGGTGAACAAACAGATTATACAATCCAGCCATTGTCGAAAGCCATTGAATGACCAGTAACTGAGTCGTGGAATTTCTATCAAAAAGTTCAGGATCTGAGTCGCAAATATGCAAAACATCCATTTTTTAATTATTTTAGTTGATAAATAAAGAAATCTAGAGAGTTTCAATAAATATAACGTTACAGATATTTTTCGGATCGTTCAACAAGTATTAATGATATCTGATGGCATATTAAAACTAGGTAAATATATGGATAAATTATTGGTATTATTAAAATCTAGGTTATATTGCTCATTCTTAAATGTACAAGAACAATATGTTTGTGAATGTTTGTAAGCGGATGTTTATGTTATAGCGTGTTAACATTTTAATTTAGCATGCATATTTCATTATTCTTGGAAAACGCACAATTGCGTGTGAATTACCTATTCAAAATTTTAAAAAGCATAAATATAGATCTGGATGTTAATTTTATGGATTTTTATTGAATTTTTAATTAATTTTTTAATTGGATTTTTAAATAAAGGAGAATGAAGGTCTTCCATATACTGAAATGATTAAAATAAAACTGAAAGATAAGCCTAGTATAATTTAACTTTTTCCAATTTTATTGAAGCGTTTCTATTTTTCTTTAGGGGAAAAGAAGTTTTAAAATTCCCAAATGAATATCAAGGTCGTCAACTTGGATGAGAATGAATGAGAAAAGGAGTAAAATTTAAAGAATTGTAAGGCGCGAAGGAAATGAGTTTTAGCCTTGGGGAGAGGTAAAATTGGAGGAAATTTATAAAATTTATTCTTTAAATTGCTTTATGGAAAATATTTTACTAGGAAAAAAGAGAAAATTAAAATTTGGAAACTGTCATTAATTTTTAATGCGTGAATAAAGGAGATGAGCTATTAAAATACAGCTTATTCAAACGTCGGCCAAATTGAAAATTATTCCAACTGCCAAAGAATAAAGAACACTTCCTGGGGGATTTACTGAACCCAAAGGGTATGTTGACCTATTATAGAAAGAATTCTCAGAAAAACACCATCTTATAGCATGGATGGGACGGATTACCCAAACTCGATACACAGAACCCAGACTCTTTTTCCGAGCTGATACACGAAATCCGATCCGAAAAATTTTCCGAAACCCGACCTGACTTTTCCCTCGACCTGTCCATCCCTGCTATGTAGTACACCATCCTACCTTCTTACATATTATTTCAAATTCCCCGCGAAAAAATTTAGCATAATTATCGCGAAATTTAATTTTTAATTTTAAAATTTAAGAAACAATTTATGTATTAGAAGAATAAATAATAAAAAAAATTTTGATAAGATGAACTACGTCAGGCGCTATTTGGCTGCGTTAAATGCACTTGAAAGTGCGCCTGCTTTCTCCTCTTGTAACAATAAAATATTGAAAAGAGCGAGAATAATTTCACTTCCGTTTTCTAATATGATTTTCAAATCCTCTTTTAAATTGTTTACGCCATATACATATTTCATGAATATTATTTTCCTGTTTTATTTGAATAATTCATAAATATTTGTTATGATAATTTTATGGATAATAATATTTTCATTAAAAGTATGATAATATTTAAATAACTATAAACTCAAGGTACTTTTTATTAATATCGCGCCAACCATCTCACCCCTATTTGAGTCCAAGATCACTTTTCCTATTATTCTCTGCCTCAAAATGGTCAAATTAGCTTTCTTATAAATGTTGATTTTTGCCGTTAGATTGCTTTTTGCTTTCCTTAAACTGCTTGAGGAGAAAATTAATCTGGACTCAAATAGTGGGGAGGGATACTTTGTTATAAACAGGGAGGGATACTTTATTCATCAAAATCGAGAATATCGAGTTCACATGCCAGCCAAAATTTACAATTCGCCCAATTTTTATTTATTCTGCTAAATCTCCCCTCAGAATTTTATTTCTAATTCGGAGGTAATCATGTATCTTAGGCATAATTAATCTTCATTATAAATTACATTTTATATTCTTGAAGCAGCACGAGAATTTCTTTTATATTTGTCTTATTTGCATTTATAGTACATAGTATCTACGTTCGCTTGCATAATTAAAAATGGTGAGAGGATTTTTATAAAATACTCTTAACTAATCTCGGAACCTACAAACAAAGAGCTGCGCTTTTTAAATAAATGTACTATTACAAAAATAAAATTAAATTTTAAAGTATACTATGTAAAGTAAATTTTAAATTTCAAAATACATATATAGTTGAAAATAAAAAATTATAAAAAAGCCAGCTTCAAATATTCATAAAAAACATGGGTTACCTAAATCGGACCCAAAATATTTTATAAAAAAATTTACGATAGGAAATGTCTCATAATTAGATATACTAGACATAATAGGTAATTTAAAAAAGTAAGGAATAATTTAAAAAAAGAAAAAATAAAACCATCTGCTATTAAATAAAGGCGGCAATATTTGCCAAAGGGTTTTTTGTCTCTTTACAAACAAAACAATTGTTTTCAGACAAAAGAAAAGATTTACTTAAACAAATAACAAAAAACTAATAAAAAATGAAAAACGAAATTTATTTATTAGGATTTTGTGGTGGTTACGTCCTACCCGTAAAATTTATAAAAATGAAATAATTCTAAGAAGAACAATAATCCTCATCGTATGTTAACAATTTTTTTAAACATCAATGATTATGGACCGATTGTATCAACCCCATTGAAGAAATTAACATGAAGCAACGTGCTATATGCCTAAATAAGAAGATAAATATGCAATATTTGTTGATAAATACATGCCTGCGAGTTTTCTCTAAAGATGTGGAATTTCTCCTCAGCCAAAACACAAATTTCATCGCCAGGGAAGGCGCGTCTTGACAGAAATGGTTCAATGCATCTAATCGCATGTCCATTATATGAAATGCGGTTTTCTTGAAGTAGATTCTCGCGTTGGGCCAATTTTTGACTGTCATAATTAAATAAAACAATTTCAAGTTGATTAATTAATTACCGTTGCTCAGTAACGCATACATAGTCATAGGAATCTAGAGAACGCCAAACAAGTCCTTTACGACAAGAATTTGCTCCAAATGTCTTTCGATTTGAAAAAAAATTTTGACGTCCAAATTGCTTTTTAAAATCACCACCATTGAATAACCGCACCAAGCGTAACTGTTCATCGCGTTTACTCCTAAATTTTATAGATTTTAACATTAGAAATGATACAAATTCATTGACCTTTCAGCATTAAATTCATTATTATCTGCAGTGGAATTATTGTTTTTACTCATTGTAGCGCCCAAGCAAATGTGGTCTAATCCTACAAGGAACGGGTGTGACTGCCGAGAAGAATAGAACTTTTGTTCTCCAAAATGGCATTCAGTCTATCTTTCGTTAAAATAAATTTGTAATTTTAATACATAATTTATTCTACCGGATTAAATGTGGAGACAATATGGATATCAGCATCATCTAGAAGATAGGAATTTACAAATTAGTGCAATACTTAAAATGAAAAGAAACAAACATTCATAGACTTTTTTTAGTGAAACACGAATGAACTGAAAATTTCTCGATGAACTATTTTGTTTGCCTTTGTTAGTGATACTATCTGAAGTTGTGGGAGACATCAATTCCAAGAACGTCACCTTTATAAAAGATTAGTAGAGCCCGGACTGCGGAGGTCGTACGAGAATTGAGATCGATATTTCAAAAAAATACCGATCTCGAAACCAAGATTTTTGATCTTTCTCGATCCGGGCTCTAATTAGGAGAATTAAGTATTATAATTTCCATATTAATTGTTCTATATTTCTACGATATATTTATTATTTACTAACCCATTCTGTTCCTTCATCTGTCAATTCATAAAAGTCAGCCTGCCTTAATAATGTAGAATAATAACTTATGCCATTTTTCTGAACACGATGTACCAGAACAGAAGGCTAAATTCGTATGTAAATGTTTAAAATTTCATAATTTGCCTGCTCAATTCCTCGATCAAAATTATGAGGTGTTCTAAGCTCAATTGTGTAGTAATTATTTGGGTCATCACGATCGTAGGGAAGCATTATAAGAAGCCAACCTCGCGTTCTTAAAATTCAGATTAAACTGAGAAAATAATTATTCTAACTGATTATGAGGAACACTAATTGATGAGAGACGAAGAGTATAATTGTTCCCGCTCTCTCTAAAATCTGCTTTTAAAATTAATATACAAAACAGATTACACCTTCCGAAATAAAGCATTCTATCCATAGGTAGCCATCCCAGGTAGTCCAGATGTGGACCGTTAAGACCTGGACCACTCATTCCAAAGTTGGAGTGATACTTTAATTATATGGTAATTAGAGATAATATCCAATAAATACCATGTAGGCATTAGCAGTACTCATCAAATCATATCTATCGTCATACTCCCCAGATGAGGCATAAGGAAATACCTATATTTTAATGGCACTTAAATAGAAATTTTCACTTAGAAATTAAGATTACATGAATTTTTCTGTCACTGTAGGAATGTCCAATGAAAAAAGAGTGAACCTGACGAGGAAAATTAAAGTATAAAACAATGTTTTTAACCATTTCGTGTGTAAGCACAGATGAGAAAACAAGCTGAGGTGTAAGCAACACACCGTTCTTTTTGTCAAATACAGCGGCTGTCCCAGCTTGAATTTTTAAAGTAGTTAATTTTTAATTTATATTAATCAGGAATTTTTTATTCTTGACTTAATTATAAATTGAGACATTATTGCCAACACTTGAATTCGTATGAAATACCTACTCTAAAAAATAAGTCAAACCATTTATAATAGTTATTTTTTGCCGATGTAAATTAGATCCATTTTTGACTGCTTCAGCAAAGCAAAGGTCTTTGATTACGTCAAAATACTATTGAATATTTTATATTTTTACATTGATTCCCAAATTTACCCTAAAACTGGAATCCGAACCAAGAAGTGGAGGATTTATTCTGCCGCGTCTTGATTTGTCGACCATACGAAGAATATCTTTTTGTGTTTTAGAAAGTGTAAACCAACTAGGAATTTATTTAAAAACAATGGTTTGTGAATTAATTTACCCATTTACATTGCTCCCCCCGATAGAGTACAAACCATTAGAAACATTCATAAAGTA